TACTGTAGCTGCTATTTGATTGCTTCTTTGGGATTCGCCTCTGACTGAGGTGATTTTGACACTTTCTTTGCTTCGTGTAGCGTTAGCATGTAACATTCTTTGGCAGCAACCTGATCTCCCCAGAGGTCGATGACCTCCCTGCCATCCGGGGATAAACACCTCATTACTTGATGAAGTGTAGAAGGGACTCCATTCATACGATGGATCCAACCTCTTCCCATAATGAGGTTATAAGATGGATGAATCTCTGTCACGACGAAGTTTTCCTTTAGAGTTCCCTTTGCTGCAGTAACGGATAGATCGACCACCCCAAGCGGATTCACCTTAGTACCATCAAATCCCATTAGGGGGCCGGAAGTTGGCCTGATGGATGATGGTGGAATCCCCAACTGATCAAAAGCTGTTTTTGTAATGATGTTGGCGCTACTTCCCGGATCTACCAGCACTCTCCTGATCATGTAATTCGCTACCAGGAGGTTGATGACCAAGGGGTCCTCATGCGGGCGCTGGACTCTAGAAAGGTTATTGTTACCGAATCCAATGTTGATGCTGCCTGGTGCAACTGTGTTTACCGAAGACAACCTGCGTAACTTATGAGCCTCTCGCAGCCTGGATCTGTACAACTCTTCAGATTCTTCATCATCCTCTGACCTTCCGTGTATAGCATGGATAACCTTTACCTGACCGCTCTCTACCCGTCGAGGGTTAACCTCCCGAGGTTTTACGTGCTCCTTTGTGGCGAGATACTCCACCAATTCTCCTCTCGCTATCATGCTTTCTACTTGTCGCTGTAGGGACCTGCAGTCATTGGTGGTATGCCCATAATCTCTATGGTAGGCGCAATGTTTGCTTTTGTCCCTCTGCTCCAAGGGTTGCTTCATGGGCTGAGGAGTTGCGAACCTCGTCTTATTCTCTTGGAATAGGCGCGCCAAGGTAGTACGGAGAGGGGTAAGCCTGTCCTCTGTCCTTCGCCTTTTCTCAGACGCTTGGGTGACTTATGTGGGGGTATGAGGGACCTTCTGCATCCTTGTGCTCGTAGCTTTCTCTCGAGACTTGTTTTCCACCGTGACGAGGGTAGCGTGCTGTGCACGGTGGGCTACGTTTTCCTCCAACCGGATGTAGATTTGTGCCCTAGCGTTCAAAGTCTGCATATCCGGGGGGGAATATTTGACTAAGGATGTGTGAAACTTGGTTCCCTGGATCATCGCCAACTTAAACGTTTCGATTGCCGTGGCAGGATGGCAATCTGCTATCTCCGAGGCCTCCATGTTAAACCTGGATAAAAAATCTTGCAAAGTTTCTCCCTTCCTTTGCCTTATGGTGAAAAGGCCGGCGATACTTTTCTTCTGCTTCTTATTTCCGCAATACTGGGCTAAGAACATGGTGCACAAGGTCTCATAGTCAGGGATAGACTTGTGTGGCCTATTCCTGAACCATTCTAACGCTGCTCCGGTTAAACTGGTAGGAAAAACCTTACACATCCACGGATCGTTATGATCGTCCAGTGCCATCTTTTGCGCATAATGATCAAGATGCCGAGAGGGGTCTCCTGCCCCATCGAACTGGGTGAAGGATGGCATAGTGAACTTCTTCGGCCTCTCCACAAGGTACACCTCGTCAGTAAAGGGGGTCTTGACCAAGGAAGTCTTGTGCTCTCTAGCCATCTCGGCTGGTGTCTGGACTCTCAAGAGTTTCTTTTCGTCGAAGGCATCTTGTACACGTGCGCCATCCGGAACGCCATTGGACCATACGGTAAGCCTACGGCTGGACTCGGCCTGTTCGTCCTGAGTGCGATGCGGGAGATTATCCGAAGCAACCGCCTCGGACCTCGTCCCTTGCTTTTGCTGAACCTCACTAGGTCGAGCCCCGTTGGGTGGTGTCTCGTTGGCTGGAGGCTCGTGAACCGGAGGTAAATTCCGGGTGGGAGGTGGTGCCGCAGCATCGCCTGGTGGTGGTTGTGGCGTTAGCCTAGCCATGGCCGTGTGCAGCGTATGAGTCTGCTGCTGAAGCGCAGCTATCTGGGCGACACTCGTATCGTTTGCTTGCCGGAATGTCTCAAATTGGTGCAAGAACTCTTCTCGCATCTTTTGCATCAATTCTATCTGTTGATTCATTACTGACTCTCCGTTTAACATTCCAGACACGATTAAAGGATTTAATTTGAAGAACAAGTGGGAGTACATTTCTATACGCTTCCCACAGACAGCGCCAAAGTGTAGGTGCAAAATTTCGCTCAACCAATAATAACTGAGAAAAATAGAACAACTCACTCAAAAACAATAAAAATAAATAAGAACAATGTGTAAAGAAGTGTGGAATTGCTTGATCCTTTATTGGAGGTCTTAGCCTCTATTTATATACAAAAGATTGCAAAATTATGGTAGGACTCGCGTTACTTGCCCTCCAATTCTTTCTATATAACCATTCTTTTCTAATAGAGTTCTTTCCATTGTTGAATTTTCCATACATAGAACTTGCCTTGTACAGAACTTCCTATCCGAATTTTCCTTCTACGGTAAATTCTTCAAATGGTAGGATTTGTGCATTCTTGGGCTGAATATATTTTGATCCGGCTGGGCTTGGGTAACAGGCCGGATGTTAAATACTCATATCTGGGCTGACGACAAGCTGGGCTGATGGCTTCTTGATTCGGCCTTGATGGAATGGTCTTGGGCTGTAAATACCCTCAACTTGGGCTTGAGCATGATGGGCCTTATATGTCCTTGGCCTGTAGATATGGGTAGTGGTGACGTGTGCGTTTTTTATTGGAGGGAGTTTTTTTCCCTCCACAGTGAGGAAGCAAAGAATCGCAGCTAAGAGAAAAGAAGAATGAAGAATAAAAAGCAGAGCACCAACTTAGGGTTTCTTGATGGCGGTCGTGGTGATTCCAGTGCCGGCCGTCGTTCTCTTGTTCGTCTCTCTCCATATAAATGTATATGCATCACTTCATAATCATAAAAGTCGATTGTCAAATAAAATGTACAACCCAAAGTATATATATATAATTTATATTATTATTTATTATATAAAAATAATTTTTAAAATAATATTATTTATTGAAGTAAATAACATTATAATAATTTAAAATAAAAATAATTTTATATATAGAATTTTAAGTTTAGAATTTTATTGGTATATTTTAATATAGAATTATTGCTATGTATTTATTTAAATAAATTATATATTTCTTTCGCTAATTAAATTTCTTTATATTGAACTTTTAGCATTTTCTATTACTATATTATTATTAGTATTTATAGATTTTTTTTATTGAATTAAATAAATAAAATTTTTAATATTATATATTTCCTTCTCTAATTAGATTTTCTTTTATTGAATCATAGTAATTTAATTTTTAAATATTATATATTTTCTTCGCTAATTAAATTTCCTAATACTATATTATTCTTCTTTTAAATTAGAGAAGGGAACTGTAGATATTAATAAATAAGTATTCTAATAGTATATATTTTATTCTCTAAATAGATTTTTATTTATTGAATTAAATATAAAAATAATTTTGTATATAGAATTCATAGTTTAAAATTTTATTGGTATATTTTGATATAAATTTTTTGGTATGTATTTATTGAAATAAACTATATATTTCATTCTCTAATAAGTTTTCCTTTTATTGAATTAAAGATTTTCATTTTTAGATACTTTTTTTCATTTTGAATTTTAAAAAAATAGAACTATAAAAAAAAATTAAAAATTACACGCCAATAAAGCGATATTATAATGATGAAAACGTCCCTTAATATTAATTTAAGAAAATTTAGATTTTCTTTAAAGTGATTTTCATTTTTAAAAAAAATTTACATTTTTAGTTTTTTTTTTTTTTATCTTAATAAAATAGAACTTTAAGAAAATTTTAAAAATCACTCACAACTAAAGTGATGTTATAATGACAAAAATGCGCCTTAATATTAATTTAAGAAAATTTCGGTTTCCTTTAAAGTGATTTTCATTTTAGGTTTTCTTTTTTATGATAATTGATCCAGTTTATTTTCATTTTGTCATGGACGCACCATTAAAAAATATATATATAGAAAATTTTAACACTATGCCAAATGAGTTACTTATATTTTTTAATTTTATATTGAAAAGGTTTTTCGTCATTATATTAGATAATGAGGGAGATTTTATGTCTAACTTTTTTCTCTTAAGGAAAGAAAAATCTCCACCGACTGCAATGGGGTACTCATTTCCGGGAAGCCAATGAAAACGACAGCTTAGCTTTCTCTTTTGCTCGCGACCGGGTTCAAACTTTGGCGGAGTCAGAATTTTAATTTATGGGGCACAATGCTAAGGGAAAAAAAAAAAAAATATATATATATATTTAAAGGAGTAGAAGAAGGAAAAAAAAAAAAAAAAAAAAGGAAAAAATAAATAAATAAATAACAACTTAAAAAGGAAACAATTAAAATTTAATTTAACAAAAATTAACTCTTTTTTTTTTAAGGAATTTGAAGAGTAAATTAGGAAAAAACTAGAAAAATAAGAGATAATTTTAAAAACTTGTAATGTTACCAATTTTCCTATTTTCTATTTTCTGGAATTTATTTGATTTTTTTCTGGATTATTTTAATCCTTGCTTCATTTTGCGTGTCACATGGGCACCGAGGGTCGTTTCCGTCATTTTCTTGAGCCGGGAATTTTAGAAATGTAATTTTTATTTATTTTAAGTCATTGGAGGCGACGGGGTTATTTTTAGAATTTTTTTGGAAGTCAAGACGATTTTTGGGTTCGGGAACTCGTCCCGGTTTTCTCATTTAAGTGAGGGGCGTTGTAGTCATTTCCCATGTATTTATATATTTGTGTATCTATTTTGGTGGGAGATATTTTAGGGACTTTGTTGGTATTGCAATGGATGTTAAAGGACAAAAGAGTAATTAACCAAAGGTGACATCACATATCTCTTGACAAGTGGCAAGTCATGGACCATAAGTCAAAAGTTAACCAAAACATTTCATTTCTCTCTTCTTTTTCTTCTTCTTCTAGTAGGCATAAAGCTCTCTCTCTCTCTCTCTCTCTCTCTCGTCAACCTTCACTTTTTCACTCTATATCTATCTATAGACACTAAATGACTTACAAAACTTCAAGCTTGCTTTTAAAGTGAGATTTTGATGAGACTATTGATGAAGAAGTGATAAGCTTGAGAAAAGCTTCTAATTGAGACCAATATTGCAAGGGGTTTAGGGAATTTCAAAATTTGGAGCCTTAAGGGCTTGTTTGACTAGCACACTTTGAGGTATGGGTCGTCTAACTGTGTATTTTAAGTCTTTATAAATGGTTATTGTGTTTCTCTTTAAAAGCATGCTAAAATTTTACATGATTTGGTTGGATTGGATTATAAGCTTGGCCTATGATTATTGCTTGTTAAGTTGTTGCTTAAATTGAAATCAATATTACCTATGTGTTGCTTGGTTGTTAATGACAATTTCTTGTTAAATTGTTGCTAAAGTAAAGTTATTATTCAGCTTGTAATAGCATGTAATGATGGAAAAATGTGTTGAAAATTTATTCATCTTATTGTGCTCTTTTGTGTATGTGTCATGCTTACTTGACTTGAGGAAATGCTATATAGGCATCCTCTACTAAGCGGTAGTGCTCACCCCTCTCATCTTAAACATTTTCAGGATTTTAGGAGCTGCCGAATGGATGAGTCGCCTTCACATACTATTACGTAGTTAGAAAGTTTAAAAAATGAATTTCATATAACCATACTCAATGTAATTGAATTCAATTTGATGGATAAAGATGTATTAATCTCATTATGTTGTATGAATATTATCTTATCATTGTAAGCATGTTTATGAATGTTTTGGAGTAGATTTTTAACCATATTAGATGTCACAAAAGAAGCCATGGGGTTGCCAAGTAGTTCAGGCCTTTAAACAGTGAGAAAATCGCAATTCAGGGCCATTTTGGCCGATCGGTAAGCTATTTCGGTCAACCGGTACCATTTGGAATTGAAACCAATAGCCTCGGACACTCCAGAGCCTTAACCGGTCGACCGGTGGGTCATTTCGGTCACCGAAATAGGCTCCATGGTCTGCCGAAGTGTAAACCGAGACAACTTTGAACCTTTGACTTCAAACGACCATATCTCACTCATTTTAACTCCAAATTGAGTCAAATTTAAGTCTAAATTCAAGGATTTTAAGTCAGTTTTCCAATGAAATTAATTTCACTCAAAACTTTCAATCGTACAGAGAGTTATGACCTTTTTAGTGTGGACTGCTCCAAATTCCTTTGAAAACGAAAGGGGGCAAATGTGTGAAATCTTCATCCTTATGTTCTGGACCTTGTGTCATGGGTTTAAATGACCCGTATGACATGTGTTGACACTTTTTAGACTTATTTAGAGTTATATGATTTATTATCACACCTTAGTTGGCCGTTTTACTCTTGGGTCAGGTTCGGGTATGGACTCGGTTAGCGATTCGGACCCATGGGTTCTGGTCGTTACAAAACTAATAATTTCAGGGGGGCATTATATAAAAAATTTTATATATATACCTATAAAATATAAAAAAAAAAAAAGTTCTATATGTATAATGGGCGGGGCCAGGCTAGAGGGGGCAAGTGCCCCCGGGCATACACTGGCTCCATCCCTATGTTCAAACCCCTCCCCGCCTTCAAATGAGACGAACACGGCCTAGTTTGCATTCGAGGCAAACTTTATTCCATATATAAGTATGTGTGAGTTTTCTTACAAGCAATCAACTGTTCAATGTATTCTCTAAATTGCAACAGTTATCACTAGGTCAACAAATCTGTCGGAAAAAATAATGTACCAGGAATCACAAAGCTGTGTGGTTGCTTGATTACGTAAACCAATTGATATTCAATGTCTTATAAGTTCGAGCTGGTAACTGCTATTGATCTTAATATAAAGTATTTCGATCAAAATTATGCAAGTCCAAAAAAATTTACTTAAAAAAAATGTTGAAACAAAATTGTCCATGATCTAGATTTTCTCCTCACTTTTTATATAATAGGTAATTGTTTCAGCGTAGTCCCAGAGTGATGTAAGACAGACTCGAGATCATCTTTGGCATTATTTTGCAAAAAATAACCACGATTAAACTCGAGCTCCAAAATATACATCAAGTAAATAAATATCATGACCTAGGAGAACCACTTTACAAAAAAGAAAACTGCAGCCATATTTAATTACTCAGCTCCTGTACAAGCTCTCGAATACCTGCATGCATAACACCTGAAAGAACAAATGATGAAACACACACGCACGCACACATATATGTTTATCAGCAAGCTAGGCAAGAGATCTAAATGAGCTTCATAAAACTTTCACCAAGACGAAAAGAGGAACATCCTGCCAAATTTCCATTTATATCACAGAACCACCTCTTTTTTTGGCAGAGGATATACCTCATTCAAAATCCTCCTCGATGTGAGAAACATGCATAAATTGCATCCAAGTTTCTTTGCTCAATAAAATAAGTACGAAAAGTGTCAATATTTCATCACTATCTCCATTAGATAGCAACTAGAAATGCAATTCAATCAAATTATTGTAAGAATCCATTAGTCACTTACAGTGCAGGGTGCCAGTTTAGAAAATTAGAATATGAAAGCATACCAGAAAGCAACCGATCAAGAAAGTCCCCCCACCTCAGTATCACAATAATATTTTTCTCCACAGTTTATGAACTAAACTTGCATGTCTTTTACCGGTATCACACACACACACAAAACAAACTAGCTTTGCATGTTGCAGAGGGAACATGTTAGCTCATGGGTAACACAGCTACAACTTCCTCACAGTCGCAACACAATCCCCCAACCTTTTGTTTACAGCTCTTGTGATACTTGGTCCAATCCAACAAGTGCCCAATTATTCAGGAGAACAATGCTCATAGTTCACTCTGGAGTTGGTACCATCAAGAAGTAAATTCTATGAGTCCAGTTTACATTTGCTGAACCACTTAGATATCACTTATGCATAAATTTACAAGTCAAGACAGCATAACTTAATTTAAGGTCAGTTACCATAGCGAAAACTAGTCGAAAACAACTTCACTAAGCAAGCTGTATTTTCTCTTTCATCCAGTAATCAATTATTTGCTGAAAAAAAAGTCAAATTAATCATCATTTCAACTACAACCCCTGTAGGATTTAAAGTATAATGACAAACAATCTCTTTTTTGTTTCTTATGCCAAGAATGTGAACTCTGAATTCACACTAAAGTATTATAAAAGCCTCCCTTTCTTTCAGACAAAGAGTAGCTTGCGATAGTGAAAATTCTAGCCAATTAATTGACAATCAGAATATTACAGAACTTTCACAATCAATACAGCTGAGGCAAAAAGGTTCATCACTTCCCCAGTCACCAGTTCAAGATGCAGATTCAATTGATTAACCTTTAGATAATTTGCGTGCCTCATTTCTTCGGATTAAAGCAATTGATGGATCAATTTTAGCCTTTTGGCATAACTAGAGTGATTGGTTAGAAAAAAGTGTGATAACACAAAGAAATAGCAAAAGAAACCCGCCCACACACATAACAATCTGATCCTCATAATTTAGACCACGAATCTGCCAGGCCAAGTATTATCATCTTACTAATTGTCTATCTGATAAGCATTATAGATTGCCTGAGCAGCCAAAAAGCATATGTAAAATGAATAGACATCTATCTGCTTTGAAAAAACATAATCCTTATACATTGCCTGAGCAGCCAAAAAGCATATGTAAAAAGAATAGACATCTATCAGTTTTTCAAACCCTTAATGACTAAATTATTCAAAATTAATAGTTATTTTTTATCTTCATCTTTCTATTGAATAGAAGCTACTTTTCTTTTCTAATCATTCTCTCTCATTTTTCTGAAAAAGAGGGGGAAAAAAGAAAAGAAAAAAGGTGAGTAAGCTGATAGCGCAGGAATAGAATCCACTCAACCCAGGTCTATACAATGTCAATACTCAGTCCAAGGAACGCCATCTTGTGGCACACTTTTGCATGTGCAAAGAGAGAAATTTCAAAGGAAATAACAAAAGAAAACACATGAAGGTAGATATTCAAGTAATAAATCTGTATTATGCAACGCAAGAATTAATATTAATCCCGAAAAATTATAAGGGATTACAAAAAGAATGAGAGAAAAAAAAAAAAAAAAAAAAAAAAATTGTTCAAGTGTATGCAAATTGCTCCTAGTCCTAAAACTAAAGAATATGGTAACAGAAAAATAAATCTGCAAAAAGTTTCTTAGCACCTGGAAGCCCATAGATGTTCAGAAAGGGAATCCTTTGGGCAAGTTCCTCTTTGAAGTTTTTGCTAACCGCTCTACACCTTTTACATTTGTGTAATACTCCATCAATTCACTTGCAACATCCTTAGGGTGACATTTAATAAATGTCTTAATAAACAAATTCTCTGTCATTCTCAATGCCCTCAACATTGCAGGTCCTTTAATTTGTGGAACAAGACCCAAATCTTGGATTATACCCCCGAGAAGAAATCGGGGCTTCAACACAGCCTCCAAATTAGAGAATATCAGAAATGGATAATCAAGGACCGTACTAGCAGGTAGCTTCATTGTCCCCAGTACAAAAGTCATGTTCCTCTGAACCTTGTCAACGGATAAGGTCAACAGCAGAGGCGAGCGTCCGAAAAGACCCAAAACCTTATCTTCTGAAAACCCAAATTTCTCAAAGAATGCCACCTTCTCACGAATTGTCTCAAGGCGTGAGATTGCAATGAGGGTGACCACGTATTTGTACATTTTGGAATCCTTAGAGAGGCCAGTCTTCTGTATGTAATACATCTTTTCATCAGTGAATGATGATCGAGGAATTAATGTGGGACGAGACAGAAGCATGGGAATCAAGTCCTTTCTGCTAACACCCATTCTCTCGTATGCGGCAATGGTGGGTTTGATCAAATTATGGAAGTCGTAGGTGAGGAGGGAAGGGTTGCGTGTAATGGCTTTGAGAAGCATTTGCCTTGACCCAAACAAGGTTTGGAGATATTCCAGGCGCTCATCGAAGCAATGATTGATGCGGCGAGTAAAGAAGCGGCGGCAACAATTGATGATTTTGACAAGGTCAGAAGCTGTGAGGCCTAACTTGCTAAGTATGCTGAGCTTAGATTGTAGCTTTGTGACATCAGCACCACGTAAAGAAGGCCGCAGAAGAAAAATCTTTGATATATCAGTTTCACTACAACCCCATCTCCTAAAAACATCAATGGAGTCCTTAGGGTGGTCTCCTATATCTTCCAAAACATTGCAGTTCTGGTTGTTTTCTAGGGTTCCAGTTAATGGGGGAACCATTGCGGTTGTGGTATATGCCGCACTGGTCCACCATAAATTGGGTTTTGCAAATGGGGTTTTGATATGGGAAGCATTGAAGGGCAAGGAGACAAATTTCCGAGGGACAGAGAATAGGAAGCCGAGTTGGATTAAAGCATTGAATTTAGCTTTCATATTATTATGATGTTCACTGTTGAATCACTTTGATTTAAGTATCCTAAGAACTTTCAACAATATCTAAGACCACCATAAAAATTGAACAAATTGGGCAAATCTTGGATTAAGGTTGGTTCTTTGAGAACAGAGTGACAGTCTCAACTGACTAAGCATCAAGATTCAGAACTTACTCAGCATTAAACAGTACTATACAATTGATGCATATACCGTTAAAAGGATTGTCTTCAATCAAACTGTATTTTAGCTCCAAGTTTATTAATCGACTTTGCACTTAACAAGCAGGCTAAATCTAGATATTAAACAATTATACAGTGGCCAAAATTGGAGAGGGAAAGAGTTCGAAGAGAGAGAAATTAAGGGGGACACCTGAACTTGCCCTTATTGCCGCTGAGGATCGAGTGAGGAAGCAAAGAATCGCAGCCAATAAAAATAATGAACACAAGTAGATCACCAACTTAGGGTTGCTTGACCACCGGAGCAACGGCGGTCGTGGTGATTCCAGTGGGGGCCGTCGTTCTCATGTTATTCGACCTCGTCGCGCGCGCTCTCTCTCTCTCTCTCTCCCCATATATATATATATATATATAGATATGGTGAAGTGCAAAAAAAAAAAAAAAAATTAATAATAATAATAATAAGGGTAAAGTATGACCGCACTCTTGAGGTTTTGGTAAAACGACACTACAATGAAATTTACCTATTTTGTATACAAAGACGCCCCTAAAAGTTTAAAAATAGACAAAGAGATTCCTAAAGGTTCAAAAATAGACAAAGATACTCCTTTTACATGATAAATTGACCAAATTACCCTTTGACCATTTAGGATACTTTTTTAACTTTACAATTTAATAAATTATATTTAATTATTACTTCTTTTCTTTTTCTTTTTTATTTTTAAATTAAGATGCTTAATTCTTTCATCTAAAAAAAATTAAACCAATGTCTTTTCCTTAAAAATAAAAAATATGGTACCAGTATAACTTTATGCATCTTAAATTATATATCAAATATTATGCATTTCCCAACCTAAAAGGGAAAAATAATAATAATAAAACAAAGGGAAAAAAATAATAAAACAAAGGGGAGAAAAAAAAAAAAAAAACAAAGGCATGCATAAAGTTAAGATGCATAAAGTTATACTGGTACCTATTTTCTTTTATATTGGGAAATGCATAATATTTTTTATATAATTTAATATGCATAAAGTTATACTGATACCATATTTTTTATTTTTAAGGAAAAGAAATTGGTTTAATTTTTTTAGATGACATAATTAAATATCTTAATTTAAAAATAAAAAAGAAAAAGAAAATAAGTACTAACAAAATATAATTTATTTGAAATATATGAACTGAATCAAAAAAATCATTTTAAATGTTTACATTTTTGTAGAAGTTGGGACATTTATAAAGTAAAAAGAAAAAAAAGTGAACATTATTATAAAGTTTTTTTTTTTTTTACTTTTTTTATGCATAAATTATTCATGAGGGTAGATTGGTCCAATTTAATAAATTGTAAAGTTAAAAAAGTCTCATAAACGGTTAAAGGGTAATTTAGTTAATTTTTCATGTAAAGAGGTGTTTTTGTCCAAAAAACAGGTAAGTTTCCTCTGAGTGTTCTTTTGCCAAACCTCATGGGGTGTGGTTGTACTTTACCCTAATAATAATAATAATAATGTTGTGTTACGAAGGAAAGAAAATATAGGTGTGGTGAGAAAATAGGAAAAAATTGATAAATTTTTTTTATTCGGTAAATATGATACAAGGAAAGAAAATAGAATATGATGGATGACTTATTCTTTATTATTTACAAATTTTTAATTCCTTAAAAAATAGGCAAAAGAGAGGAGGGAAGACATGTGAATTATTATAATATTATCCGAAATTATACAAGTTTTAAATTTTTTTTAAATTTTTTATTTAGTGAATGCAAGATTTAAATTAGAGTACTACCTCCATCAATAATATTATAAATATTATTGATTTTATAATGATAAAAATAATTAAATTCACTTTTACCGAACATAATAAATTATAATATGAAGGAAATACACAATCTCTCATTTTCTCTCTTCTAACTAATTTTTATCCATCCCAGATTTTTTAGATTGAATTTGGGGATTGGAATTTTTCACATATGTCTCTTCCGAAACTTGAACTCCTGACTTTCCTTTGAAAAGTAAGAGGCTGATACCGATAGGCCACTGAGCCGTTGGTATACATTATTTTAATATATATATATATAAATCTCACGGATCGAATTGGATCGAATTTTTAACAGTCCAATATGTGAGTTACGAATTCGATTTTTTTTTAATCAGTCACCGATCCGTGGGTGTAGTAATCCAATTCGATCCGCACGGATCAGATCGGATTCACGAATTATTTGTTCACCCCTAAACCCAACCACTACAAGATTACGTTCGCTAATACCCTTTCTTATTGAATTACACTTATTATATTTTTCTTCATAAAATAAATTATGAATTTTTTTTTTTACTATTTTAATGACATATTTTTCATCAAATTTGAATAATTTTATCTTAATTCTTGAAATAAATTGTTTTGATAAAATCTTAAATAGAAAAAATTTATAAAAAAAATTACATAATTTTTTAACATTTCATGTATATACTGCATGAAAAATGTATTTTTTACTTAAGCAATTTCTCATTTTTTATTAATATATTGTATGATCAGGAGTAAAGAAGTTTTATCTGAGTAGAACGAATTTCCTTTTAAATAGTAAGGTTTTAATAATAAGTTAATCAGTTAATCATTTTTTTTTTATTTTTAAAATGGCTAAATTTGGTGGAAGTTAAAACTCTGTCTTCTTATTTTTTTCCATTGGTTATGATAAATTGACATAAATAATAAAATTAAGGTAAATAGTGTAATTAATATTTAGTTAAGAAAATGATAATAAAGATAATTTAATAAGAATGGATAAATTGTCTTTTGTGATGGATATATCCATAGTTACTACCAATCATTATTTTAAGCAATCATTATTTTAAAGGTTTTTTTTTTTTTTTTTTTTTTTTTTGCCTATTTAGCCGACATATGAACAACAACTACTAAATAGACCAAGGTTGTCCCTAAATTGCACTTTTTATATAGAGCATAAAGTTTTGTCCTTAAATTGCAGTCGGGGGAAACCATTTGATATTGGGTGGGCTAATGCAATGAAAACTAGCGTTGAGGTTTATTCTTAATCTTATGAAACTATTTTCTTAATTAGAGATTCTGAATTACACTGGCGTATCAAGTGTAAATGATTCAAGATCATCAAATAATTTCTCTATTTGCTCAAAAGAAAGTTTGTTGAATAAAAACTTTAGGTATTTGCAAAAATGCATCTTTCTTGATGCAGTATTATTATTAATTTTTTTGTATGAAATGTTTTGATAATTTTTTTTTTTTTTTTTTAAGAAACTCAGGCATATAAAATAAAATTTCCGCATTCTCAAAAGGGGCAAATTGCGTAAGACTCTTCACCACATTAAATTTTTTGGCACAATATTTCCATAAAAATTTTTTATAGCAAAATACACCTTGACCTCTATATTTCACCTTTATTACAGCTACATATCCTCTCACATTTACATAATTGCACTGTCACCACTATCAGATACCTTCTTAGCTTAGGGAGAAAATTGGCTATTTTACTCTCCTTACTGAATATAGTGGTTTATTATTCGTATTTTATCATTTTGATTTTACAACTTCTCAAATTACAATGTGCTTTTATTTCAATGAAAAAGAAAAGGGCAAGTCTTCATTTCATTCACATGATAGTATTATTTGTGCTTAGACCAACCCTAAAGCTTACTCTCAGAGGATTAATCCTAGAACAACCCTGTGCTTTCAATCCTGTACGAACCCCAACACTGTGCTTTCAATCCTATACGAATCCTATATGAACCCAAATCTTTCAAAGAAGACAGAAGAGATTTGAAGTTTTAAGCAGAACTCGATGCAACAAGTTCTTGCCAAAAACCACGTTCGAAATCATGGTTTGGACAAAGTAAGAACATGCAAGACTTAGAAAAGAAGAGGAGTGGCAAAAGCAATAGTAGCATTGAGCATGGTGGCATTGGAAAGGGAGATGGTGTCGACGAACAGCAAGATTATGTGGGAGAGAGATAGCAAACGGGCGTACTCTTGATGGCTCTCTTGTGGATGTGTCTTAGAGCTTAGGACTGAAATAGGCATAAGTCCTAACATTATTTCCCTTGCTCTACAGAAATTATTACATAATCCGGGATCATGTGATCCTAACCAATAAGAAGATGACCCTACAGAAATTATTACAATTCAATTCAGACTCGAGATAGACTTAATCTTTAGCATTATTTTGCAAAAAAAAATAACCACAATTAAACTCAAGCAAGTGTGCTCAGTGGACCGTGCTCCACAATTTACACCAAGAAAATAAACATCATGACCTAGAAGAACCACTTTACAAATCCACTATGGGAGCACAGTCTTTAGGCTCCTGCCTCAACATAAGATACCGGGTAGGGCAGTTCGTACCATTTTGAGAAGAAATCCCTGAAAAGCATCAATCAAGCATTTTTCGAGAAAAGGTAAGAGAACTCCAGCCATAAATAATTACTTATACTCACTATCATTCCTAATAATATCTACAGCTTCTGTACAAGCTCTTGAATACTTGCATGTATAACACCTGAAAGAACAAAAAAAATAAAAATTGTTTATCAGCAAGCTAGGCCAGAGATCTATCCGAGCTTCATAAAACACTAACCAAGACGAAAAGAGGAACACCCAGTCAAAATTCCATTACATCACGGAACCTCGACCTTTTTTTGAGGCAGAGGATATACCACTCAAGCTAATGTTTGCTGGTTCGTCATTCAAACTCCTCCTCGATGTGAGAAATGTGCATAAATTGCATCTAAGTTGGTTTGCTCCATAAAATAAGTACGAAGAGTGGCAATATTTCATCACTATCTCCATTAGATAGCAAGTAGCAATGCACTTCAATCACTTTATTGTAAGAATCCATAAGTCGTCTCTTACACTGCAGGGTGCCAGTTTAGAAAATTAGAAAGAAAAAAAAAAAAAAAAAAACAAAGAAGAGAGAAGAATTGAGTTTCGGTAAAGATCTGCTGTTTCTGATAAAATGATAACTTTACCCTATTCAAACCCAACTAAGGTTTGCCAGCTCTTAAAAATGTAGGTAGGAAACAAATGCATGGTCTAACACACAATCCACAAAACCTTCAGTGAAGGTTCTGAATCCAATCAGGAAAATTGAACACTTCTTTATTCACCTGTTTTTTGTATTATTCTGGGTCTATCCCTGTTTATCAACTTTGTTCTGCATTCTGTCATGTCAACTAGGTACTTTAATTCCTTTCGTACATCTACTCATCTTTTGGACTAAATTTTACCACAGGGTCTTAAGCCCCTTTACTCTCAAAACCTGTAAGAAAGCAAAACAAATCAGAAACTGAGCAACAAGGTCAATCACAGCAATACCAGAAAGCAACTGATTAAGACAGTTTAAATAGACCGTGTAAACACAACTTCAATAGCGCACGAATAGAACCCAGGTCTATGCAATGTCAATACTCAGTCCAAGGAACGCCTTCTTGTGGCACACATTTGCATGTGCAAAGAGAGAAATTTCAAAGGAAATAGCAAAAGAATGCACACGAAGGTAGAAATCCATGGAATAAATCTACATTATGCAACGCAAGAATTTATATTAATTCCGAAAATTTGGAAGGGATTACAAAAAGAAGAGACAAATACAAAAATATTGTTCAGGTGTATGCAAACTGCTTCTAGTCCTGAAACTAAAGGATATGGTAAGGAACAGCAATAATTCTTGAAAAAGTTTCTGAGCACCTGGAAGCCAGAGATGGTCAGAAAGGGAATCCTTCATGCAAGTTCCTCTATGAAGTTTCTGCTAACCGCTTGACACCTTTTACATTTGTGTAATACTCCATCAATTCACTTGCAACATCCTTCAGGTGACATTCAATAAATGCCTTAACAAACCGCTTCTCTTTCATCCTCAATGCCCTCAACATTGCAGGTCCTTTAATTTGTTGAACAAGACCCATTTCCTGTATCTTCCTCGCGAGAAGAAACCGGGACCTTAATACAGCCTCCAAATTCAACAACAGCAGAAATAAATGACCAAGGACCGTACTAGCAGGTAGCTTCATTGTGCCCAATACAAAAGTCATGTTCCTCTGAACCTTGTCAATGGATAAGGTCAAAACCAGAGGTGAGCGTCTGAAAAGACCCAAGACCTCATCTTATGAAAACCCAAACTTCTCAAAGTATGCCACCTTCTCACGAATCGTCTCTAGGCCTGAGATTGCAATGAGGGTGACCACGTATTTGTACATTTTGGAATCCTTAGAAAGCCCAGTCTTCTGTATGTAATACAACTTTTCATCCATGAATGATGATCGAGGAATTAAGGTGGGACGAGACAGAAGCATGGGAATCAAGTCCTTTCTGCTAACACCCATTCTCTCGTATGTGGCAATGATGGGTTTGATCAAATTATGGAAGTCATAGTGAGAAGGGAAGGGTTGCGTGTAATAGCTTTGAGAGCATTTCCCTCGACCCAAACAAAGCTTGGAGATATTCCAGGCGCTCATTGAAGCAGTGATTGATGCGGCGACTAAGTAAGCGGGGGGCGACAATTGATGATTTTGACAAGGTCAGAAGCCGAGAGGCCCAACTTGCCAAGTATGCTGAGCTTGGATTGTAGATTTGTGAGATTATAGGAATGTAAAGAAGGCAGCCGAAGAAAAATCTTTGATAAATCAGTTTCACTACAACCCCATCTCCTAAAAACATCCATGGAGTCCTTAGGATGGTCTCCTATATCTTCCAAAGCATTGTGGTTGTGGTTGTCTTCTAGGGTTCCAGTTAATGGGGGAACCATTGCGGTTGTGGTAAAAGCCGCACTGGTCCGCCATAAATTGGGTTTTGCAAATGGGGTTTTGATATGGGATGCATTGAAGGGCAAGGAGACAAATTTCTGAGGGACATAGAATAGGAAGCCGAGTTGGATTTAGCTTTCATATTATGATATTCACTGTTGAATCACTATCAGTAGCCTATCAACTTCAACAATATCTAAGACCACCTGGAACAAATTGGGTCTTGAGAGCAAAGTGGCAACAACAAGGGTTAATTAACGCCATTTCACTTTCTTGTTTTCACTCCGAAAAGCAAAATTATGTTTCTGTTTCTTGCGACAGCAAAAATAAAAAATGTTTCACATTAGTGAATGCAGCCATAGTGATCCGAAACATGTTTGATAACGTAAATTTTAAGCAAAAACATGAAACACGTGTTTAGTAACACCAATGCGTTGGAAGAATTTTGAAAACAAAACACTAAAAAACATGTTTGGTAACTCAAAGTGATGCCAAAAAATTGGAAGCAAAAATTAAAAAAAAAACATATTTGGTTATTACTGCTTCTAATTTGTTTTGATTTTTATAATTTATTTTTCCTATTTAATTATCTAGATTAAAAGTCATCATTTTCTAACGACTCTTAAAAAAATTTAGCATTATTTTCCATGAATTAACTACAATTAAACTCAAGCAAGTGTGCTCCACAATTTACATCAAGTAAACAAAAATTCATAACTAGAAGAACCACATTCCAGAAAAAGAAAATTTCAGCCATAAATAATTACTGATGTTCTTGATCATTCATATAATCTATACTCCTTTTGTAAAAGCTCTTGAATTGCATGTATAACACTTGAAAGGACAAGTTCTGAAAAATATATACAAAAAATGTGTTGATCTAGGCCAGAGATCTAACTGGGCTTCACAAAAGTTTCACCATACAAGAAAAGAGTAACATCCAGCCAAATTTCCATTGCATCATTGAAACACCATCGTCCACCAATAGGTAAGAAGTAAGAACATACATACACTCACTCTGTCCCAATTAAACCACCAAATCTCAACTACAATTCAAATGCAAGGTCTAACACAATCCACAAAAACCTTCTATGAAGATTCCGAGTCCTATCAGCAAAATTGAACACTTCTTTATTCACCTATTTTTTTTATTATTATTATTTTGGATCCATCCCTCTTGTATCCCCTTTGTTCTATATTCCCTCACGTCAACTGGATACCTTACATACTTTTACTCTCAAAAGCTGTAAGCAAGCAAAGCAAATCGGAAACTGAGCAACAAGGTCAATCACAAGAAGACCAGAAAGTAACTGAGCAACATGGCCTTCTAAATGATCTTCTTGTTACTGGAGATGGCAGATATTTTCTGAAGACCCCCACCTCAGTATCACAATGATATTTTCCTCCACGGTTTGTCCTAGGGACATGTTGACCTGCCTAAGAAATAAACTTGCATGTTCCAGAGGGCACATGTTAGCTCATGGGTAACACAGCTAGAACTTCCCTACAGTGGCAACACAATCCAAGACCATCAAAATGAGTTCTGGAAAATAAAGTATCAGAAGATTAACAAGGACAATTAACATTTGGTTAACAGCTCTTGTGATACTTGGTCCAAACAAAGGCACCAGACAGCATGGCGGTCCAATCCAACAATTAGACAATTATCCAGGAGAACATGCTCATAGTTCACTCCGGAGTTAGTACCATCAAGAAGTAAATTCTCTAAGTTTGTCGAAGCACTTAGATATCACTTATGCATAAATGTACAAGTCAATACACCATAGTTTAATTTAAGGTAAGCAATCATGGCAAAAACTAGTCAAAAACAACTTGACTAAGCAAACTTTTTTTTTTCTCTTTCGTCCATTAATCAATTATTTGCTGAAAAGAAGTCAAATTAACAATCATTTCAACTACAACCCCTGTAGGATTTAAAGCATAATGCCAAACATTCTCTTTTTTTGTTTCTTAATTATTGACATATATAGTGGTCTGGAAAGAATAACAAGAAACGGGAAGAGAAAAAATAAAAAAACACACACACTATTCTGCCAAGAATGTGAACTCTGCATTCACACCAATTTATTTAACTAATTAAAAATATAAAAGCCTTCCCTTCTTTCAGATAAACGATAGCTCGCAATATTGAAAAGCTAGCAAATTAATTGACAACCGGAATCAATTCAAAACTTTGACACTTACTACACCTGAGGTAAAAAGGTTCTTCACTTCCTACAGTCACTAGTTCAAGATGCAGATTCAATTTCTTAATTTATAGATAATTTCCGTGCCTCGTTTCTTCTGATTAAAGCAATTGATTTTATCAATTTTAGCCTTTTTGGCATGACTAGAGTGTCTGGTTCGAAAAAAAAAAAAATGGGTTTTTCATTTTTTTTATTTTTTATTTAAGTAAAGTGTATTAGAGAAGCCCTCAAATGGGGAGCGCGCTTATGTACAACTTTAAGAAGACAAAACTTTTAAGCTCTCAAACTATTCACAAAGTCAACTATATCCTCCATGTACAGCAGTGCCCTTTAACCCAAAAAAAATAAGTTAATCAATATGGAATATTTAAGTGCCCAAATAGAAGGTTCGTCCCTTCAAAACAAAAACTGTGACAGGCAAGAATTATAAGTGCCCAAATAGGAGCTTTGTCCCCTTCAAAACAAAAACTGTGTCAGGCAAGAATTATCATCTTACTAATTGTCCATCTGAGTGACTGCTTGAGCCGCCAAAAAGCATGTGTAAAGTGAAGACATCCATCTATTTTGTATCAAAAAAATCCTTAATGACCAAATTATTCAAAACCAAGAGTTATTTTTATCTTTATCTTTCTATTGAGTAGAAGCTACTTCTCTCTTCTAAACAGACTTTCTCATTTTGCCAAAAAAGAGAGGAAAAAAAAAGTGAGTAAGCTGATACGCAGGAATAGATCCCAGGTCTATGCAGTGTCAATAAGGGGTGACAAATTTTGACACAACCCGCCAACACAACTCGAGCATGACACCAGATAAGCGGGTTTGGGTTGACCTTAAATGGGTTCGGGTCATAAACGGGTTAACACGATTAACCCATTTACTTAATCGTGTCGTGTTAAGGTTGAGGGGTTCAACCCGTGTGACTCGTTTATACCTGTTTAACTCAACGTGTCATAATCGTGAATATGACATGTTAATCTATTACCTGATTAGACCCAATTACCATGGACAGTTAAGTCATTTCAATATAAACCTTGATTACGTTTTATGATTTTTACTTAAACATTTGTATTATATCTACTTGACTATGGATTGTTTGATATTTTTCTTCTTACTTTGAATATTTGGGTTGATTGTGACTTATATTTTTTCTAGTATTTATTGTTTGATTGAATATTAAATGTTTCAATTTGATAAACAGGTCATTAAACACGTTAACACGTGCAACCCGTTTAATAAACAGGTCAGGTTAGTAGTGAGAGTCCTTGACACGATTATTAAACGGATCGTGTTTGGGTTTACCTGTTCAGTAGAATACCCTTAGATCGGCACTACACGATTATGACACGCGAACACAAATTGTCACCCCTAGGTCACTCAATACTTAGTCCTTGACAAACAAGCAAATGCAGAAAGAAAAAAAGAAAAAAAAAAGCGGTGCTAAATGGCAGGAGTTAATTCTAGTACATATGTCCGAGGAACGCCTTCTTGTGGCACACTTTTGTTAGGATTTGTGTGTGCCCTACAAAGTCAATGATTCTAATTTGACATTTAGATTAAATAATATTTTGATTTATTCATCTTCATACAATTTGGTGAATTCTTGTATGAGTAGTACAACAGCTAAACTAGGTGTCCATTAATTATGACAGCATGATTCATGTGTACATGAAAGTAGACCTGTGCATAGGAGATATGAATCATTGGTAGTTATAATTATTAATTGTTCGTATGCAATGAATAGAATTGGGTATTTTAATTCTACAAGCGTAACACATTGGTTTGCACTTAGTGGAATGGCTTATCTCATTCATTTGGATGGAAGATTCAGAACCTAATGTGTTGGTATGTGGGGCACACTGAACGGATCGGCAATAAGTATAAAATTACTTGAGCCATCATGAGTAATATTCCATATCAGCTACTAAAGTAAACAGCCTCTTAATCCTAAAAGATTTATGAACGGTACAATATAGTAGTAATATTTATTTTGATTTACTTGAGTGACCTACGGGTCAACACACTTGGGTATTTAGGGTAACGTATTATTGTAAGACTATGGAACATACTTTTCACAATGGAATCTATGGGGTATTAATATTTTGGTTTGGTTTGGTTTGTTTGATCACAGAAAAATCACAATTATATTTAATAAATAGTTTTGTATTTATTTATTTATTAAAAAAATATTTTATTGAAAAAAATGTATGTGATCAAACCGGTTTACAAACCTAGATAGCCAAAATATGGATTAATTAGTATATTGGATTAATGGTATTATTCATTGGTTCGAAATTCATGGACTAAATCTGCATTATGCAGCGCAAGAATTAATATTAATTCCAAAAACAATGGAATGAATTATAAAAAGAAGAGATAAACGAAAATATTGTTCTGGTGTATGCAAACTGCTCCTAAAAACTAAAGGATATGGTAAGGAACAGCAAAATAATTCTGCAAAAAGTTTCTGAGCACCTGGAAGCCAAAGATGTTTAGAAAGGGAATCCTTTGATCAAGTTCCTCTTTGAAGTTTCTGCTAGCCGCTTGACATCTTTTACATTTGTGTAATACTCCATCAATTCACTTGCAACATCCTTCGAGTGACATTCAATAAATGCCTCAACAAACCGATTCTCTTTCATACTCACTGGCCCTAATATGGGACATCCTTTAAATTGTGGAACAAGACCCATATCCTTTATCTTCCTTGCGAGAAGAACCCGGGGCTTTAACACAGTCTCCAAATTAGAGTACAGCAGAGATGGAAAACCAATGACTGTACTAGCAGGTAGCTTCATTGTGCCCAATACAAAAGTCATGTTCCTCTGAACCTTGTCAATGGATAACGTCAACACCATAGGTGCGCGTCTTAAAAGACCCCAAACCTCATCTTCTGAAAACCCACACTTCTCAAAGTTTGCCACCTTCTCACGAATCGTCTCAAGGCGTGAGATTGCAATGAGAGTGACCACGTATTTGTACATTTTGGAATCCTTAGAGAGCCCAATCTTCTGTATGTAGTACATCTTTTCATCAGTGAATGACGATCGAGAAATTAATGTGGGACGAGACAGAAGCATGGGAATCAAATCATTTCTGCTAACACCCATTCTCTCGTATGTGGCAATGATGGGCTTGATCGTATTATGGAAGTCATAGACGAGGAGGGAAGGGTTGCGTGTAATGGCTTTGAGAAGAATTTTCTTCGACCCAAACAATGCTTGGAGATATTCCAGGCGCTCATCGAAGCAGTGATTGATGCAGCAATTAAGGAAGCGGGGGCGACAATTGATGATTTTGACAAGGTCAGAAGCCGAGAGGCCCAACTTGCCAAGTATGCTGAGCTTGGATTGTAGATCTGTGAGATCAGTGGCACGTAAAGTAGGCCGCCGAAGAAAAATCTTTGATATATCAGTTTCACTACAACCCCATCTCCTAAAAACATCAATGGAGTCCTTAGGGCGGTCTCCTGTATCTTCCAAAGCATTGCGGCTGTGGTTGTCTTCTAGGGTTCCAGTTGAAGGGGAAACCATTGTGGTTGTGGTGAATGCCGCACCGGTCCACCATAAATTGGGTTTTGCAAATGGGGTTTTGATATGGGAAGCATTGAAGGGCAAGGAGACAAATTTCTGAGGGATGGAGAAGGTGAAGCAGAGTTGGATTAAAGCATTGAATTTAGCTTTCATATTATGATGTTCACTGTTGAATCACTACGATTCAAGTATCCTATCAAATTTCTAACAAAATCTAAGACCACCTGGAACAAATTGGGTCTTGAGAACAAAGTGACAGTCTCAACTGAGTAAGCATCAAGATTCAGAACTTACTGACCATTAAACAGTACCCTACAATTAATGGATGGTCTAGAATCAAACTGTATCAATGAAAACCAAACTTTTAGCTCCAAGTTTATTAATCAACTTTGCATCTGAACAAGCAGATAAATTTAGCTATTAAACAATTATACAGTGAAGAAAGAGTTGGAAGAGAGAGAAAGGGACAGACCTGAACGTGCCCTTATTGCCGCTGAGGAAGCAAAGAATCGCAGCCAATAAAAACAATGAAGCAGAGCACCAACTTAGGGTTTCTTAATCGCGGTTATTTCCAGTGGCGGCCGTTGTTCGTCTCTCTCACTCTATACTACATCTTTCTTGATGCAAGTAATTATTATTTCTTTTTCCGAAAACCTTTTATTTACTTATTTATTTATTTATTTTTACTCTATGGTAAAGCCTTCCTTTCTTTCTGATAAAGAGTAGCTTGCGATAGTGAAAATTCTAGCCAATTGGTATATTTTCAGAACTTTCATACCTAAAACAGCTGAGGCAAAGCTAGTTCGAGATGCAGATTCAATTGCTTTTGAAATCCACTTCTGGGAAGCTAGCGAGGGATTTAAGTGATATATGTTGCCATCGCAATTTTGACCATACAATTTATAACATGCAAAACCCTGTACATCATTCATGTGCATTGATGTATATAGAATGTTTATACATCATTATAACTGTATAAGCCAAGAGGTGTGGTAGTTGTAAACTAAACAGACGTCTTGTATGACCATAATGTCATGTTAGACTGATACTGGAAATGTGCGATAGATGGAACAATGTTTGTAAATCAAAAGAATTACAAATAGGCACATCCAATAATGATGAGATATTATTTTGTCTATAACTAACCATTGCATCTCATTGGAAGTGGTTGTATCTGTTGGCGGAGAGACACCACCTTGTCTATAAATAATACCCATTGGCTGCCATTTCAATTGGTTCAATTCATTTTCTTGTCTATCCTTTTTAAGATTTGAACCTAACCCAAGTGGGTTCAAGCCATAAGTCAAGTTGTCCGAGCCACTTAGACCATGATCTAATTTTATCGAGCCATATTAAAATTAGTTCAAACCATTTGGTTCAGAGTGCACTAAATTCAGCATTTATATAATATAGATGCATTTTTTAGTTAGAGAGAATATTACACAGAGAAGGTTTGACGTATTCACGAATTTGTAGTACAGCTAGTAGTGGATGTAGACCGTCGTCAGCACTATGCGAGGAGTAAATTATCTTAAGGATATAATGTCCAATACTAACCTCGGTCTAAATTCTTTATTTATTATTATTATTTTAATTTGCATGTTTAATTAAATATCAAGTTACATATTTAATTAATTATTTTTTAATACATTATTAATTATCTCATAATATATTAATATAATGTTAATTATATTCTAAATGTCATTTGAAGTGTATATTTTCAACAGCATTGACGAATGGTAGGTTGGGGACTACCTTGGGAAGCTTGCTTTGGAGACAATATGAACTCCTTTTGTGTGGGGCAGTCATTAACTGCATGTCAACAAAAGATGACCGAACAAATTTTGTGGTGCAATCATTTGTTGCTAACAAAGATGAGTAAAAAAAAAAAATTGTGGTCTAGTCATTTTTCAATTTATTTGTGTAACGTTGAGTAATCAATTTTTTTTTTTTTTGGTTCTGAGAAGTTGAAGTTTATATATATATATATATATATATACTTGAGATGACAAATGTGGTGCTAATATGATTCAATAACTGTGTACGGTATATATATTATGTAAGGGTATTAGTGTAAACTCATGATAGCTTAAGGACTTTGATCATTTTGTCATCAAACATGTACAATTTGAGTAAAATCACTTTTGTAGATGGAAGGACTTTTCAAAATGAGGTTAAAACAAACACTTTTTAAATTTCAAATTCCTTTCTACAAAGTCATACTTGGAAGCCCATTAGACTGAAAGGAGTTTTTACATCTGAAAGCCACGCCAAACAAGGTTAGATAAATGCTTTGGTGACTAAGGACTTTTTACATCTTTATGTATTCAAAGTGCTCATAAGTTGTATTTGGCTCTCCCCATGCTAAGGGTCGTTTAACAACTGTTTTTACTTCGCTTTTGATAGTGTACTATGCGAAACAAAAGCACAAAACATGTTTGGTAACGTTTGCTGTCATTTGAATAGTATTGCAGCGCTTCCGAAAAAAAGGCCAAAATCGAAAACATAAAAATGATACTCTTGGTTGTTTCCGCACTATAGCAAAAGTACTGTTAAAAAAATAAATAAATAAATAAATAAAAATCTAAAATTTTATTTTTAATTAGCCATTTAATTTTTCAAACTTGCACCACTTTTTACCAAATTTTTTCTCTTATTTTTCTGACCTATATACCTCTTATTTTTCTGACCTATATACATGGTTTAAAATATGTACATTTTTTCTCTTATTTTTCTTTCCTGTTTAACTGAGTAAAATACGTTCTAATTATCTTCATTTTAGTTATTACTGATTTTTTGTATTTTACCTTAATAGACTCATATACATCATAAGTAGATATTATTATTGTGAAAACTACACATAGGTAAAGTTAGGAGTCTTAAATAAATAAATAAATAAAATAATCTATTTTAAAAGTTTACTTCTCAATTTGATTGAATTTTAAAAAATAATTACAAATGCATCAAGAATTATTTTTAAGGTCCAAAATATCCTCATTTCAAAATACCAAAATATCCTTCATAGTATCACATAATTCCAAAACACCAAAAAAATTAGGAGCCTTGCTTTGTCCTGCCAATCTCAGTATTGGTGTTTTTTTTTTATGGGTTGTCATTTCAAGTGTTTTTTATTTTATTTTATTTTATGAATTGTCATTTCAAGTATTGCTTGGTAGGACTTCTTGTGTCAGGATAATAGAGACTAGCTGAAGGTATACCCAAAACGTTTTTAGGATTTGCCCAGTCTCATGCTAATCTGTCCAGTGAAAAAAATTACCCAAATAGAAAATCAATAAATTAGAGGATTACCCCAACTTCACCCAGGGGAAAGGTAGCATAATAGTCTGTGCAAAATAGCGTTGTGCATGAGAGAAAAAAATCTATATATATATAAAATTTTAAAAAAAAAAACCAAATCCATTGCAACAATTATTTTGGTCAATTCATAATAACCAAACGAGTGATTAAGGAGTCTCTTATAAAATTAGATTGTTAAGAACTTGTTAAGATCAAACGAGTATTCGGTTAAGAAATTGTTAAAAAAAATATCCATTGCTCTCTTCTTTCGTAGAAACTGGAATATTTTTCTCCAACACTGAGAAGAGCTGCAAGGGAATGATTTCAGCGTTACGTTCCTCTTGTGTTCTTAGCAAAATAGTTTAGGTTTCTTTTGGCAAGTTTATATATATATATATATATATATATATATATATAAAATCTTGTGAATTTGGTCTTAGAATAGATTATACATAAAATCACTTTGAACAGATTATTTGGGACAACTTTGTTTGATATATATATATTGTTGATAATTAAACAATTTTATTGCAGAAGGAAATAGCAACTAAAGAGGCATTATTTTCAAATTATATTATCTTAAGAAGGATATTTAGGTAAATTGAAATAAGAGCTTGATGGTATTTTGGCCCTTAATAATAATTGTTGATGTTTTTGTAATTATTTTATTTAACTCAATCAAATTGAAGTTTTTCCTATTATTTTTAAAACTACGTCCTCTCAACTATTTTAATTTATTGAGTAATTATGACACATCACAAATGGTCTAAAATTATGTAGGCCACAATTAGGTTCATAATTCATTCTTAAAATATCATAATCGTTACCCTTTTTATGAACTAAAAATTCAATGTCCAATAATCATCCATGCATGGTTGTCATGAACTTCTTATTCAGTAACAAGAGATTATCTTCATATATATATATATAAATACATATACTCAATTAAAAATTAATAAAGAAACTATAAAGTGTCATGAACTTCTAAATATATAAGAGTAACAATCAATTCCGACCTTACTTCACTCCATTTATTAATTAGAATTTAGAGATATATTACTAGTTTCCTAACATATATATAAAATGCATGCATATATATTTTTAATCCCCAATTGGGTTATTATTATTATTATCATCATCGTCGTCGGTGTTCATCAAATGTGTTACGCGGAGCCTTGTACATAGTAGGAGTGGTAAACAACAAAAATACTACCTTGGCCCATTCGGCCCAAGTAGCCAAGTAGGCAATATATGGCAAATGGATCCGACCCGTTTCAAGGCTTTAGCTGCTCAGTCCCATAACAGTAATGGGAACCATCAGCAAGCTAGGGTTTGTCGTGCTCCAGTGAAAGGGAAGAATACTGCAAGTATAAATTCTTCTTCTGGTAAGAATTCATTCAATCCCTATAATACTGTAAAACACATATCCTATATCGATTATCATGAAATTCTTTTGATATTTGTGTTCGAGTTCTGGTCCAACAATGATTCGCCGTAATCTTCTGTGCCCTAGAAATCTCAAACATACTATGTATATGTTCAACAGTATTCATCTAGTTAGAAAAAACCCTTCATCTGGTTCAGCTACAGAACCATTGAATGACTGTTGCAATGGGTTCAGATTATTAACCTTTGTGGAAGGTTTCAATTATAGTTTTCCAATAATTAGGTGTTTGTCAGTGACAAAGAGCCCTAATTTTGTTCGAAGTTACTGTTCTGGGAAGAGCACTGAAAATTCCAGTGAGTGGACTGAAGAAATAGAGTACCTGGACGAATCGGGTACTGTTATATATACTGGTAAGGGTATAAGATCAGTTGCGCCTGGGCTTGATGACCATGTGATGGTGGGTGGGGTAAAGAAGCCACTTTTGAATGCTTCAGCGGTTGCAAAGATCGTTGAGATTGTGAAGAGGTGGAAATGGGGGCCTCAAATGGAGACCCAATTGGACAGACTCCAATTTGTGCCAACCATGACACACATTACTCAGGCCTTGAAGGTTATTGGAGATAGCGATGCTTCATCGAGTTTGTTTCGATGGGCAAAGAGGCAGTCTTGGTATTTGGCTAATGATGAGTGTTATCTGACATTGTTTGATAGGTTGAACCAGAATAGAGATTTTGATGGGATTCAATCTATGTTCGATGAGATGATTAGTGAATCTAGTACTGATGGGATGTCTTCATTTAATGCATACAATAGGGTCATTCAATATTTAGCAAAAGCTGAGAAATTGGAGGTGTCATTCCATTGTTTCAAGAAGATTCAGAATTCGGGTTCTAAGATTGATACCCAGACGTATAATTCTCTCATAACATTGTTTCTAAACAAGGGTTTGCCTTATAAGGCGTTTGAAATATATGAGAACATGGAAGAGTCCGGGAGTTCATTGGATGGATCTACCTATGAGTTGATGATACCAACCCTAGCGAAATCAGGCCGTCTTGATGCTGCATTCAAGCTATTTCAGGAAATGAAAGGAAGGAATTTTCGACCGAGTTTTGCCGTTTTTGCATCACTTGTTGATTCAATGGGGAAAGCTGGGAGGTTGGACACGTCCATGAAGGTGTATATGGAAATGCAAGGTTTTGGGCTGAGACCATCTGCAACCATATTTGTGTCTCTGATTGAGTCATTTGTGAAGGCTGGGAAGCTAGATACGGCTCTTAGGCTCTGGGCTGAGATGAAGAAAGCAGGTTATAGGCCTAACTATGGGCTGTACACAATGATTGTCGAGTCGCATGCAAAATCAGGGAAGCTTGAGATTGCAATGTCTGTATTTTCAGATATGGAGAAGGCTGGTTTTCTACCCACCCCATCTACCTACGCCTGTCTCTTGGAAATGCATGCTGCTTCTGGTCAAATAGATGCTGCCATGAAGCTGTACAACTCAATGACGAATGCAGGTCTGAGACCGGGACTAAGTACTTATACCTCCCTTCTGATACTTTTAGCAAATAAGAAGCTTGTGGATGTTGCTGCAAAAATCTTACTTGAAATGAAGGCCATGGGATATTCAGTTGATGTGAGTGCTAGTGATGTTTTAATGGTTTATATCAAGGATGGTTCAGTGGATCTTGCTTTGAGGTGGCTACGTTTCATGGGTTCATCTGGTGTTAGAACGAATAATTTCATAATCAGGCAGCTCTTTGAATCATGCATGAAGAATGGTTTGTTTGAGTCAGCTAAGCCTCTCCTTGAAACTTATGTAAACTCTGCTGCAAAGGTGGATCTCATACTTTATACATCAATTTTAGCCCATCTTGTAAGATGCCAAGAAGAGAATAATGAGAGGCATTTGATGTCTATCCTAAGCGCTACAAAACATAAAGCACACATTTTCATGTGCGGACTCTTCATGGGCCCAGAGCAGAGAAAAAAACCAGTATTATCATTTGTGAGGGAATTTTTCCAGGGTATTGATTATGAATTGGAAGAGGGACCTGCCAGGTACTTCGTCAATGTTCTCCTTAACTACCTTGTTCTTATGGGGCAGATAAACCGAGCTCGTTGTGTGTGGAAAGTCTCCTATGAGAATAAGCTTTTCCCAAAAGCAATAGTGTTTGATCAGCATATTGCATGGTCCCTTGATGTCAGAAATTTGTCAGTTGGTGCAGCTCTTATAGCAGTAGTTCACACCCTCCATAGGTTTAGGAAGCGAATGTTGTACTATGGTGTTGTCCCAAGACGGATCAAATTGGTCACTGGACCTACATTAAAAATTGTGATTGCACAAATGTTATGCTCAGTAGATTCACCATTTGAGGTTAGTAAGGTGGTTCTGAGAGCCCCAGGTGATTCTGTTTTGGAGTGGTTTAAGAAACCAATTGTCCAGCAATTCCTTTTGAATGAGATTCCATCAAGGGCTGACATTCTCATGCACAAGCTCAACACACTTTTTCCTAGTTCTGCACCTGAAATTAGATCTCTATCCCCTCCTAAACCACTCGTTACTGGGAGGCAATGGACTACCAACAATGTCTGAGATTAGGTACATGTATTGTGTTATGAAAGTGGAATTGTAACTTCTTCTTTTTTTCAAATGTTGCTATTTTGTCATTTTTTTTCCATTAAATTAATATGACATGTAATTTGGATTAAGATGTGTAAAATAATATGTTTCAAGTCTCAAGACATTTATCTCCAAGTGAAAATTTGAGTTATTTGGAACTTATATCCTTCTACACTTAATTTATTTGATGGAGTTTTCTTCTATCTGATCCCTAACTTTGACCTTACCTTTTGCATGAGAAAGTGTTCAGAAAAGAATAGCTCTTTGAATTCTATGCATCTGCTAATTCTCCCCGGTTAAAAAGCACTGTTTTTCTGAGCAGCAATATTAATAATTATAGAAGCCATTGAATTATACTTCATATTCTCTCTCTCTCTCTCTCTCTCTCCTTTTTTCTCTGTGGAGAAATGGGTGCCGGATTATTTGCACATTTTTTTCACTCATTTAATGTAAACTAGTTTTCTTTTTTTGGCAAGTGGTACTTGGATCTACTGTAAATGGGGAACTTGATAGGGGGGAAAGTATTATCATGGAAGCTACTGCAAATGAGAAACTTTCTAGGGGAAATACTGGAAAACAAGTTAATGAAACTAAGAAATCATTTGATTGATTTTAATATACCATTAGTTATTCTAATCTGTTCATTTTTAGTAGGAGGTGAAGTATTTTCATTTCTATCTTGGGATTCATACTATTGTGACTTTAATTAGAAAGTGGGATGGAGGTGGTTAATTGGTGTAGTTTGTCCTATAAAATGTAATATAGCTCTATTGATCTGAGAAGTTAGTCTTGATTATCTTCCTTCATAAAAAGAAAAGAAAATTGAATGCTACAATTTAATCTATTCCACTTATACTTGAGGGTTTCAAAGTGTCTAGATCTTTTGTCTCACAAATAACTTCATCATCATCCAGACATCCCATTGCTAATGGTGACTGAACTAAAAAAAAAAAAAAAAAAACTTTCTTGGGTCAGAGTCATGTCATGTTCTATGAATTCTGTATGTCATGCACTTTTGCTCTCAAAATATCATATATAATAAGACCAGGGAAAAAAAGAAGAGAAAACCCGTCATTTTTGTTACTTTTTGTCTCTTACCTCCTTTAAATTCCAGTTATAAATTTTTTTGGATTTGGAATTAATTACCTATTGTCATCTGAACGTTGTGTATTAATTAGGCTATGCGACTGACGCATAAATGAACTAAGATTATACAGGATTAACCATCATTCTTGTTGTCTTTGGTAGATCATTGACCAGAGGGAGAGAAGACTAGTTGGACCGTAGACAAGTGGGACACAGCACTGCTGAGATAGGGGGGGTTGCTGTTGGCTGTTGAGGAGGAGACAAGCAGTGTCCCTAATTTCTCCACTTTCTTCTTAGTTTTACTGTATAATTTATATGTAAGCAACTTGTGAAAATCTTACAGAATGAGAATTAGCATTCCACTGATGCCTCTGTTAATAGTTTCTCCAAAGTCATCAACTTACCCTAGACCTTTTGTGAATGATTAGTGATATATCGGCCTCCCTTTACTGGGGCTATATTTTCTCTACAATGGATGAGAATCTATTTATTCTCTTATAAGAATGATCAATTTATTTCTTCTATGTAGAACACTCAAATCCAGCCATGCTTCATGGTGAAAATGTGCTTGGATAACCATTTCAGCAACTGTGAGTCTGATACAAATTCTTCTTTGAGCGAGAAAGCCAATCCCCTTGGAAAGATGAAGAGGAGCTGAATGGTGTATGAATCCTTCACCATCGGTGAGTTCTGAATTTTGGCACTAATTGACTGTTGAAAAGAGTAAGGGTAAAATGCTAGATTATATGACTCTTATCAACTACAGCTTTCTTGGACGTAAACTGATTTCTACAGTAAGGAAACTATGCCCTTCATACATAACCTTTTCTTTACCATGTCTTTATGGAGTATAAGGCTTTAAAAATGATATGAAGCTTTATTTTTTGTCAATTATTGAACCAAAGGCAAAGTGACATCATTTACAATAAGAAAAAATAGTACTTCCAATTAGAGACTTAATTTTCATTGTTTTGAAATCAAATACAGTGATAGAACACGTTGCCTATATTAAATTGTCCAGATGAGCTAGTACCACAAGCTATCTGAATCAAAGAGGTTCCCCTCCTTCGTCAAACAAGGAACAATGTGTGTCCCCTATAATAGAGAATTCAAACAAGCTCATTGGTGAAAAATCTTTTTGGATCAAATGGTCAGATAAATATTTGATTCTTCAACAATATTATAAGTGGGTATACACTGGTAAAAGACCTTTCACTTTGTACTAATAATTACATGGATCATTGTTGCCTTTTTTTTTTTTTCTTCCTTTCAAATTTTCTTTTTCTTTTCTTCAGATTGTATAGAAGACAATTTTTTTTTATTTTTTGCCATTTTGTAAAACTCTTTTTTGATTGGAATTTGTGCTGAAACTAATGTAGAGTTTGGGAAGACTTGAAAGCCTTTAGAAGGGGGATTTTGATTTCATAAAAGTTTTGTTTCCCCAAAAGAATTGTGAATTTGTTCACAAAGTCCATTTCCTTTTTTTTTTTCCTTTTGTGTGTGCGCGCACGCGTGTGGGGGGAGGGCTGTGGTTTAGATGTATATTTTATAATCCCTTAATTAGTTTTTATTTCTTACTGACATAATGCCCATCTTTTCTTTATTTGTTATTCTAATTATAAACTCTAATGCTCTTTGCTATAATATATATATATATGACAAACATGATCAGAATGGATATGACAATCCACTTCATGCAAGTGGGTGTAGTCGGAATATGGTTGTAGCATTGTACAAAAATCTACCTTATACAAGGCTACAAATATATGAGACTGTCATGGAGGTGGATGCGGTTATCAGGAAGATGTGGATCATCTTGATATTAATGTTGAAAATTAGAGGATTTAACGTCACTATACTTTTTCTGTAGTGAAGTCTACTAGAGTAAGCTTATTGAATTTTATTGACATTGTTTGAAGTAAACTTGTTATTCTGTATGCCTAGTATGTTATTGTTTTAATCTCTAGACAAGCTTGACAAGGATGTGTGAGAGTTGATTGAGTTATTTATTATTCTATTTTGGTGGGTAACAAACACCAATTATTACCACTGTAAGGATTTGAACCTCAACCTCCTATGTGGGAGGAGAAAGTGATACCACTTGAGCCAAAGGCTTACTGGTAGTTTTATTTTAATTCTAGAAACAACCTTAATTTATTTCATTTTCATGTGACACGAAAGGCACTATTAACCATTAAGGATTATTTTTACTTATGTAGGGCATGGGATTCAAATACTAGGAGGGAATGATAATAGTTGCATTATAAATTTTCTGTGGTGCCTCTATAAGATGAATTATAGAGTATATATGGATGTAGCATCTCCCTCACAGGCAGAACTGGTATCGGTATCAGATTTGTTGCTGGCAGTATGAATTTGGTAGCGTTAACACAGGCATTACTAGCATACTGGAAGGTAAACTCTTTTTGAGAGAATATCATAGGCTTTTATTATGCTAGAGCTTGTAGGTTAACAACTCAGCTTATACAAGTCTGATCACTGATTTAGGATCAGAAGAGAGAAAGTTAGAAAGAAGAGAAGAGCAGAGCAGGAAGAGAGAGAGAGAGAGAGAGAGAGAGAGAGAGAGAGAGAGAAGCAGAAAGAAAGATATCAGGGAAGAAGGCTCTCAGATTCTCAATAAATTCTCAATTATCAATCAGAAACGTCTAAAACACTTTATTACATTGATGGCTTATGACGACTCAAATTTGAGATATAAATAAATAAATCTATAGATATATATTGCAGGGGGTTAAGATTATGTTCTCTTTTCCATTGTCACCATTTGGTTATGGCTTGCTAAGACCAAGTTTATCACCGAATATTTCTTATTGTTTTTCATTTTACATATAAATGAGCTAAAGTTCCGCTTTCTCATATAGCTGGAAGGTGGTTGTGTTGCCAACGGAGGTCTTGGGGAACTATTCCACTTGTTGCGAGGCCAGCAGTTGCTGATGAAAGTAGATCTGGTGGCCTAAATATCCAGTAAGGTTTGGAGTATGACAATCAGATCACGACGATACTAGACTGTGGTTATTTGTTTTGTGTTAAAAGTTATAATTCCTGAAAGGGAATTCCACGGTACGGTGAATGAACCCGATACCCGTGTTTATATGTTTCTTGTGCCACTTCTACAGTTGTTTTACAATTATCGGTGGTCTTTCTTGTTTTGGGGTTATTACTATAACATTTTCCATTAGTGGTTTACAGATTGTGTAAATTGAGTTATTTATTTGTTTTTACATTTTCTGATGTTGAGTGTATGTGTGAAGATTGTGCAAGTAGTAAATAGAGTACATTATATATATAGAGAGAGAGACTCCTTGCACAAGGAATGGAGGTGCTGGCAAAGTGACCCTGTATATACTTGTATGCAGAGAGCTTTGAGTAGAAAGGAAGCAAAAGAAAAGGGCTAAAAAACTCCACTTTTCGGTTTTTTCCAGTGTGAAGCAAGCATATATGCCAAATACAAGAACAGGAAAAGAAGATGAAACATATACGAGGCAGTGTACAACTACTTCCATAAAATACACAATCTCTCTTACACCTTTTACGTTTCTTCACTTGCACATCTCTATGCAATGCCACACTCTAAAGTGAGTTGCTAAAGAATCATCTTTTTGGCCAATCTTCTTATTTTCATTGCTCTTGTCTACTTCTTCTCTATCATTCTATACATGTCCAGTCTTAGCTGTGCCTATATAAACCTCCTCATGTCACCCACTAGCCTCTGAGTAGTGTGGTGGTGGTGTTGCAGAAAGAGCTTTAATTTGCTTGAAGTTTTAGGTCTGAAGGTGATGGAGACGAGCAGAGTTCACAAGAGATTGTGCATTTTAGGCCTCTACTTATGTGTTGCAACTATTTCCTTCCCTCAATGTGGTAAGTACGCTTTCTTTGTATTTCAAGTCATGGAATCAAGCAGAATTTTACGACACACAATCACTTCATATCACTTCATAGTCGCTATAAACCTTCATAGTCATGTCCATAGTTATGAGTTAGAATCATTTGACTGCTATAGATAGTTGAGATCAATTCACACGCTACTATGTGAATTGATTTCAGCCGTCCATTGCAATAGAGTACGTGTTGTACTCCAGAGGAACTGACCAGATACCCAATTGGGATGACCAACCCAAATTTGGAATTCAAACCGCACTATTTATAATTTAAAAATTCTCTATGACTATAGCGTGTGCACGCCCCACACGCGCGCACACACGCACACGCCCGCGCGCGCGCATATATATATATATATTGTCATTGACATTCTAATTCCAAGTTGTGCAATATGCATGATGATTTAATTTGACACTATTCTATACTGAGCAGATGGAAGAAGATCAATGCAACTACTCAAAGATCCCATTCATCCAAGAAGCTCAATCATCAAATCCACAAAGAAAATGGATGTCATGAGTATGGTGGCCACACAATTGGATTCCAAAGACACTGTACCTTATAGTGTGAATTCACCACTCTCTCTACCACCCTATGAATCACTTGCACCAATTCCCTTGCCCGAAAATACCCCTCCATTTTGTTTATATCCACCATCTACCCCACAACCTCCTCCTACAACCATTCCAACCCCAGGTGGTGGATACAACCCATCACCAACAATTCCTATTCTAAGCCCACCTCCAAGCCCAATCGTCACAGTCCCTAGCCCAACAGAATATGTTCCATCCCCGAATCCACCGGAAAGTGTTCCCGGCCCACCTAGTTTGGTCCCAAGTCCACCAGAAAATGTACCTAGTCCTCTTATCTATGTTCCAAGTCCAACTGAACCTGTACTGAGCCCACCTTCTTATGAGCCGAGCCCTGTTCTGAGCCCACCTTCTTATGAGCCTAGCCCTCCAAGTTCTGTTCCAAGCCCATCCTCCAGCGTTCCATCCCCGGCAGGGTTTGGTCCAAGCCCACCCTCTACGGTACCATCCCCTTTTGGGTTTGCTCCTAGCCCACCGGTTTTCCAGCCTCCTGTGGTGTACCCACCACCCAGGGGGCCACCACCTCCCCACACTGGCCCAAAAATTACTCTCTGGTGCGTCGCTAAGCCCGCAGTGCCTGACCCGATTATTCAAGAAGCCATGAACTACGCTTGTGGGTCTGGTGCAGATTGTGATTCAATACAGCCCAGTGGATCATGCTTTGAGCCCAACACAGTGCTTGCACATGCTTCATATGCTTTCAACAGTTACTGGCAGAGAACCAAGGTGGCTGGAGGCACGTGTGACTTTGGAGGTGCAGCAATACTAGTCTCTGTGGACCCCAGTGAGTTCCTCACAACTGAATTATGATAGTAGTAATACTATGTCCTCACACACACACACACACACACACACACACACACAAATGCATCATTTCCCACTCTATCTTGCTAATATATGGACTCTCTGCAGGTAACGATGGGTGCCATTTTATGTACTACTGATTACTGAAGATCAGTACGTCTTTTGAAGTCAGGAAAACCACAATGCATTTCTGAAAAAAAAAAAAAAAAAAGGGAAATAGGCTAGTCTTGGTCTCTATAGCAATTTTCTATTCATGGTGAGCTGTATAACTAGTTATAGATCTTATTTGGTGGAACCCATTTGGATTTTGGAGCTTTAGGGTTTTGAATAGACATTTAAGTATTTGAAATTCTTCTTCTATATATTATGATGGGATCGACCTCTCCTCCATGGATGTATAAGCTGCAATGCAGTAACTTTTTGAACATATATATCAATAAAAATGGACTAAGGAATGATGTAAATCAATGACAGCCAACTGCATTTCAAAATTGTATGCGCGAATGGGAATTTGATGCTTGATGTTTGATCAGTTTCAGCTTTCAACTCTACTATATTAGCATTGCTCTGATTACATAGATGTTTAGATTTCTAAATTCTAGGGCTAAAAAGGCCATTACCAAGTACTAATCCTGTACATGATCTGGAATAGAAATAAAATAAAAAGGAATCTGATTCAATGAAAACTTTGTTCAAGGCTTTCCCCACACTAAATGCAGAAAAAACAGTGAATCTCTTGAACAATGAGCCATTTCAAATGTACATTTAAAAAAGCCAGAGAACTTCAATTAAAATTAAAAATACTCTACTATGGTTAACAATGCCAATCACGTAACGGCGGTTTTACTTAAAACATGAAATATGTGAAAGCAAAAAGATAGAAGAATTTCATGTAATTTCCACCATCAGAGAACACAGTTACAATTTTCAGATGTTCAAGAAGTAAGTATTCTAGTATGCTATCCTTCAATTACCAACACTTTTATCCTCCCATTGATTTTCACAAGAAACTAACATTTGTGTCTATTTAAGTCTATGTACTTTTTTTTTTCTTTTCTTTCTATGATATGTAATTTTACCTTTCCCATCATTCGGGACGATGCCTCCACTTTCCAACTCCCTTCACACATGGTTCATGTTCTTCCTTGCTTAACCCCCCACAAAATGAATCACTCCACCTTATATTCATCATCACCCAATCCTTCAGCACTGGACATTGTTGTTTTCGCATTAAAGGCACAAACTTCTACTTGGTGGTCGATAATTTGCTCCTCGAGCTTTTCACCTCCACCAGTGCAAATGAATGTCATGTGACATTCTGCATTTTCTTCACCCACAGTGATTTCCTGATCCGGATCCTTGATTCTGGGCGATGCAGACAGGCCACGACGGCGTTGATATGTCTTCAATGATCCTGTGGCTGCTACAGGCAGGCTGCTGTTTACAGCAATTCCCTGCTCTTGCAACTTTGCATCCTTACCAATCAATCCCTTTCCCTCTTCTCCATTGTCTTTTTCCGATAATCTATTTTCATTGTCATCAACGCTTTCATTTCTGGTAGAGACCTCAAAACTTCCACTGCTCTTTTTACCAGCAGAGCTTTCCTGAGATGTTTCCACATTGAGGCAGCTATCACAAACTTTGGTTTGTGCATCAGATGACTTGTTTCCAAATATTGGTTTGACCAATTTTCTTTTCTTGAGCTGTTCTTCAGACAAGCACACACCCATCCCATCTATACAGTCTTTTCCCTCAGTTTTGCATTGCATCTTCAACATTTCACCTTTGCGCTTCAAATTCAGAAGTGGAATTTCTTCTTCCATTCTTCCCCTGCTCCATGTATCCTTAGGATGCTTTTCAGCTTGAGATGCACCTTCAATCATCTCCAACTGAACAGTCACGCTCAAACTCTTACCATCATCATTATTTCTGATAAACACTTCACGTCCTCTACTTTTCTTCTTCCATCGAAGATCTTTTTTGATATTGTGCCTTGACTGATTCGCCTTGGCATTGAATTCCTTGTCTTGCACAGTGCCTTTTGATGCAAAATCCAAGCGAGAGAATACACTACCTCTCTTGTTTTGAGCATTACCTTCCTTTTCCCGTGAACTGTATTTAGCTTTCCTTGTCTTCGTCCAGTTGTCGTGTCTCTGCTGCAACTTTTTCATAATTTCATGCACCGAATTTTCCAATTTGGAAGTGGCATCATTTTCTAGTGCAGCAGCTTCTGAAACCAAATTCAAACGAGAATTTTCCAATTTGGAAGTGTCTTCATTTTCTCGTGGAGCAGCTTCTGAAACTAAATTCAGACGAGAAAAGACACTAGTTCTTTGTTTTGGTGTATCAGAATACAGACCCTTGACACAAGGATGGTTGTCACTCTGATGGACTGGATTGCTCTGATAATTTCCATCATACGGACCTCTATCTGACCAGAATGCAACGGATGGATGATTTAAAGCCGTGTGTCCAAAATGAGAGGCATCAATGTCAGATTCAGAGAAAGAAGAGTCTTCATGACAATAAGACATAGAGGATTCTATTTGGTTGCTTTCCAAATCCTCATCCACTTCGGAAGAATTCCTCATCTCTGTGGGGTCAGAATCTTCAGGGGAAGACAATGGTATGAAATCTCCAAGAATTGATGAAGAACTAGAAGAAGAAAAATCAGCATGCTCCTGTTTTCTTTGCAATGGAACTGATAGATCAGAAACTTCACTGTTGGTTCTAAGCATTATTGGATGCCGAAAATCTGCGTCCCGTGAGCAGACAACTATGGATGATAACCTAGGCAGATTTCCAACCATGGGTCTATCATTTCCTAGACCAAGCTTCCCAGATTCAACCAAGGAATTTACTTCATCTGAAGACTCGTGATGCCTTCTCTTGACTTTCTTTTCCCCTATAAATTTCTGAACTCTAACCTTTCTACAAACAAACAACCATAGTAGCCTGTAAACCTGCATGCTTAAAAAGATAAAATGGTGTTGGAAACAGCAGTATTTTCTAGCTTCTTCTATCACATCCACATTCAAGCTCATAAAGGGTTGCTTACTTGCTTTTTCAAGTCGTACACATTTATGTAGTTCAATTCATTTAACAATTGCAGCTACCAACAACAGACTTCCATAGGTCATAACTACTGTGTCACCAAGTAAGGCTATTTTGCAATATTCATATCTCTTTTTGGGCTGGGATCCTCTCCTCTTGAAATTGTCACTTGAGCATCTATTAGTGTGTCATCCAATAAATGCTCAGATGGCAATTTTTTAGAAGAGAATCACTTCCCTTCGCTACACATTTATACAGTTCATTTCATTCATAGTTGCAGTAACCCATAACAGACGTTCATCAGGTCAAAGCTATAGTGTCACCCAGGACTAAGGCTATTTTGCCATATTCACCCAAATTTTCTTTCCCAAGAGCACAAATGAACTGATAAATACCCTGCTCTGGCATACTGTGTTTATGTCAAACTGAACATTTAAACTGGGCAACCGAGAATATGAATCCTTGAACAAAATGATAAATGCAATTTTTGGGGCAAAAAACAAGAAGATGAAGGAAAGAGAGGACCTGATCCTTAGACAGACCGAAATTGAACTTGTTCGGTGCATAGTAGTTATCTCTGATGGCATCACGGAATTCATTTTCATATAAAGGACGACAATTCCAAATTACACTGAATCGAACCTGAATGAAAACAAATCCAGAATAAGCATTAAAATGCTTTAATAAGGGGTAAGAGTTACATCCCAAGACAGCAATAATAACCACATAAACTCACAATAAATGAATACAATAGGCAACATAAAAGTTTCTTTACATAATTAATGCTATGGATGAGCAGAGAACTGGTTTATTAAGTTTCAGAAAATAACACAAATCACACTATATCGAATAGAAATACACCCTTTCGAGCCCAAAGCGAAATAAATTCAGAATAAGTATTAAATTGCTTCAATAAGAGACAGAAACACATTTTAAAGCATCATTATATAGCTAGAAAAAAGTCTCAGACTAATTAATGCTGTTCAATACCAGACCTGAGCAGAGGAACTGCTTCAATAAGTTTCAGAAAATAACACGAATCACACTATATCGAACAAAAATCACACTAAATAATAAATTCAGAGTAAAATCTAACCCAAAGCATCATTAAATTGCTTTACAAACTTGAACTCAGATACTAATCAATGCTATGGAACAGCAAAATGAAAATATAAGCTAAAAATTAACGCAAAGAATCCTTGAAAAATACCTGAGCAGAGAAATATTTGCCCGACGATGCATAAGCATTTGGCACAATATTCATTGAACCGTCCGAAATCGCCTGAAAAACTCCATGAAGCTCCCTCTCCTCGTACTCAAATAGGAAGAGGAGCATTCCAGCTCTGACCTTCTTCACGACATCGGCGCAAGAAGATGGAAGTCCAAAGAGCTTCCTCTCGAAGCACTCCCCCATCGTTCTCCTGTTCGACATGAAGATGGCGCCGAATTCCGGAAGCCTTCCGTTGCCGCGCTTCACCGAAGCATCATCATCCATCGCCATTGAAGTAGATCAGAGCAAAAGATCACACTCTGCAACAAAGTAATTTCAATCGGTACAATGCAAGGGCTGTGTGTGTGTAGAGAGAGAAATGTAAGAGATTCAGTACAGTATATGCATGGCTATGTACATATATGACACTAGTACAGTAAAATGAGTATTAAAAGAGGAAGCATCAATTCCATATATATGTGTGTGTATATATATATAATGTAGAGGGAGAGAGATCATCGAACACACAGATTTCAATACCTTGAAGCAAATGATTGGGATTTTCAGAGATGAGATAAACCCTAGAATTATACCGCTAGTGAAAAGTGAAAAGACAAAATGTTTTCTCAGCTTCAATTTTGAGAAGGAATGAGTATTTCTTATCCTCCACTTGATTTTTTATAACAAACTATTTATGACGTCACTGTCCGTACATAAAAGTGGAGTGTAGGAAAATAACAGATTAATTTGGTGGGCCCCACAAATAGTTGAGGACATTTTTGTCATTGAGATACGCAACTAACTCTTCCATAACCATTTAGCCTTTTTCTTTATTTTTTATTTTTATTTATTTTTTGTTTGTTAGTTGGAAGGGGTGTTTGACAATGAAGCTATCAAATGACGCAATTGAAGAGAGCACTATTTTGTGATTTAAACTCTAATTTTAAAGTAATTATAAAATATGAGATTACTTTTGAAGGGCAATTATGTCATTCTATTTTTTGAAAAAGAAAAAAAAGTGTTAGAGAATATTTATGGTATATTTTTAAAATTAATTATAAAATATGAGAATACTTTTTAAGGACATTTATGCCATTCTATTTTTTTTTAAAAAAAGAAGAAATAAGTGTTAAGAGAATATTTATGGATTTTTTTTTTTTTTTAAATTGAGTATTTAGTATTTACAAATTCCAATCTTGTAAATAAATTTAGTTCCAAATCTATACGAATCAAGTCCCAATATTGTCTAGAATAGCTATGAACCCGAGAACAGAGCTTGAACTGTTTATGAACAGCTCAGTTCATTTCATTTATATGGATCTCAATATCACGTTGTTCATTGCTTCCAATTGTCGTACTTGGGGGTGATAAGTATGCATAGTCAGATAGAAGAGGAATAGCAATCACAAGAAGAGCAACTTCAATCATGGAGTTCTGTCGAGAGTTAGAATCGAACTACTGATTTTTTTGGTCCCAATTGAATAAATAATCCGTACTAACCGCCCACAAAATTGTCGATAATACATAATGTTGAAGGATATAAATATTAAAATTACACTCTCTCTAACAGTTTAAGCTGATGCCTCGCAACCCAGTTGGATAAAAGCCTCCAGTGGAACTTAAGTATCCAGACTCGCGCGCCTCCACACCTACCAACATAATCTAGTATTTCTTGCCTTGCCAAAAAAAAAAAAAAAGCTTTTGGAGTAGATGGTATAAAATATGTATCATAACCAAAATCACCATACGATGTTCTGAAAGTAGTTTCCCTTGCCATAAAAAACATATCTAAAAATGAATGCAATGCCGAACTCCTAGAAAAATTAAACAAAATTTTGAGCAAAGGATCTGTTCAACCATCTTTTATCTGCCTTCTTCGAGAACTTCCCATTCTTAGCTGAATATCTGTCAATTTCTTCATCGCCATCATCTCCTCGCCAGTTTCTTTTATTCTTGCCTCTGGTTTCTTTAGTTGTCTACAGAGGTTTAACAGAAACAACGAGAAATAAAGCATAAATTAAAGGAAACATTAGCAAGGGATAAAGGGTATTAAAACAGTCATGAATGAAACTTTTGTAATAGAAAGTAAGAGAGTTAAAATATGGTTAGAAGAACTGGCATGTGATAGGAAAGATTGGAGAGAGTGACCCCTTCATATGGGATTAAGCCAAGGATGACGACGATGATGAATAAATGAAACTTGTGTAGGGTTAATCCCCTTAAATTCCAAAATGAACAGAGACATGCTAGTGAGCCAAGAGAAGGGACAAATGGTTTTTCTACTTTCCGCAACACGTCCACACACTCTTGAGATAAATTACTACATGGTCTGTGGGACCATGTGGTCCTGTCAAATAACAAGCTGCCACACAATCAAATGTGTCAGCTTTATTCAACTTTTTGATTGCGTGGCAACTTGTTATTGGCCGGGACCACATGGTCCTGGACAATGTAATAATTTCTCCACTATTAAGGCCAAAAAGCTCCAGAGGATTCCTTCAATAGCTTCTTCACACATTCTAATTTATTTTCATCCCAACAATATTTCATAGTTTAGAACTGTATAAGCAACAATAGCATATTACATTTCCCCACGAGTAAAGGAAGTTCAAGCCCAAGTTCTAGTAACATATTCGTTCGAAAAAATGAGTTGAAGATGCACCATATCCGTGTTTCCAGATGAAAAAAAAAAATCTCTTAGAAAGCTAGAAAAGAACAGAACTGTGCCATGAAAGAGAATGTAACGTTAGAAAATTTAATCCATTCTTAGATCTTTTCCACTTTCTTCCTGTTCTTTCTACGCTCATTAGTCATTAGAGGACATTTGAAGGTAGGGATGGCTGGTGCACAAGGAATCCCATGTCAAATCAAGAACTCATGCACATTTGTGCAGCATCAGGGGATTTCCATGAAAGATATGCTTTTGTCACAAACATTATATTTGCATCATGAATTAAATTGCAATATTATTAATACATAAAAATGTGCATGACCCACCGGAGACCCTATGGAAAGATATGCTTTTGTCACAAACATTATCTTTGCATCATGAATTAAATTGCAATATTATTAATACATAAGAATGTGCATTACCTACCAGAGACATAGGTTCTCAAATAGTCAACATGTCTCAAGTTTAAAATGGTTGCAATCATATGTTATAATAGTGCTTACAATAGATGATCTAATTCTTACAATAGATGATCTAATTGTTATGAAACAATTTTTCAATATTGAATTTGTAAAGCAGTAAACCACTAATGCCTATTCCAAGGACTTGATGCTTCAGAGATGTTCTGTTTCTAGTATTATATTGCTGTAAAGTACAGCCAGTTCTAATGCAATAACAGTTCAAAATGACATTATGATGGATGTCAATAGAAATCATGATTAGCACTATTTAGTTGCCAACCCAACAGAGGACATTACTGAACTGCAAAGTCCGTGGTGTCCATACGAGTTCATCAATTTGAAAGGCTGGATCAGTATATTAGCAAGTGAAATTTACCACTAACCCCTATGCATATAAACAAGGACATTGATTTGTAAAATCCATATTTGCTAGAACAAAAACTCTTGCTTTTGTTTGGAAAAAAATTTAAACAAGGATATTTAATATAACAATGGAAAGTAAAAAATTAATACCATATGGGATATTTTACTGGCCTCCTTTACCCGTTCCTGTAGTAGCAGCACTTCTTCTTTTTGACTCGGAAAAACAGGTAGCATTTTACCTGAAATACAAATAAAATGTTCATCTTAGGAACACTTCCACTGTATTAACACCCTAGTATAGCAAGAGTTGCCTACCAATAAGGTGCTCTATCAGCTTATACCACTCCACCTCATACTGATTCACCAAAGAGATTGCAACCCCAGACCGTCCTGCCCGAGCAGTTCTTCCAACTCGATGTATATAATCCTATAGACCATTACATGGATAGACAAATTAAGGTGAGTCATATTAAGCAAGAATTACTAAATTCTCTTCATAAAGTTGTTGTACGAGGTAAAACTAAGATAAGTAAACATTGATTTTTAGTGATGTTTATTATTGCCAAAAGCAGGCACAGAGAGAGAGAGATAAAGAGAGAGGAGGTTATGATAGTGACAAAATTAAGAATGTAGGAATATTCAGAATATATATATATATATATATATATATATATATATATATATAATGGAGCAAAGCGAGCGAGAGAGAGAGAGAGAGAGAGAGAGAGTTTATAATCTAAATAAATCAGATATGAGAGATACAATCCAGGTGTCAGTTGAAATATTATCAATGCCTGTGATGTATAATAAATAGATCATTTAAGCACGATACAATCTGGTTAAATAATATGATTGAAAAGCCACTTTATTTCCCGGTAAATCCATCATTCATAAAAAAGGAAAAGGGAAACTGTACAAAGTGAGGGCCAAAGCCCAAAAAAAGCGCAAAGGCAAAAACCAAACAGCAACAAAAACAAACAAGACCCAGCCAAAAGCTAGCCAACAACCAACCGTTGCATCAACAACTATGGAGAACAGTTGGATGTGCAACGGCCAGAAAACACACACACAGCTAGGGCTCAAGGAAGACACAGCTTGGAAGGCTCCAAGCTGCTGTGATAGTTCTAGAGGCCTTATTGTCCCTGAGTTTAGAAGCCAGAAGGCGATTACGTACACTACTATAAATCAATATTCGAACAGAGCCTGATGATCAGTGGCGTCTGTTTCTCTCCCTCCAAATAAAATAGATACAGGCAGTGAGACAGTCTGAAAACAAATGCATCAGGGGATTTGGTATTAGGTCTCCACATCGAAACAATACAGTTCGCAATGTCATAGATGTTAGAGTCCCCATTGTAAATCCCACACAAATGTTACCAGGTATGTTTAATTGTTTAAGAGGTGGTCTCTAGATCTTTTTATTGTTGTTAAACTGAAAAAGGTTAAAAAACAGAAAAAATCACAAACAAAAGCAGGACTAAAGCTTGAAACCGAAACTGCGGAAGGGATACTTGTGAAGACTCAAGAAAAGGAGCAAAGGGTTTGGGCTAAAATTACATATCAAAACATGCATATTGACAAAACAACGGAAAAAACGTCAACCTTTGAGTTCGTTGGAATATCATAATTGATGACCATATCCACAGATGAAATATCAAGTCCTCTACTGGCAACATCGGTGCAGATAAGAATATTGCACTCTCCTGCCTTGAACTTGTTTAAAGCTCCAAGCCTCTTGGCCTGCAACACATTTTTCATGGACTCATTAGGATGAATTAGGGATAATAGCAAAGAGTTACTAAAATAACTAAATAAAAATTAAGTGTGTAAAGGAAAAATGCAGTTGTTCTTGGCCAAATCTATCATAAAATACAAATATATACCTGGGTCATTCGACCGCTAATTGGGATGGCCCTTAAACCAAGGTTTCGAAGCATTAGAGCCAAATCGCGAGTTGAATCGCATGTCCGAGTGAAAACCATTGACGTGCTTCCAGACATTTCAGTCAGTATGTATACAAGATAACAATCCTGTAGCCAATGAAAGATATGAATTTAGCACTAAAGAAACACACCACACAACGGTGATATCCATCATGAACGCAAATTTTTTATTTTTTATTTCCTGGGTAAGATGATGGATTTTATTGATAAAAGACAGTAGAGTACAAGATACAGAACAAGGGATACCCTTGAAGACATAAAGGGCCACAAACAATCCCAAGCAGCAACAGGTCAACAATAATTAATCAATAAAGACCAACAACACTATTTCAAAACAGCAAAATTAAAAGATATCAAGGAGCTGCAGGTTTGAGAGATCCATGATCTCCCACCAGCAGCTTCTAGCAATGTCATCTGCCGAGTTTGTTTTGTTTTGATGCAGCCTCATATTCCTTTCTGTCCATAGATGCCAGAGAACTGTAGAGAAAACCAGTTTTTAAGGCCTGTGTTTAAAGTTCTGAACAATGAACCAATGTTGCAGTTGAAACAAACTAGTACAGTGAGGAATATCCCAACCCAGCAGATCAGCAAACCAATTCCAAACCATTCTTGCACGTGAGCAGGTGACAAGAATATGATCAAGTGAAACTGATGCCTCCCAACAGTTACGACATATTGAGGCTAAATGAAAACCTTTTTTCTTAAAATTTTCAAAACAGTGGAGTTTGTTCTGAATAGCTAAACAGTAAACAGGTTGTAACCGAAGCTCAAGGCCTGCAAGAAGACCAGTAAAGCTTGAACCACTGGACCTCGGTGTGGTGAGTTCTCCAATTATCCAATGCATATTTGAAGGAGAATGGGCCATGCCTCCATTGGATGATGTCACGTCCATTGGAGGGCATGGAAAGCAAAATTGCTTCAACTCTTTATTTAAGACGCATGCTTGGGACCCGAACCTACCTACTACTCTACCAGTTACAAGAATACATGGAAGGTAAAAATTTAAAGGATTGTAACACACACACACACACACATATTCCCTTCAGGAAAGTGGCATGTAATTACACCTTGAGACAAAAGCCAGATCCTTTAGATCTCATGCAGTTTCAGAATTAAATCATATCTATTTTTTAAACACTCATGTCTTGAGGCTTACTTTTTTCCTGCAGCATGCTTATTTTGTTTGTTTGTTTGTTTGTTTATTGTGGGGGTGGGGGGGAGGCCGGGCAGCAGAAAACCAAAGTGACCTTATCCACCATACAGGGGGTTCTGATCACCATATGCAAATTATTCTTTATATTTTTTTAATGAATAGTTTTATTTGTGTAAACTGGCAATTCAAACATCCAGTTGGAACATTAATCTAATTTAATTTATCCAATAATTTTTTGGAAGTATTACTTTATGTGAATACCTTTCAAACTTCTACTGTATTGTGAATATTTTCGTTACCTATGCTTGATTATATATAAGGAGAACGAGATTGGAGATATGTTTGTTCACACAATTAGTATTATGAATTAAGTGGAGGAATAATTCTAGTACACTATGTGATCATTATATACCCATGTAGTTGAAAACAAAATTCAAAAAAATAGCTATAAGACAAATTGTGTTCATGGACCAAAATTCGATCAACTAAGAAATGTTCACAAAAAAGACTGGTCAAAACATAATTTTGAGATGGATACATATGAAAAGACAGGAAGCTTAAAATTAGAAGTAAACACATTTATAAACTGAGAATTGATATCAAGTGGAGATAAAATGATAGAAAATCGACTACGATGGTTTGGACATGCACAACAAATAATTAAAGGGAGAGTGAAATGTATCAAATTGAGGATAGTGTAATATGAGGGGCTGAACAAAATTAACATGGGTTGAGAAAGTTAGGAAAGGCGTGCAGCATGTATTTTGACTAAAATTATGTAACTAAGCACGATGGCAAAATGGAACTTACGATCCCAAATGACCATGAAAAGACTTGGTTGAGTTGGTAGTTGAGATGTGTTAAGGTTCCTTAGAGATATTTGAAGATAATGAAATAATCAAGAGCCACCAACGACCAGAATGCATTGCAGTTTACCTAGAAGATGTAGATAATTTAAGTACTTTTTCTAATTATCTCTTCACTTTGTTGTTAATTCTTTAATCTTTCATTTTTTAAATAAAATCATATATGCTGACCATTATCTTCTGTTGTCTCATAGGTAATAATCTCATCTCTATCCACAATCACTTTTTATCTAAGTTTCAAATAATAATGTAAAGTGAGGTATTTGATGATGGCATGACAAAGCAGCTCGGGAGATGAACTAAATAAAGTAAATCCTCATGATCAAAACCAATTGATGTGTGCTTATTTTTTGCATCCTGTAGCCCAACTTTCTTGAACTGCCTCAAAATAAGCACCTTAACTTTGAGTAATGCCCCATTGAAATTTTGTACTTAATAAAGTATCCCATAACAGACACTCATAACCATTAAAGTTTCATTTCAAATTTTGGGTTACTGGCACCAATAACCAGCCACATTACTAGGCATTTAAAATTAGACTCTTGCTAAAATGTTAAAAGAGTATTGCGATGCCATGGAAGAAGGAAACCTTGTGTTTAGCAGGCATAAAGCACAACTGCTGCTTCAGTGTATCAACGGTCGAATATTTAGATGCAGCCTCAATCTGAAAGCACAAATAAATTGGCATTAGTTACAGATTCGCAAATAAAAAAGAAGAAAAAAAGAAGTGTTAGTAAGTTCTATTTATCATACCTTCACAGGATTCCTCAAACAGGCCCTCTGGAGCTTCCGCACCTGCATTAATGGGAATGCAATTTGGTCAAGCATTTAGCCCTGTACTACCATTTTCTTCTTGTCAGCAATTTACCCATACCTTGAATTAAAATACTAGTTTATCTAAGAAGGGCACTAAAACATGAATACTGAATAAGGTATCTTTACTGTTTCTTTGGAATCAAAAGTTACAATAGCATCAGCTCAATTATTGATGCAGAAATGCACGACAAAAAAAAATTTTCACATTTTTTTTCATTTTCCCTGTGCATTCGTGTCAAACTCTTATTTCCACTGCAAATCTGTGACATCCTTCTTATATCCCATGTATTTTTCTGGTGGACAATTATATGATTTACTGAAGGATGGATGCAAAAAGTAGAACCAGTAAACATGTTGGATCATCTGAAATGTGAAATGCTTCCTGAGGCACTCCACTGCTTCTTCCCGCTGTCGGAGGTGGCAGCTAATGTGGCCAACCTATTTGATCAGGTATGCTAGTGCTAAACTCAAGCTCAAATAAGAAATATGGTAAGAGTAAAAGGTGACAGGAATAATTGTTATACATACTATCATTCACTCTGTGAATATAATACAATTTCAGAAACAAGTTTCCCTAAAACTTGATTATTCAAACTTTTTGATGTTTTTTTCGGAAGCAGGATGCCTCATCATTTAGAAAGTACTGAGTAAAAATAGTTATAAATCCATTACTAATTTTTTAATTGATGTCCGACACAGTGAGAACTATTGAATTGGAAAACAGAAAGACAGTTTATCAAAATATTTATCTGCTGCTTTTTGTGAAGGCATCTAGTGTCAAGCAATCTTGAATTTACAAAAGTGAATAAACAAATGATGGAACAATCAGTTGGAAAATGATTTATGAACTTCTGAATACATGAAAATATATTCAAACATGTACCTTTTTTGTCATAGTAGCAGAAAATAAGTATGTCTTTCGCTCACGAGGAATGACTTTTAAAATTTCATCAATCGGTTTCTCAAAATCTTCATTCAGCAACCTATCTGCCTCATCTAGTACCTGCCAAGCATACACAGGTCCCGTAACCCAGAGCAGAACAGCTCACTTCATATGCAATGTAAACATGTAGCAAGAACTTTCATATTTCAGTATTTCCCCGCTCTTTTCAATACAAGAAGACTTTTTGACATCCAAGATAAGAATTGATTATACTTGGTTGACTCGTGAGATGCCTGGGCCAGATCAGCCACATAGCACAACATAACTCAAGACACACCAAGATATCTCGTGAGACATTCCAAGATGTAATTTAGCAACTCAAATACCAACCCAACATTTCTCTCATTCTTTCTCCTGCTCTCTTATGCTTGCACATTCATTCTCAACGCACCCAAGACTAAACTTTGCTCTCTACTCTCCTACATCAAAACACCAATTCATCATAACTTGCTTTGGGGTTTAGAGAAAATCACATTTGATCCAGCCTTGTTCTGGGTTGATGCCTTTTAATGATGTTCTACAGGAGGCTTACTGTCTCTTGAGAAGAAAAAAAGGAGAGCTATAAGAAGCAATAGGTATCTATCCAATCTTAGGAGTGGTATCTCAAGAAATAGCTTTCCCTAAAGAAGAAAGAGCACTTAACCATTCAAAAGGTAGTGAAGGCCTTATAGCAATTCCAGCAAAGTTTGTTCAACCATAAAAATTAGGTCCACTTTTCTATTCTTTGTTCTACCATATAAGGTATATCTTCACCCTTTCTCCACGAGTGTTCTGAATTTGATTATGTATAAAAATTGATGATACATTGTTGAGTCATTTTTACTTCTTGTAGATCAAGGTAAACTCATTTAAAAAGGTATTACAGTAGACTTACTGTGGTAGCCCCTATGTTAATCTTTTAGGAAATTTTACAATTTTTTTTTTGATAAGTAGGAAATTTTACATTTTAAATGTGTTAAATGGTACTTTTTATCTTAATCCATATATTTCTCATTGTTTCTAATTTTTTTCACTATTCTTTTAGATTGTATCTATTGTTGTTCCATTTTATTGTGTATCTCCTAATAGGCAACCAATAGGTTGCATTTGAGTTGACCCATTGGCTCATAAGCCAGTGACAAATATACTGCAACTTTAAGATTGACTCTAAATATCAACTACAGTTCACATAGCAGAGATTATGAATATCCTGCATTGGACAAAATATTAAAAAGAGAGAGAAACACTAAAAAAAAACTCACATCAACATATGAGAAAATCTTACCAAGTATTTTAGCATGCGAAGAGAGAAACCTTTAGTATTGGACAGGTGATCCACGAGGCGACCAGGAGTTGCCACCTAAAATGAAGCAACAAAGCAAAATGAAAATAAAAAATAAACAACTGAAAGTCAACCAAAATAAACTAGTACAACAAAATCCATTATGTATACAAACTAAAACAGCTTTGTCATATTTTACAAGTTACTGACAAACTCACAAATATACATTTACATGAACAGAGATAAATAAAGCTTTCCTGAGATCTATCAGCGGTGACACGCAAACAAACGCTAACCTTGGATTGGTCAGCTCCTGCTGAGCAATGACACTGCTTCAATATTGTCAAGAACTTTTTGTAATATTAAAGATCAAGGAGATTATAGGCAAACTCAATACCCCGTCAGATCCACTTCTGTTTTGTTCCATAACCTTCAAAATAGGGCATAGCTCATGTATAGGACTTTTGACCTAAACATTTTCTGGAGTCACACAAGGATTTTAACCCATTTTAAGAAGACTAAATCCCACAGATGAATGAAAACCCATAAACCATGTGTACAATGAAATAACTCATAAACCTAAGAAGTCTACTTTTAGAATTATTGGCATCAGCCAGCTCACCAAACTATGTGGATTCACCTAAATCATTTTATTTAAGATTTCAAATACCAGAATAAAAGGTTTATATGAAAGGGTTCTGGATTTTCCAAAGATGGTGAAACCTAAGTATAATTTAAGTCTGAAGAAATTATGGATCGTTATCCTAGCCTCCGATATATGCAAAGCCAATCTAGACCCAAAGAGGGATGAATAGATCTTACATAACAATAACTAACTTTAACACGAATTAAAAATCGAACTACTATTAACTGTAATTTGAACTTCCAATTACTAGAGAGCATGTTCATGATCACAGATATGAAGCAAGTAAATAAAGTAAATCAAACACACGTGAACACACGATATTTATGTGAAAAATCTCATAGGAAAAAAACCCTGGATCTAATGTAGCCAAATCAAACCCGTTATTTAGAAAAAGTAAACAACTAGGTTCGCCATGCCAGATGACCAAACCAATCTTTGCTGCTGCCAGTCAATGGAGTCGCTCGTCACGCAATCCGCTTCTCCTTTAGCACAATGAAATCCGTGACTAGTAACGTTCAATCTTCATGAAGATACTCCCGTTGTTGATTACTCCTTCCAGCACTTGGATTATGGTAATCAACAATACACACTCACCATCTAGATATATGATGATAACAAATGCAAAACAAAGATAACTCTATTGCACTCAAATTCTTGGTTTGATTAGAGATGCTTGGTGTATATTTAGATATTTTGAATGCAAATTGTCTTTATATAGAGTTTAGAAGCCCAATAGGATTAGGGTTGCAAGTGTTTAAGTTTAATTTGGAAACTAATATACGCAAGGTCTGCTCAGTCGAGAAAAATTTTGATCGATGGAAACATGTCCAATGTCCTTCAATTGATCCATCAAAAAATGTCTTGTCCCAATTATAATATAATGTCAAAAATAGAAACTACCAAAACACTTTTATGCATTCTAAAAAGGATTTTTAAAAATCAAACATGTAATTAAAATATCTTAAAGCATTTAATGATATGAATACACATAAAACCCTATATTGGTGAATTCATTTAATGCATGTCCAATGTCCTTCAATTGATTTATCAAAAAATGTCTTGTCCCAATTATAATATAATTTCAAAAATAGAAACTACCAAAACACTTTTATGCATTCTAAAAAGGATTTTTAAAAATCAAAACATGTAATTAATAAATCTTAATGCATTTAATGATACGAATACACATAAAACCCTAAATTGGTGAATGCATAATTGAGAGTTGTAATTAGCTTTTTGCCCTTGAGTGATGCTTTAGACTCCACTTTTTTCCTTTAACAGAGGTAACTCAACTAACTAAACTAACTTTCAAAAAACTAATCAAAAGCTATAAAATAACATATACTTCAAGTTTTGAACAAATCTGCCAATAGTCAATATGGATGGAAAATACTTCCAAAATGTTTTCAAATGTTGTGGCCTACGAAAGTAACCCTAAAACCAGTTTGCTTTCAAAAAACCTAATCAAAAGCTAACACACACTTCAAGTTTTGAACAAGTGTGCTAACAAAATCCTATCAACCTAACATAGTCATATGGATGAAAAATACTTCCAAAATCTTTTCAAATGTTGCGGCCTACAAAAGTTACCGGAAAACCAGTTTGCATGTGCTACGTAGTCAACTTTCATAGAGAGAGCTTTGTCATCATGTGATTTCTTCTCAAGATTGCTGTTTTAGTACTCCCATTTTACAGAATAGGGTGGTTTCCAGTAGTTTTTTACTTTTGGTTTTCTTGATATACTTCCCAAACATCATTATTTTTGGCTCTCACTAAAGAGCAGTTCCTTGTACATTGTAATAAATTTCAAAACACAAGATTATGTCCTCTTGTTCCATTTTCTCTTTTCTTGAGTTGATGTTCATCCTTCACAAGGATAGAGGTCATCTATTATGGAAACTATATCGTCCCATTTAAAAATAAAAAAATAACAATAAGAAGCATGGTCTAGTTGAATTCAAGATATTATTTAATAAATTTCAAAACACGAGATTATGCCCTCTCACGCCATTTTCTCTTTTCTAGGGTTGATGTTCATCCTTCGCAAGGATAAAGGTCATCTATTACGGAAACTATATCGCCCCATTTAAAAAAAAAATTAACAATAAGCAGCATGGTCTACTTGAATTCAAGATATTATTAACAGCATTATCCCAATATAGTTGGAATTTGTAAAAAAGAAAATGAAAAAGAAAAAAGTAGCGATAGTATAAGATGTTTGCCATCATGTACAGTATCAGGTAGAAGTAGCTGCAGTCCACTATGAAAGAAGACAAAATTCATGTGGATCCAACTACCCATAATTTGAAAGAAAAATTAGAGAACACTTACAACAATGTGTGGTCGTTTTCCTAGGGCAATCTCCTGTTGCACATGGTCTATCCCTCCAACAAGCTGCAAATAATTTGTAGAATCACTTATTGACAAGGTTTGATCAGTGAAAAACAGATAGTTAAAAAATAAAAAGAAGAAGAAGAAGAAGAAGTAAAAGAAAGAACAAGAAAAACTCTGGTACACAATATACTTCAACAGAAGCATCACTCTGGTACACATTATACTTCAACAGTAGCATCATATAATAATAACAACCAAATATATAAGGCATTTAATTGATTCAAATTGCTGCCCCACACCCCCAACCCCATTCTTATACTTTCAGCAGCCTCTCGTTTCCCATCTTGCTAAAGTAATTAATTGTCTGAAGTTGGTTATCAGAAAAAAAAATAATACTAATAACTAGCTGCACTGATTCCTACCTCAAACAAACCGATATCATGCACACATTGCACTCAGTGTCCATTATTAGCAGGAAAGCATTCCTTAATCAAGAATTTTGTTTGACAAAATATAAACATTCTCCAATAAGAAATTGCAATTGAACAATTTGGTCGTCAGTTGTCACAGCTCGGCATCTATTGGGAAAGGCGAGCTTCTGAAGTCAGCAATTTGCAAGTGCTCACAGATAAAATGTTGGTTTGATCATTTTCCAGCACTGAACACCACCTCAGAAAAGATGTCCCCAAAGAAATAAACAACAAAGAAAACAATTGCACTTAGTTGCAGCCTGCAGGAGTAACATGTGACCCACGCTAGTAGACAGCAACACAGAAACTTTATGAAGGATTCAAGGTTTGGTAAACCAGAATTTCATGCAAGTCTATCCACACTCACATATTTACTATCGAAATTTGTAACTCAAGTGAAGCAGCTACCAATTTCCAACCGTCAGAAGACAAAAATCAATAATCAAGCCAGGCTTCTTCATAAATACTATGCCCATTAGGTAGTCCTGGTACATGGGCAAATCCATCTTCATCTCTTTGATGTTTTCTCTAATCTCTGAAAGGAGTTTCATACAGCAAGAGATCCTTGCAGAAGTTGCCAAATATATATTAGATATAAAAGGATTTTATCAACAAGGTGCACCTTGCTTTTGCAAGAAATTGTGCATATAAATGGCTCCTTTTCAGCATTTACTCCATAGATTGTAGTTCCAAACCAGTGCAAAAGAGTGTATGAAACAATTAATTTGAGTCTACTGCTGTATATTACAATTCATCTCATTCCTATCACTTAATCATAGAAAATAAATCTAATGTTTCTTCACAACTTGGACCTGTTTAAGACCTTCCTTTTGCAAACCATGTGAAGATAGAAGTGATGGTAAAGGATAACTCCAGGATTTCCCTTGTAATATGAAAAAAAATTCACTACCTTTAGCAAAAAGCAATCTAATCTAATAGGCAATTGTGTTAACTACTACACTGAAGAGTGCTCAAGGCCTAATGTTTCAAAGAGGACAAAACAACAAATTGACTTTTCAACTTAAGGTGACAACCTAAATTAACATAACATGCAACAAATACCATAGCATTTCATCACAAGAATAAGTGAAATCTAACATCAGAAATACTGTGACTTTAAGTATATATCCACACACATATGTTTATATATTGTCTAATCTAATAGGCAATTGTGTTAACTACTACACTTGAGAGTGCTCAAGGCCTAATGTTTCAAAGAGGACAAAACAATAAATTGACTTTTCAACTTAAGATGACAACCTATATTAACATAACATGCAACAAATACCATAGCATTTCATCGCAAGAATAAGTGAAATCTGACATCGGAAACACTGTGACTTTGAGTATATATCCACACACGTGTTTATATATTGTCTAATTCGTTTACAGAAAACTCACCACTGCACATTTTACACCAATGCCAGATCCTAAAGCTTCAAATTGTTCAGCGATCTGAATAGCAAGTTCTCTAGAATAAGGGGGGAAACAATGAATGATATAAAGCATATCAAAATCTAGATAAAATCCAATTATAAGAAAAGATGTACAAAAACTAATTTTCTTCTCAAAATCAAACCAACAAATCAGATGACAAACCGCGTTGGAGAGATCACACATGCAAAGAACACTTGTGGAGTTTCTAAAAGGGCTTGGAGTATAGGGAGTGCAAAAGCTCCAGTTTTACCAGAACCCGTCTGTGCAAGTCCTATCAGGTCCTTTCCTAAATCAAACAAATCCTTAGAATAGAACCAGCATGTCAAGCATGTACTGAGAAGGAAAAATGCCCCATAAATTATGGATATGAATCCAATAGATATACAGTGGATGACTTGAAAAAGAACATAGTTATCATTAAGATACTAGAAATATACTAAAAAGGAGATTTCCAGTAAAAAACGAAATATACTAAAAAAGAGATTTCTTGTAAAAAACAAAATATAAATAAGAAATATCATTGTATAAGATGAAGATATAAAGAGAACAGACCTTCCAATGCATGAGGAATAGCTTCAGCCTGTATCTTGGATGGGTTTTTCCAGCCCAAGGTATCACAGGCCTCCACCAATTGCTCACATACTCCCAGATCTTTAAATGACTTGACCTCTTCTGCGTCCTCTGCCATCCTTTTCAATATCTACCCAAAAAAATAAAGGACATCAAATTAAGTTTTTTAAAATAAAAAAAAAAAATTTGACTGATATCATATGGAAATATTTTTTTCCTATAAAAGTATCAAATTGAAATACTAAAACCAAAAACTTAGTTTTCAACAAGCACATCCATATCCAAACTATTCTTGGGATAATCCTTTTCATGGTGTTACCATTGTATTCAATGCCAATGCCACTAATTTCTAATCCATGTCCTGAACAGATTACACTACCCTTTCAGTTATCAGTGAGAGCTACTTGAAGCATAGCTTATGAAGATCCATAATGCTTTCATTCTCAGCAATAGATGGGTCTTCATTCTCAACAGTACCATTTATAGAAATTAAAACATAAAAGAAGAGAGGAACATGTTTGATTCAGTTTATAAAAAATAGTTATTTTCACATTCTTGAGAAATAAACGCAAATACTGATCATCAAAATCATAAATCTTCTATTTTCTTTCCTAATCCCTACTTGTTTGTCTTATAAATATTAAATATCTACTAATTTCAAAAAAATAAATAAATAAATACCTGATTCCCTTGTCAATGTTCCCTTGAGAGTGTGTGTGTGTGGGAGAGAGAGAGAAGTTATACTATTTGATGCGTTTCTTGTTGGAGAAGGAGGTTTAATCGACTTTTATATTTGCAGTATGGTACTAAACTCATGTTGTATTGGTTCACTAAACGGGTCGGGTTCGAATCCTGGACTCGAAATAAAATTTGAGGCTAAACAATGCTTGAATGAAAAATAATAATGATTTTTTTTAATGAAAATTGCTGAATAAAGGGCAAGAAAATTAATAAATAAATTCAAAACTAAAACAATTAAATGTGTTACATGGTTTAATTTTAATGTGCTACACCAAATAAACACAATTTATCTATGTATTATTAATATTAAAAAATATACTTACACCAAATAAGCACAATTTATCTATGCATTAATATTGAAAAATATATTAAAATAAGTTATAGTATGTCTAGAAAAAATGTTTATAATGTCACGGAATTTTTTATTAAATCAATTAGACAATTTGTCATCACATAAATAATAATTTAAAGTCGTAACAAAATATGATTTTTTATAAGAATGATGCAGGAATCTTTTTTTTTCTTTTATCCAAATTCTTTCTTTTCTCTCAATTCAAATACAAATCACAAAATCTGTTTTTTTTTTCCCTTGCAAATCCCTCTAAATCATTCCATCCAAACGGACCGAATGTTTTTCGTAGGTTGCATCAAGGAGTTTAAAACAACTAATCCAGCACCAAGAGGCACGGAGAAAGAGGAATGGACGACCTCACTTACAAAAGATAGAGAATCAGTTCTACATAATCTCCGTTGTTAGGAGTTGCCATACTATCAATCCTTCGTTCTTCTTCTTGTTCTCCACCACTTCGAAATCCCTATCTATCTGTTTGGTTTCTAAGAAAAAAGGTGGGAGATTTTTTATTTTTTTTTTCAAATATTAGACTTAATTGTTTGGTTTGCTCTTTTCTAAAGCCCCGAAATTGAAGCTAAGATGCATAAGAAATTGAACCTATGCCTGGTTCAGTTTTCTGACAACAGAAAATCAGAACTGATAAATTAAAAAGTGCACAAAAATCTTGTGAAAACTATTTAATGAAAATATCTGCTTGGTTCAATTTTATCTGACAACAGTTTTATGAAACTTGTATAAAAATCTGTTTTCTGAAAATTCAGTAAAAAAAAAAAAAAAAGTCTTTTATATGATTTTTTTTTTTTTTGGTTATCTGTTTTGACTTCTTTTTTAAGAACTTCTTTCCGAAAAAAACTGCAGAAAACTGCCTTAATGATTCTCTGAAAACAACTATTTCTATAAACTGAACTAAACATGTCCCTCTCTTCTTTTATGTTTTTTCTCACAAAGTTCAGTTACCATATTTTGGTGATCTTGAAACCAAATTTTTCAATACTTGACTATGATTATCTAGTCTATTGGAAACAATCCTTACTGAACTAAGCCTGACAAATGATTTTTATTTTGTAGAATCAAGTTGAGTTCAGTTCAGTTGTTCATAGTCTGGAAAACAAAACAAAGTAAATATAGTATGAATTAGTAACCTTAGGGGTAAACTATGTTTGTTTGGTGAGAAAGGTATGAAAAGTATAGAAAAATTTGGTTTCAAGATCACCAAAATATGGTAACTGAACTTTGTGAGAAAAAACATAAAAGAAGAGAGGGACATGTTTGATTCAGTTTATAAAAATAGTTATTTTCAGAGAATTATTAAGGCAGTTCTCTGCAATTTTTTCAGAAAGAAGTTCTTAAAAAAGAAGTTAGAACAGATAACAAAAAAAAAAAAAAATCATATAAAAGACAATTTTATTTTTTATTTTTTACGAATTTTCAGAAAACAGATTTTTATACAAGTTTCATAAAACTGAAATTGAACCAAACAGATATTTTCATTAAATAGTTTTCACAAGATTTTTGTGTACTTTTATGATATTTAGACCTAAATAAACAGAGAACCAGTTCTAATTTTATGTTGTCAGAAAATTGAACCTAAACTGAACCAGGCATAGGTTCAATTTCTTATGCATCTTAGCTTCAATTCCGGGGCTTTAGAAAAGAGCAAACCAAACAATTAAGTCTAATATTTGAAAAAAAAAAAAAAAAAAATTTCTCCCACCTTTTTTCTCAGAAACCAAACAAATAGATAGGGATTTCGAAGCGGTGGAGAACAAGAAGAAGAACGAAGGATTAATAGTCTGACAACTCCTAACAACGGAGATTATATAGAACTAATTCTCTATCTTTTGTAAGTGAGGTCGCCCCTTCATCTTCCTTCGCGCCAACTGGTGCTGGATTAGTTGTTCTAAACTCCTTAATGCAATCTACGAAAAACATTCGGTCCGTTTAGATGAAATGATTTAGAGGGATTTGCAAGGAAAAGAAAAGAAAAGATTTTGTGATTTGTATTTGAATTGAGAGAAGAGAAAGAATTTGGAGGGAAAAAAAAAAAGATTCCTGCATCATTCTTATTAAAAATAATATTTTGTTACAACTTTAAATTATTATTTATGTGATGACAAATTGTCTAATTGATTTAAAAAAAAAATTATGTGACATGGTTATAAACATTTTTTCTAGACATGCTATAACTTATTTTAATATATTTTTCAATATTAATGCATAGATAAATTGTGTTTATTTGGTGTAAGTATATTTTTCAATATTAATAATACTTAGATAAATTGTGTGGTGTAGCACATTAAAATTAAACCATGTAACACATTTAATTGTTTTAGTTTTGAAATTTTTTTATTTTATTTTTTATTTTCTTGCCCTTTATTCAGCATTTTTCATTAAAAAAAATCATTATTATTTTTCATTCAAGCATTGTTTAGCCTCAATTTTTTTTTGAGTCCAGGATTCGAACCCGACCCGTTTAGTGAACCAAGACAACATGAGTTTAGTCCCATTCTGCAAATCTAAAAGTCGATTAAACCTTCTTCTCCAACAAGAAACGCATCAAATAGTATAAATTTCTCTCTCTCTCTCTCCCACACACACTCTCAAGGGAACATTGACAAGGGAATCAGGTAATTTATTTATATATTTATTTATTTTTGAAATTAGTAGATATTTATGATTTATGAGACAAACAAGTAGGGATTAGGAAAGAAAATAGAAGATTATGATTTTGATGATCAGTATTTGCGTTTATTTTTCAAGAATGTGATATGTTTGTGAACATCATCGAGTTGTTTTCTTGTGTCTTTATAGGTATTTGAAATCTTACGAGGGTTTTGAGATCTGTGACTATACGCCTTCGTATTTGTTCGTATGTGTGTTTATTTCAAATTTGGTAGAGTAATTTGTAAGAAATATGATCATGCGTATCAAAGAGTAATTACTCTTTGCAAAATTATAGAAAGGAATTGGTGGTGTCAAATCATGATAAACAGGACACTAGAAAATTTTCCCCCAATTGTTGATGCCCTTTTTAAATTATTTTTTCGGCTGAATGGTTGATGCCCATTTCGTATAACCCTGCTTTAAATTGTTCACTCTGCAGGATTTTATCTACTGTTTAATCAAGTACGTCATGGGAGATAGTCAGTACTCATTCTCTCTCACTACCTTCAGGTATGGATTTACTGTTATATATGATACTGCATTCTTATTGACGAAAAAATTATGGGCATTCCTCTGGTGGTTGTTTCTATGTCACGGCTTTTGGATTATCTGATTTTTCTTAATCATTATATGCTATGGCACAGCCCTTCTGGGAAGCTTGTACAAATCGAACATGCCTTAACAGCTGTTGGATCTGGTCAAACATCTTTAGGAATTAAAGGTGCTCTGAAACTTATTATCTCTGTACATCTTTAATGCATATTTATATTATTCATCTTTATAAAAATGTTAAAAGCAGCGAGAACTGATGTTGAAGTATGTTGCTTCATTCTTGTTTCCTTGACACTTGACAAGGGATATGTTACCAAAACAGGGACGGTAAATTTAATTGTGCAAAGCATTATTATACGTACCGAAAGGGAAAAAAAAAAAAAAAACATAGCTGATGATATATTAAGTTATGCCACTGTTGTTGTAATGACTATTGTTATTGTTTACTGTTATTAGTATTGCTTACACGTCTATATGGTGGTTGCAGCTGCTAATGGTGTTGTTATAGCGACAGAGAAGAAACTACCATCAATCTTGGTTGATGAAGCATCTGTGAGTATATATTTTGGCTGCGTCTTTAGGTTTCTAAATCTGGCACATAGGTTTTTTGTTTGAGTGTAGGTAATCTTTTGTTAATTATATTTGAGCCTCTACAATGATGACTGGTTTATGTCTTGGTATGTCGCTCTTGGATAGTTTATTAGCATGCCTTTTGAAGGGAAGAATTCAGCATCCTCATCATAGCCAAATTATCAATTCAACTCAACAAAGTATTTTCCCACTTTTTGAAACCGTCTACATGGATTTTTTTTTCTATTCCACTCCATCTAAGGCCGTGACCCCAGTCTTGTTGATGTAGTTAATTGTCTTTGTTCCACATGGTCAAGCCATCTTAATTGCTTTTCTCTCATTTTATCTTCACAGATGCTACTTCAACCATTTCATGAATGTACATTCTACTTTTATCTTTTCTTGTATAAGCACATACCATCTCAACATTCGCATTTTGGCGATACTCATATTATGAATTCTCTATCTATGCTCCTGTTCATGTATAGACTGCAGTAATGATAGTCTTGCAATGGTGTGAAGGAAAGTTTGGTTGTTATGACTGCTTTAGCTGTCTTGTCAATGTTGTATCTACTTGTCAATTCATGTAATTAGCATTAGATTGATACGTCCAAAAAACCTTCTCTTCTGTTTTTCTGGCTGATTCATTGGCATGCATGGTTGACTTGTCTATTCTTAATACCTGTATGTTAGAGGTCCTAATTTGGATTGTGAAAGTGAATGTTTAGGAATAATGCCTTTACGATTAGGAGACACCACCTTTAGATAATATATGAGGCCAATTTACCCTCAGAGTCAAATTTTTACTGGAAGGGGAAAAAAAAAAAAGGAAATCAAAAACCCTGTTTGTGATTCAGGTTTGTATAATAAAAGAATATGCCTATAGAGATCAAAAGGTGGCAAACTTGAATGATGATAAATTTTAGGATCTTTTAGTAAGGTTCATCCACATTTATGAGGATGCACCACCTCCAGAATCTAGACCAAGGTATAATTTTTAGGAGGCACCAGCTGCACCTCCTCTAAACCAAGGTATCATATCATTTTCAAGCATTATTTTCAAACAATAATGATTATGTGAGAAACTCAAAAGCCGACAATTGATTTATTATTTTCATTCAATTAATTTTTTTAAAAAATTATCCTTCTTGCAATACATGGTCTTAAAGGGGCTTTCTTCCTTATTTTCCCCCTTATTTTGGAAATTGGTGCAATTGTATTACTTATTAATAGCAAATAAATCTGCTGCATGCTAAGTTTTTTTGTTATTTTTAAATATTTAGTAAAGAAGTGGTGTATGGCCTTTGTTGTCAGTCTGGATGACCCCAACATGTTTGAGTAATATGTCTATCAACAAATAATGCATCTAAATCCCTGGCTGTTTGTGTTAAGTAAGTTATTCCATAGTAAAAAGAGTGAATAAACCAGTGAGTTACGGTTGTTAGATATTAATTCTTTTAATTGTTATTTTTATTTTCATTTTTTTAGATTTCTTACTATACGCATGCTGTTGTTTCAATTTTTCACGCCCATTGTCATGCAGGTTAAACAAATTTTGTAAAAAATTTGCAGTTGTTTGCTTTCAACCATCTTTTTTTAATGTTTCTTCTATATCAAATCGAATAACAGGAGCTGGTTATGATGCCTGGATTTTTTTTATTGCAGGTGCAAAAAATTCAAATATTGACCCCAAATATTGGAGTCGTATACAGGTTTCAACATTTATATTTTATTACCTCAATTTATACAATATTCTAGCTTATAGTTCTCTTGAAACTCACTTACAGAAGAATGATCCTTTTTATTTTCTGTGTTAAGACTCAATATTGGAGATTGTCTAGCTTTTGGGTCCTTGGTATTTGCTTTCATAGATATATTACATGGGATCAAATGTCATTGAGGTCTGAGATACTTGATATAAGTGTCATGCCGCTCTGACTTTTTAAAATATTTTCCTTCTTTTTTATCTTTTATCTTTTATCTTTTATCTTTTTTTGGTTTCCCATCCATATGCATTTCTTCTAGTTAAACAGTCCTCTATTGTGCAGCGGAATGGGACCTGATTCTCGTGTTCTGGTTCGAAAAAGTAGGAAGCAGGCAGAACAATATCATCGATTATACAAGGTACAATTTGCCTAACTTTGCATCATTTAATTGTTCTCATTGCCAATATTCTATTTTTTTATTTTTACATCTGTTGAATTTCATTATACTTAAATACTGCAAATGTTTCTTGTCCCTGGAAATATCTTTGAATACCAATTGGACAAGAAAATGAAAAATGAAGTTCTCATGACATGAATGCCGCATGCATATGAAGTGAAAAGTCTTTCTTGCTCGTTACTTTCTTTGTTGTGACAAAAAATAATTATTAAATAACATTACTAAAAACTTTTAGTTTACATGCTTGGGAAACTTTGAATCGGCCATCCCGAATGATTTAACATAATTGAGTGGCCCCTGTTCAATTAGACTGAAGGAGAATTATGTATAAAAAATAGTGTAGTTTTCCTTAGCTGAGATAAGTAAAACTTGTCAATGTTATCACTATCATGGCCATTTGATGTCACGTTTTAAATTCACCAAGCTGGTCTTGATCAAAATTTCACATTGTTCTTTTAAGGTTCTTCATGGTATGATGGTAAGAATTTTGCTTGTAGATGCCTGATTACTTATGGAGTATGAGTCTTTTGTTGATTCCTGCATCATCATACTATGATAATTGTCAATATTATTATCCATGGTAAATATTTTGTTAGTTTAGACTTTCTCCTCTATCAAAAGCTAATATTTGGTCATCTATTCGCATTCAACACAAGCACACTACTCTCTCGGCTCATCAAACTTTAGTCTCAACTTATCCAACTTACAAATAGATTGTTATAGGCTCCTGCTCTGTTGATTATTTCAACTTTTAACCTTAAAAAGGAAGAAAAGAACAGAAAAAATACTACTTGGGATGGACTATATAGATGTGTCATCTCCAGTTGGCTCTTTGTAAATCTGCTCGTCTCTTTTCTTATTGTTATGTATGTTTTGAAACTTGTGATTGGGAAATATTACAATTTCATGTTCCATAGCTCTGACTACCTATATCATTTGCCATTCTCTCTCTATATCATTGTCATAATCTTGCAAGATATATTTACTTTCTCCCCCTTAATAATTCCCCAAGTCAAATAGAGGCCATACATTATTTTGTAATGCTTATTGGCTGCTGGAAAAGGGCATGGCCTTAATTGGTTCTCATTCTCTGGTCATGTTCGATACTTTTTTCTTTTTTTAAATAAGAATGTGTGTATTTGGTTGACAATTCTTCTAGATGGCAGTGCAAATATATATGTATATATATATATATATATTTGATAAGTATGGCAGTGCTAATATTCAACCAACTTCATGTTCTAGATCTTGTTTATTTGCCGACTTTGTAAAATTGAGGCTTTGAAATTCTGCAATGACAGCTCAAACGTGGTTTTCTTCTTGTGGATTCTCAAATGGACAAATATATTTTGTAGTAATGCAGATCCATATTATTTTGATATTGATCAATATAAATTTGATTCTGTCATTATATATAATTTGGCTTTTGAGTTCATGCCTTTTGAGTAATTTTATGTACAAATTCATGTTTTGGTAAATTTTCCTCCCTTTTTGCTGCCAATTCATTTCATGAAATCATGACATAATATGTTCTTGGATTACAATATGTGTTCTTTTAAATCATGATGCCTTTACAGCCACGGTAACTTGCAAAGCAATGTCTAATGATGGTAATTTGTAGGAACCAATCCCCGTCACACAACTTGTGAGGGAAACTGCTGCTGTTATGCAGGAATTCACTCAGTCTGGGTAAATAGTAGTTCCAATTTGGTTTCCCCTTTATCCATTCGGAATTACTCTGATATTCTTTTTTTACTATAAATTTTAAGCACCTTCTGTGTTCGTATTTTTATTTTATTTATTTTTGCTCTTGGTGAAACTTATTTTATGTTTTAATCTCTCTCTCTCTCTCTCTCTCTCTCTCTCTCTCTCTCTGGGGGTGTGTTGGCCGAGGGGGTGGAAGTCTGTTGACATGATTGTTGAGTTCTGCTGATAAAATCCTCAGAATTGTAACATGTGAGCTGTGTTTTCATACCCAAGGATTCACAGAATTGCTGGAAGCAACTTAATATTGCTTAGAAATATCAAGGTATATTTTACCAGTGGAGTCACGGCAAGTCCTGTTGATTTACCTTCTCATAATCCCTCGTGATGATTTTCGTTAGTCTCCTAGAAGTACCCAGAAGAGCATTGGGAGCTCATCCTTTGCACAAATTTTATGCTGCTGGTTGTAGGAAATAAGGCCTATGGTTATACTATGATCTCAGCATAACTCTTCATTGTTGAATTGGCCAGTTAAAATGTCTGATAAGCAACCTCTGCTTGTCCAAAAGAAAAGAAAATTAATTTTGAAGAATTCACTAAATGTAACAAGAGTTAAAGAGGTACCACCAAAAGCCTTGGCTTGAGTTGTATGTCGTCCACCTCCCCATAGAGTAGGTGGAGGATTCAAGCCCACTTGTGCGTTTGAGTACTCTCTGTCGGTGGGGCGGGGGAGAAAGAGAGTTGAAGAGGTAACTTGGTGCTCCTTGAAAATTTAAAACAACATGTCACTCTGACCATCCCAATTACAGGACTTCATAAGTTGGATGGAAAACACCAAAGACAAATTAAATGTTGAATTTTTTTTAGTACTAAACAAAGCTAAATTTAGTAATTGACCTTTCAAGGTTAAATTGAACTTCCTTTCTAGATCTGAATTGACTTTGTTGATTTTTTTATCATGGTTTATGGGCAGATGGTTATATTTGTTATGATTAATTCTTCTTTTTGTCTGTTAGTGGTGTAAGGCCTTTTGGTGTTTCGCTGCTGGTTGCTGGGTTCGATGACAAGGGTCCCCAACTATATCAGGTATGTCATCTAGGTCCTCATATGGTATTAAGCTTCCATTTTCAGCGCCTGTTGCTTCTGATTTCAGGAATCCTATTTAAGTTCAATTTGTTCACCTTCCTTCTATTTAGATTTGGGATATACACAGTCAGTTTGTCATTCCTCTCAATCTAGGTTCATGATCCCAGGAAAGAGATCAGTATTCCCTTTTGCTTTGGTTGAATTATGATTTTTATTTTTTATTATTATTATTATTATTTTTGTCTCAGTAAAACCAAAATTTCAGAGGATGCCTTCATCGTGTCACGTTCTAATATGTGTGCATATATATATATATATCAGAATGCTGTCAGCTACTGAAACGTTTTCCTATTTTATCCTTCGCTTATGGTTGCTGTTATTCTGTTTCACAATGTCCCTTTTCATTATGCAGTTAGTCTTTCTGTTTGTGTAAACGGTACTTGGCTTTAGATAGGCCGTTTAGGAACTGTGTAAAGTAGTTAAACATGAATTTTTAAATTTGTTAGATATGCACTGATAACTTATATCTGCATAACACATGTTGCTTAAATGTGCTTTAGTTTGCTCAGGCGCTCTCATTTTTTCAGGTTCATATTAAATGTCATATGGAACTTGTGATGTGGTAGTAACATATCGTATCCCTTACTAGTCAATGTAGTTAATGTGTTTCTTACAAGCTCATTTTTACGCTGTAGGTGGATCCATCGGGTTCATACTTCTCTTGGAAAGCCTCAGCAATGGGGAAGAATGTGTCTAATGCAAAAACATTTCTTGAGAAGAGGTGAGTTAATTTAGTAACCTTTGAATTTCTATAGAAACTCTCTCTGCTGTCTCATCTATTGATTTCAGTTCATAAAAGATGAACAAACATTCCGTGACTGTTGGCCTGTTTTTTGTGTATTGTGGGGGGTTCTCCAGCTCTATTATTCTTGGCAAAAATTTTGATCTTGTCATAATAGTCATTGTTGCTTAAGCTTTTAGCATGAGTTCTTTTATCTGTAGCCAACAATTATGAGAGGAATTATTATCTCCATGATTGCTCCTACAATAGTGAACTTGGCATGATCTGCAAGTTTATGCTTTATAACAAAAAATCAGTTGTACTATATCAAACTTAATTTGTAAGTTCATCAATCCTCCATATAACTCCTCTCTTTTTTTTGGTCTTTTTTTTTTTTTTAAAGAAAAACAAAAGATAATATTTTTATAACTTGAAGTTGACAAGTTCTAGCAGAAAACAACTTCACAGGGATGCTTATCATCACTTTGGAAAAAATATATATATTTTTATTGTCATTATTTTATTTATTGCTGAGACTCTTAGGTAGATGTGTTAGATCAGATGAAAGCAACTCTTTTGTATTGTAGAGATTACTGAACTAAAATTTGCAGAGTTGAACAGTATATATTTTACTTTTAAATTGGTGAAGATAATAATGTATTCATGGATTAAATAGAACTATTTGTTGATTCTGCTCTTTTTCTGTTTTCTAATCATAAAGGCTTGTGTTCTGCAGCATGTTCCTCCCTGTTAATTTTCCATTTTATATTCTGATTTCCCATTCATGACTAGATTTAATTTGAATGTTCCTTGTAGGTACACTGATGATATGGAACTTGAGGATGCTATCCATACAGCAATCTTGACTCTGAAGGAAGGGTATGCATTTAACTTTTCAATTGGTCATGATGTGTCAAGGTGTACTTATGGGTTAATTCTCTTTGATCAGCCCTGATAAAATGAGCTAAAACTCCCCATATGTTCTACCTCATTCTCTTTTATACTCACTTCCATGCATGCACGACATGCCAACTTGTCGCGACAAAAACTACAAACCAAGAACACAATTCAGAACCATGACAAGAAAAATAAACACCCCACACACAAGAACACAAAGATTTACGTGGTTCAGCGTAAAGCCTGTGTCCACGGACCACGGTGAAAGGTTTTACTATGCGAAATTACAAGTTTCAATTCCTAAACCCTTAACACACTATAATTTGCGCCTATCAGTGTTCTTTCATAACACACCCCAAACCCTAGACACCCTTATATAATGGGCTACAAGAGAGTTCTAGAACTGGGTCCACGACCTGCAAGAGAAAACCGGGTCGGTCACTGCAAACCGGGCCGGAACAAAATTCGGGGCACAACTTCACACAACTTATCTTGAGAATTTAGATTTCTTTCGTTCTATCGTATAGAATGGTTGCCAAATAACCTTCTGCTTTGTGTGTCCCAGATTTGAAGGACAGATATCTGGCAAAAACATCGAGATTGGCATAATTAGCACTGACAAAAAATTCAGGCAAGTCCCCCCTATTTTCCATTAAGTGCTTGGTTTTGCTTGTATTGAGCTTGTTCAAGGAGATTGTGGATTTTGACATACCTGTTTTGTTGCAGAGTACTAACGCCAGCTGAAATTGATGATTACCTGGCTGAAGTGGAGTAGCTTGTGTTCTTCCCGGTGAAAGGAGGAAACCTGTTTTTTCATTTTGTTTGAAATGACATATTTGGTCTTGAAACTAGTTTGTTGCGCCATTGTCACTCGTAGTTTTAATTTAAGAAAACTTATAGACCGAAACTTCAATTGTTGTGGTGAAGAATAATTTGTTTATGGTGACACTGTTTATGAACTTAAACTTCGATTTTACTTCTTTTGAGCTGGAGCTGTATTTGAGCTCAAATTATTACTTCTGGACTCAAAATCAATTATTCTGATATAAATGGAATGACATTTTTTCTTTCTTTTTCTTTTTGTCAACAAACGTTTCAGTTCACAAAGAAGAAAAGATGCACGGAAAGTGCATGTGCGTTCTCACAGTGAAATATCAATGGTTGGATTAATTGATTCCTATTAGTATATAACCATTTGTTTACCTTTGAAGTAGGAATTACTTGCTATATAATATATATAATATTCAAAAGGTATGATGTAAACAGAGTGCATGCTTAAAATTAAAGTTCCAGGGGGATATATTACCTGTTTCATGTGAATTTTTCAAGGAAACTTATTTTGTCAAAGACTACATTAGGGTTTTAGAGACTTCTAGCAACTAATATTTTTTCATATGTATACTATTTTCTCTATTAGGAACTAATTGAAGATTTAGCCAATCATAGTTAAAGGAAATCTCTGACATTAGTTCTGTCAATAAACAACTTCGCGATTTCCATATATCCATGTTTATTAATTACAAGAGAGTTTATTGTGCATATTCATTTTTAATTATTCACATGTCGTACAAAAAAAGAAAATTAAATTGGAATTTTGGATGCTAGGAGAGTTGATTGTGCATATTCATTTTTAATTATTCAAAAGCCGTACAAAAAAAAGAAATTAAATTGGAATTTTGGATGCTAAGAACGCCAATGTTACCTTGGTGCATAGATATAAAAATTGATTATTTTATAATAAAAAGTAGATATTACAAGATTTCATTGAAGGAGCAATTGCTGCAATTCATAAGAGTGCTCGATACTATAAAGTAAAGTAATTAATATATTTAAATTCAAAAGCAGTCTTGGTATCTAAAAATTTACTGCAAAAGTTTCTGATTGTGTGTATTTATTAAAGGTTTTTTCATTCAATAACCTCCCATATTTTTTTCCATTTATATTTGTGAAATACTATAAAAGGATCTTAATTTAGTGGTATCTCCTCAGCCATTTAGAGTAAAAAGTCCTTGATAAAAAAAGTGTGCACACACACATACTACTATATGTGTAAGTTATATATGCACCATGGTCGAATTTAGCACCTAAGGTTATTTTGGCATAGGAATCTATATATATATATGTGTGTGTGTGTGTGTGCAGAGAGAGAAGTTTAAGACATGGATGAATTTTCATCTTCATCTCCTCCCTCAGGCAAAAATGAGGAGAAGCTACACCTTGGTGTTCCTAAGGCCAAATGAGTTTGAGAAAGCTCAAGATGGCAAGGAATCTCCACCCTTTGAACAAAAATGAAAAGGAGAAAAAGTTCTAGACACAACGAAGAGGGCTGCACCTCCGGTAGTGTCAACCGGAAAAGGCGCATATTATAATCCGAAGATTGAACCTCCGTGTGCAAACGTAGGCGTGGCCATCAAGCCCAAGAAATCAAAGTCGTTCAATTATGATTGCAGAAGCCATTCTCTCAATTTTTATGATCATGGTTATATGGATGATGAGACTGTTTTATCCTTCTTTCAGTCCCAACTCCAGTCAAGCCAATCCTTCATTAGCACTAGCAGAGATAGAGAGCAGGAAAGATGATCACACAGCATAAGAATGAATAACACAGAGAGAGAAAAGCTATCAGTGTTTTAATGAAAAGTTACACATATATATTGTTATGCTTATGTTTTCATAATATAAAGATGATAAAGCAATTCCATAAACTCCTGTGATTCTAGACACCGTTAACACTCGAACAATAAAAATCACAAAATTTTTAGACACCATTTGTTCATGACAATAGATTCACTATTTCAATTTTTGTCATTTTTATAAGTAATATCTCTAACCCCCCGTCTGATACATATAAAATTATGTATGCATATTGATTTTACTTGTGAATGGCATCTTTCATATAGAATCAGAAATCATACACTATGTAAAGCAAAAAAATAATGATGATAATAGCTATACATTCTTTCTTCTTATTCCTACAATAAAACTAGCTATACATTTTGTGAACTAAAAACCTGGGAATCCAATATCCTGAATACAGATTCGACTGAAGAAAAATCAATGTCAAAACCATAACCCTGCCCTCCATATTGCACATAAAGGTAACCCTTGGGCGTCAAGGGTGGGGGCAAAATTTGGGAGATTTCTGGGAAATCTGAGGCGGGTGGTGAAGGCATGTCTTTCTTCTTTAAAGAGTAGTAAACATCAGCTAAGAGAAGCCAAATAAGATCTGGGTCTAAGGATGCAAGTCCCGTCAGAGCATTGACGGATGCATCACGAAGCCCAGAAACACCACTACAAGCTATCCCTACAACAATACCACTGACCTTTTTAAGGACAGCTTCCAATGCGGATGCGCTCCTTTTGTTCCGGGATAAATCAGCAATCATGTTGAGCACTGCCACCTGGACTTTCAGATTGGAACGCTCAGCCATGGAATCCTCTGAAGAGAGAGAGGTACTTCTGTAAGGAAGTTGTAAGGGGGTTCTTTCTTCTTTTGAGATGGGTTTTTTCAGAAAAGGGGATGTGCTTAGAAGCTTCCAGAAGTGGTGGCCATCTGTATGGAAGCGGCGGGAAAAGAAATCTCCTCCACAGATCTGCACAACATTGCTTACTACACCTGCACATCTCCGGACAGCCTGTATGAACAGCAAAGTTAAATATGCAATTGTGTCAAGAAACAACTTTTATTTTCACCATAAAAGAGATGGCATGTAAAGAAACATGTATAAGAGAATTTCCATTTCAAAAGCCATAATGCAGAACTTGAACAATCATAAGATTATATGGTAAATGAAGCATACAATGAAAAAATAGCATATGAAACCACAACTGGAAGAGGGACAAACCCTCCAAACCGTCAAATGATGTATGACATAAAAACTCAAAACAAAATAAATTACAAATTGGAGTTAGAAGGAAATAAGCAATAGAAGTAAAAGATCACACACCACTGGGTTCATATTTCGAAAACAAGCAACCAAGAAAGGCCATATTTTATTCATTGCAGGCAGCAACCTATTCTCATCAGTTCCGGTCTCGGATGCTTCCAAAGCATCCTGAAGGTGATGATATGAACACAACTCAAATACTCGCTCAAGCACCTCTTTCGTCTCCTTCTCACGCTTATAGGCTTCTTCCAACTTTGCAAGAGCCAAAATGCCATCCTAAAAAAACCAATTCAATATCCACCACAAAATTGAAAAATGAGCTAGTATTTAAATATCAAGACTCAAAAATTGATGTGACAGCATGTAAACAACTTTGCACATTCCATGTAATTTTGAAAGGGTGAGTTGTGCCATTTGGCGGTTCAAAATCCATCAATTGAATCAAAAGCAATGAAAATAAAGTCATCCAACCACATTAGGTAGTATTTTTCTTCCATGAAATTACAATTTCTACCAACTTTAGATTTCAATAAAATAACATGTTACAGCTTTACCATCATTGCGAATTGGCTGTTGTTTTTCCTGATACAGCTGTGGCCCTTAAAATTTAGAGGCCACAGGGCTTAGACATGAACAAGATATAGTGGCTATAAGTATCATCCGAATTACACGGGCCTTTTTTGCAAGTCAATCACATAGAATATATGGTCCACGTGTATTCTAGTTTCGGCCAAAAAGTAGGCTGCCTCCACGTTCCCAAAGATTCAAGCTTTTCGTGTGAACTAGATTTCTGTTCCAAACATCACAATGGTTGCAGTCTCTCCATCCAATCAAAGATATGAATTCCATCTCAGGCCTTTATCTCTCTCATCTGTTGTACACCATTACTTTAAGAGATTTGAAATTTGTCTAGGATAAAAAAAAGCTTTCCATGGATTTTCCCTTTTTTTTTTTTTTTTTTTTTTTTTTTTTTTTCTAGTTGGGACTCACACACACCGCCTCCACTGAGGTTCGAACCCCTAATTTCCATTTGGGAAGTAGGAGCCTTGTACCGCTAGGCCACAGACCTGTTGGTTGATTTTGCTGCATTCACCCCAAAATTAATACAAATATACCAAGAATATCTTGTTTTACATAGTTGATTTACACTTCATAAAATATCAAATTACTGAGATTTATAGTGAGATTTTTGTTTTCAATTTTGAGCAGTCGAAATTCCAAAGAGGCCCTTGTATGGTCAAATGTTATCTAAATCACAGGGGTCTATTTATTTACAGCTAACATGCTACAATCAAAGCACCTCAGTCATAATTGCAGGCTTTGCAGCATAAGTAGCAAGGACACTTCTCCAAGGAACCATTTATATTGAACATTTTCACTGGCTGTTTCTGAAGTTTCACTCTATGGAGATGTTCAGAGTTTTAAAACAAAAGTTTCAATAAATATTGAAACATTTTCAAGTGAAACAAACAACAAATTTCAATTAACTCTGTATGTTGTTGAGCTTTTTTTTAATCATTTTATAATAAGTTAATCTGTCACTGCTATAATGAAGATAGATGATGGCAGTCAACTCGTTTAACAAAATAGATAAATGAGAAGAATTTGTTGACAGTTGAAGTGACTTTATGTTTATGTTTTTCCTCTTGAATGAACATTACGTGCCAAGACCAAGAACAATGAACATAAAAACACTGCATAAATCAAAATCTTACCATTCCCTTGCACAATAGATGTGTATATATAAAAAAATTACATTTGTACTTTCCATGCCATAATGCGTCTGTATCCCGCTTTTTCAAGATTTGCCTTGTCGGTGCATCTAAATTCCCGTTTATGCTATTTAAGTTCAATTGTTATTCAACTCATGGAATGTTTCGTTTCTGTTGGACCCTAACAGGCTATACAATAAATGGACCTCAATTAGAGTTGGAATAAAAGTAACTTCTAATAAGGATTTGTTTCTAACACGCCTTAGTGACAGTATTCTGACACTCCACTCTATGAAGGTGTCCATAATCTTAGCATAACTTTATTAGTTATTTAGATTGGGGCGCATGTTTATACAAAGTTACCATTTATGGGCACTGCTATAACAGTTCATAAACAACATTAAAAGATGTGTACACACATATATATCAAAGGCTAAGGTTGCCTTTCTTTTGAATACACACATGGACAATTTTATCAGGGAATTTTTGTTGCCATTGAGGAAGCAAATTATTAATTCAGAATTTTAAATAAACAAAACCCCATATCATTGATTCTTTTACTTTTCTGTTTTTCGTTAAAAAAACAAAAAAAGTCATAGGGTCATTATCTAGTGGGATCGTTGTTTATCAATTTGTGCAAAGTGACTGCTCTCAAGATCCAAACCCGCGTTCTCATGCTTGACAACACAAGGAATTTACCACTGCACCAGGCAACGGCCCCTATTTCTTCTCTACTTTTTGTCCAGGTGTAATATAAGTTGCATTTTTTAAAATACATAAACAGATGCAGTATTTTCATTGCCAATGAGGAAACAAATCAGTAATTACAATTTTAAATCAAACATATCATTGATTCTATTTCTTCTCTGGTTTTTGTCTAGGTGACACATTAGATCGTGAAGGATCTACTAGATAATGTTAAAAAAAGTACTAATCGCTATGATATTTCTGCAAGTTAAGATATGTTCAACGATAAAATCCAAAGAGACCACCTAAAAAAGACAATGAACTTTCCTAAAATGCGTATTGATATATTTAAGGCAAAATGATCATTAGAGCATTTATAGAGGCAAGGAACTTAAACACATATTGATATTACCAAGGATCAATGATTAGAGTTTTATGTAGGAACAAGTAAATTTGAACACTGTTCACCCTGATAAAAATACCTCGACTATGTCCAGGGTCACCAAGCATATTCCGTGCATCATTGAAGCAAGTAGTGGGGTTGCAGCTGTTAAACATGAACCAACAATAGATCCAACAGTTTGCCTATATCTCTTGGAATCATTCAACTTGAACAAAATACTCTCCCATTGCTCTATAGGCATATCAACACCATTGGAGTTGGCACCATCTTCTGCTCTCAACATGATATTGAGGTAGACTTATAGTCAGTCATTTTGACATTGAAATCAGTTGAAACTCAAACAGTTACCAGTGGACAGCATAAAATGTTTATGAGAAGAAGCACATACATATACATATCTATATATTCGATGCACATATTTTTGTATACACAGACATCCTTAAGGTTGTCGTTAATCAAATAAACACAGGCAAACAAAAATTGTTCGATAACCGACATGTATCTTCCTGAGGTAAGCAAACAAAAGGTAATCTGGCTCATAAAATTGTAAATTTTGAGTAGTCCCCCAATTTTAGCACGATATGCAACATACTACAAACCCAAAATGCAAATATCATGAACCAATATTCTTAATAAAAATATAAGGGACAAAACAATTACTACTAACAAATTTGCAATCCCTATAGATTCTAGGTTGTCCACTACATGTGAATGGAAAATAAAGGACAGAAGGTTCAATGATCATTTTAGCAGGTAAAGAATGTTGGGATGGTTGAAATGAAACGGAATGTATCGATTGCCATGTACAACCATCAAACCAGAGACCAAAGCGGGGCTCCACAAAACAAAAGTAGCATGGTACGTCGTCCTTGCCTGAAATGGAACTTTCATGCTGGAGAAAGAACTAGCACGAAAGTCGATCAATTATCACCACCACTTACTACAGTCAACCACAAGAGCTTTCAGTCATCACTTGAGCAATTCCAAGTTTGAGTTGTTATTGAGTCAGCAGGTGGTGTGACTAGCCCCGCAGGGTGCAACTATCTTCCTAGTTTCCTTTCCTCCTGTCTTATTGTTCGGACTGATAAGGCCTAAAGCCTCTTCGACCTTGGTTTAGTCTGATTTCAATTTCATGCGAACTGCTAATGCAGTTGTGGCTGGTTGAAGTGCCGTTCTTCTTTCTGATTTAGGAGCCTCTGTTTCTGTAAGTGAGAGCACTAGCACTTTACAACTCAACTGTACTATTGAGTACTTTTAAAAGATCTTTCCCTTCAATCGTTCTAGCTGGTGTCGCCTTTCAGCTAGCTTACTTGCTCTCGCTTGAGAGAAAAAGGGCAGACTCATGCATGCTTGTCTACCGAGAAATCATTAAAAGACTGTTTAGCCAACTTCCATCTCATATACCAAGAAAACAAAGCCAATGTCCTATTTCGAAGAGGGTATCCCACCAAAACCATAATAATAGAGGAATCCACTATTACGATCTTAAATCACTGTTTCGTGCATAAAAAGGAGTTCTTACAGTCACTATCAGTCCTAAACATAAGAGGGCAAGAAAGTAAATAGATAGTGCACCCTGTGGGGCATGGCCTGCTGCGCTATTTACATCACCAGCTCACTAACAAATCCCCCTTGAGGGGGGAAGGCAAAGGCAGGTTCCAATTTAGAGAAAAAGTATAGCTTTAAACAAGCCAGGAAGAAATCCAAATTTGCCATCAAACCACACAAGGTACTGACAACCCATTCAAATTTGACTTTTGCATCGCTTAATAACAAAATAACTATCGAAAAAAAAAATTTGATATTCCGTTGTATCTATTTCTAAGATAAGAAGGTAATAAGCCTCCAGGAGGTATGGGATTAAACTTTTTCTAAAGCTTTTGGTGAAAACCATGAACTCAATGCAAGCCTTTGAACACAAGACTGGCTTCAGAGCAATTTCCCTTGCCAAGAATTCCCTATCCGGTATAAGATAAAAGAAGAGAAAGAAGAGAATTTTTTATTTCCTCCAATTTAAAGGGGAAATCAACTTGTTTGCAACAATTTTTTCTGCTACATCCAATTGGTATAGATGTATAGCAATTCCATTATAACAAGAAGAAAAAAACAGAAGTTAGAAGGATCGGATTATATAGATATCCCTTCAATACAACATAGGTCATCGAAAGGATCTCAGAGACCCACCAAAGCACGAAAGCTAGGATCTTTCAGAAAATGGATTCCTATTCGAAGAGTGCATAACTGCATGGATAAGCTCACACTAACTCGTCAAATCTGTTCCTATCTAATGGAACGGTATTGGATCAAATGACAAAGACATTGTTGAGAAAAAGATGGCTTTTCCTCGATGAAATGAAAATTGGATTCATGTAATAGGAGAAAGATTTCTCATTCCTTAGCTGGAAAGATATGTGGCCATGAAAGAGGGATTAAGAGGAACAGAATTGACTGGGTGGTAGAGTCGCACAGAAGTTTTAGACTCATGAATAATTTTTTGAGTCAAGGGAATACAAAAGTAGCTCATTTTTTAATATTTTAAATTTTGATATAAACAGGAAAAGTGGTAAGCTAACTTCAAGGAGACCCGTAAATTTTTTGACAAATGAAATTTAAATCACTGGTGGTTTAATAATAAAAATACACCAAACTTACAATTCCATGGTTTTGGTAAGGATTAAATTTCTGCACACCGCAAAAACAATACAATAATAAATTTAACATCAGTCAAAAACCCAGATATACTAACCTGATTCCATGGGAGACACATCAATATCATTATTGTAATGTGATCTTGAAGAAGCCCTTATTGCTTGCTTTTCCATATCAGACATCTTAGACTTTAAATGTTCAGAATATGACACTGCTTGAGCAGGCAAGGAACAAGCTTCAAACTTCGACGCCTTAGCAATTTCTGCTACAGCCTAAAGAAGAAAAGAACACAATTTATAATGACATAGATATCTCCACAAAAGTGAATATAGACACTGTGTATCACCTTGGAACAATACTGTGCTTGAGAAACAACTGCACTAGGAAGACATAGCTCTCAAAAGTTGGTGACGAAGAAGTGCATTAAACAAGTATATTTTAGCATTGACTTGAATTAGTAGGCTTTCTTCGAAGACACCAATATAGCAATTAGTATGCCCATAAGGGAGCAGCATTCATATCATTATGCAAAACATACTTAACTGACCTTATGAGGAGCTGAAAACTCAACCCACAAAGCACAAATCCCTACTTCTAGAGGCAACATAGCTTATCCATAGAGAGAGAGAGAATAGTATATGCATAATGCTACAGCCTAATCATTCAGAAGCTTCACATAAAGTTGTATGCAATCTAAAAATTTCTCCTGAAGAGAGATTTATTTGTGTAAAATTGTTAGGATATTGAGTCACTTGTTGGCAAATTCCTTTAGAAAAGTATATTTATCACAAAAAAAAAAATCCTACACAAAAGTATGTTGTAGTTGAACAAAAATATGGTCTGTGTTTACAACTGACGATGAAGCAGCAACAATGATCATATAAGTGCAGAGACCATGAAATTTTGAGAGGTAACATAATTGACAATTTTCCCTCAAAAGTCCCAAATTATTTCTTTCTTTTTATCTCTTTTTTTATTTTATATTTTTAATGACTAGAGGGGTTTTTCCAAACATTGACAGGTAGTGGAACTAAATCTCTCCCAGCATGTGTCAAGCCCCAACGTGACACACCAATTATAGTCCACATATGCCTTCTCAAGCAAGGTCCTTAGCCAACTATTCTAATAGTCTGCCGATGCCTTCTCAAGCAAGGTCCTTAACCATCTATTCTACCCCCTAGGCATTAAAGTTCCAACTTCAATTAGCCGCGAATTTATTTGTATGTTTATAATGAAGCATCCAACAGTATAGCAAACAACCCAGTTTAATGTGATAGGAATGAACATATGGAGATTGACCCTCACCTAAACAGAGAGAAACTAAAGCCGGTGCAAGTTTGTCTTCTTTGGTAAATGCTAAAAGCAACCAAAAGTTATTTTCAGCAAAGAATTTCTTTCTTAAGCAATGTATGAGGAAAGCATGTGTGATACATAATTACCCAACTCAAGGGGACTTGTAGAGAAGGAAATTAGAGATTTCACGTTCTACATATATTAATCATTTAAACAGTAAATGAAAACTTCACTTTCCCTTCATCCCGCTTTCTGTTATTCTGTTCTTACTAATATCAGATTAAAACTCAAAATAGCAAAGAAAGCAGAGCAGAGAAAAATAGTCACAAAAAAAAAAACAAAGATGCTGCAAAAGGGAGTAAATGTACAACTCAAGTATGACCTTCAAAAAGGGAATGGTTAAATCTGGGTGCTGATGCCTGCCAAGAATCTCAAGTTCCTGAGAAACAGAGTGCATCTGTACAATATCACAGTATCAGGCCATGTGTATTAAAATCTGAAAGCACGTGAAGAATTCAAAACATATTCTTATTCCGAAAAAAAAAAAAAACACAAATGCACACACAAATAGACACATCGGAAGTGTCTGAGGAGAAGAACTCCCCGTATACTCATAAGAATTACTGATTGTGTATAAGTTAAATTCTTGGGAACTAAAATTTCTTGAAAAGAAATGTTATTATTTGAACAAGTAGAGAATAACCTAGGAGGTTTAACAGGGGGAGTGTGGGGGTGGGGGAGAGAACCAAGGCAACAATATGAATTAAAGGAAAATTTCCATATTTCCACAATTTGTAAAAACAACTCCGTGAGACCTTGTAAAGAAGAGCAACTAAATTAACCAAAACCAGTAATAGAATATAGTGTGATAATCATACTGGCTCCTCCAATAGTGGCAATATTTTGTGAGCTACTCCAATATAGGAAAGCATGGCAGCCAGCACATTTGGGACATGAGGATTAAGATCCAAATGACGTAATTGCCGACATATAGAATCAATTACATAGTCTGAATTTGCTAAAACCAAGTGCCCTACCTGCAAAAAGTCAATATACCATCAACCATTGACCACAAATTCTATAAAAAATTGGGAAATTTATAGCATGTATGCTCACTGTTGGATGCCCACACATTGCTGAAATAATACGTAAGACACCATCGGCTGCACTTCTTATTTGGAAGTCTGAACAAGTAAGATTCTCAAGCAATGCATAAAGTGATGAATGAAGAAATCCAGATGAAGAGAAATCTTTCCCGAGACACATATTAAAGATGCCTATCCCATCAATAATCATCTGTTTCAGAAAAAGAACACTGCATTTAGTACTATATATTCCAAATATTTTCTGTTAAATCATACTTTCTATTGAAGAAGGAAAATGTATATTTCCTGGTGCAGCATAACATTGTCATGAAAAAAATGTGAAGTAATATCTTCAGCTTCACTGTCAGGTTGTTGAAGAGAAGATTTATGCTCTATTGGAAGATTCCAAACTTCAGGGGATAGATATTCATGTAATATACTGCCAACACAATTGATCAAGCGAGTCCTTGCTCCTCTCTCCAAACAATCTTTCCAATCCAATTTGTTAGGAAATGAATGTTTATCCTCACAATATCCTGCATCATATCCCTCCATCTCTTCACATCTTATTGTGGACTCTCGAAACATCATTGTGAAAGCATTAATTGCTTGATCTGATATACCAAATATCATCTCATTCAGAATACAGGCCGCTGTGCTAGCTTGGCGCACTAATTGACCCGAACCAATTCTATGATACCAAGACTGCCAGCTTTCCTTATTGTATTCCTTCATCCGGACCTCAGAAATCAATTTACGGAAGTAACCCAGCGGAATATCAGTGATAACAGAAAAGGATCCTTCAGTTCTTGAGTCTGGTTACAAGCAAAAACATGAGGCTTGGCATAAGTTCAGCGCACTACAAAAGAACTATATTTAAACAAAGATGTTGGATTCCAAGAGCAGAAACAACCTGACATTAAAGATAAACCAACAAGTCTAAGAATTCCAGCAAGAGTCTGGTATAGTTTCTGACTGCCAACATAAACAAACCAAGGTGGCATGCGTGGGATGTCATACTCCTTTTGCACATTTTCCACTGCATATAGTATTTGTTTGTTTTGACTACTGGGGAGATGTGATTCTTCAGATGAAGCAGCATCCATGATAGCATGATCGTTGGTAAAGTAAATGCCACCTCTCATCTCGGCTAGAGAGTGTAGGTATCCTGTTGAGGATGGCCTTGCTAAAATAAGCTTGTCGAGAGAGCCAGCAAATACTGAATTCTGACTCAAACACACAGCAAAAACATCCAAGAACCGAGCAGTTGTGACCTACGTATTCCATACAGGATATCAATACTCATGTTCCATGGTGAAGTTGAAGAACTGGAAATAAACCTTCTTCCATCTAGCCATTTATGAACAATTACACACTAAGAAAAATAACAAGAGCATGAAAAGAATATTATAAATAAAAAATAAAAAGAGAAAGAAAACTAGTGACATGGCCGCAACTTTTTAATGAACTCATTTTTCTTTTCTAGTAAATGTCATCTCATTTACCAAAAGAAGAAAAGAAGGTTTCAGTTATAAATTAATGTCTGATTTGTGATGAATCGTCCAAATATTAGGTATGAAGAGATGCATTGACAAGAGAGACAAGAAATGTTTATGATTACAGTTTCTGTACTTTAAATTTCAAGGCTGTGACCAAAGAAAATGGAGATTTTATTTGTTGCAATCAAAGGTGTTCATGTCGGCTGACCCAGGAACTGTGAAGGATGCCAGTGAACTTCCAAGAGAATTCTCAGACATGTCAAACATTTTTGAAAGGTCAGCCAAGTAGGAGTGGGAGGAGCTGAAATTTGGAAGTATCATCACTAAACAAAGATCAAGATATGTTCACAGAATGTGCGTGGCCTTTAAGCACGTGATATAAAACCTTAAATTATATTCAAAAGGTAAATCTTAAGAAATTGCAATTGAGATTCATACATTCTTCTACATTTTTTTCAACTCTTCTTCACCTCAAACCTCCGTGACCAAGTCAAGGTTGTATTGAATTATATTAGCTAGACAGTTCAAGTGTTCAACTCAAGGTTACCCTAATTTCAGGGGTCATTACCATCCCTAGTAATGATAAGTGGTGGTGTTTCTTTTAATTCAATGAATTTAAATAAGAGAAAAACATTGGAATATAAATAAGACCATTCTTTACTGGAAATTACTAAAGAAGTGGAAGAGTGCAACATACAGGGGACTGACAAAAGTGATCAGCCACGAGTTGAGGACCTGAAAAATAAATTATTGCAAGTAGTTTCTTTGCATGTGACAGCGCAAGTGATTCGTCGCTTCCAAGCACTGATTTTGGAAGTTCCTCAATGAGCCTGTCTCAGAAACGAAGTTTTACACAAATAAGGTCAGTCTTTTTAAGATAAGTTGAGATATTTCAATAAAAGGTTTGTCCCATTTCAGAAAATGAAAATGCAAACCTGTTATAGATTTTAGCAACATCATTTTCTACAAGATATTTCCCACTTGATGAGAGTATATATCCAAGGAAAACCTGTGCAGCTTTAGACACCTCTTCAGAGTCATCACAAACCAAAACACATAAGCACTCCTGCATTAATAACAGTTAAAACAAATATAAAGCCCAAGTATAATGACAAATGAATAATTAAATCTTCGGTGAGTAACACAATAACAAAGGGAAGAATTGAACTTAATCACTAAATCATTTTCATAAATGATCTAACTTATTTAGGCCAATTAGAACAGTTAATAAACCTTTTAATATTGACCAAATACAACACATAAATAGGCTTCTGAAAAAATTGCTATATATTTAGAGGTATATTAAGGACCATAGTCCTGAAGTGATCTTTTCAGCAACTCAAACCTAACCAACAAACTTTTAAGGAAATTACAAAACTAAAAATTCAACATTTCCCATATCTCTATTAAATATTGATCTTACAAGCAAGTAATCACACAATATAAATAAACGCGTTAAAGGTTCTGGCTCTCCTTATTGCTAGCTCTTTTTCTTGGTAAATATAATCGCACTCATATTAGAAGAATAACAAAATTCAACACATTTTCCAATCAAGGATATTCAATATTCATGTTGTTCAGGATTGAAAGCATCCAATAACTATTGACAGCTCATATTGACAACTCAAATGTGTTAAGAGCATCAATTCTACCCAGCTCACCAGAAGCATAATTCTGCTCTCCTTCAAAGTGTGGCTGCATTTTGATAATAGTCCTTGTATGGCAGCCAAAAGTCCTCGTCTCACCTTCTTCGCTGGATGAACACAAAGCTAGAAAATAATTTAAAGGATTTATCAGCTGAAGAATTAAAATGACAGATACAGTGAGAAAAATATTAAATGACATGCGACAGCCTTAAGATATGCTTCAATGACTACTACCACCAAGTCAGCTATAAAAACTTACGTGTGGAAAAGTTGCGGACAATAGCTTATTCACATGAGCTGAAGTTCTCACAATCCAATCTTTTGTACGATCCACAGAAAAAGATCCTACCACATTGCCAGAATCAATACTCCCCTTCTCTTTGACACTAACTTTGGAAGAAATCCTGTTTACCGCATCATCACTTGAATCTTCTATTAAGATTTCACTCTGACTTTGAGATTTAACAGGCAAGTGACGGAGTTCCTCCAAAAACGATTGCATAGATTTATCCTTACTTGAATGAAAGCCAGTAACAAGATTTATGGACATACCAAGACCAGATAAATTAGCTTCATCCTGGAGAACTATCATGAGAAACTCGGCCAAACCTCTAATAGCATGGTCAACGGCTTCCACACTTCCAGCAGCCCCGCTAATCATTGATTTTGATATATGCAAAACTTTGGCAAATTGACTAACAACACCAGGTAAAAAGAAAGCTAATGCATCTGCTGTGGCGACCTACAAAAGGAAATTCAAAAAGACACATTACCATTGATTAAATTCATGTGATTTTTCACATATGAAGTTACGAACAAACACTTGCACATCCATGCTAGTACTCCTGAATTGAAATTACACAAGCTGACTTACATATGAGACACGAATCTTTCATGTCAAAAAGAATTGATATGAATCCAGAGAGTAGTATCATGGAGAGACACAGATCCATTAAAATCAAGATTTATCCAATGATGTGTCTTTCAAGAAGGAACGAGAACCCAAAAAAAAAAAAAAAAGCAAGAAGAAGAAGAGGACAGGAACATAAAGCATGCTTTTATTATCAGAAGTTCAAAGGTAACTCCAAGCAAAGAACTACAGTTCTCATTCTCATGTTTTTCTGTCACTAAATACGACTAGAGGCTCAGGCATTGTGCAATCTAATTCTTATAAATCATGTCAATTCCCTTCCTAAAATTTTATGTAGATATAGGCAAGGATGATGATGATGACGAGGATATTCGGGGCCTTTCACAGTGGGCACCTCATTCTGAAGGAATGAATCAGAGAAACACCTCTGGAAAAATAAGCAAAACACAACAAGGAGTAATATATACTTTTATTTAGCATTAGGCTCACCAAAGGTCACAAAATTACCTTAGCCACAAGCTGGCGAAGGGTCATGAAGGCTTCTATACGGAGCTTTGCACTGCCTCGATGCCCTCGGGCTGCCTCAATATCCGCAGCCTTCACATAAAACACAAGATTGATTCCTTAGAAGAATTGTGTGAATGAGGACAAGGGGAAGAATGAAAAAGCATAAAATAATACAAAGTGCTCGCTAATTAACCAAATGTTATGAGGATAAAATGTAAAAATCAATATACTTTTAGAAGAAGTGATAGCCAGTGCCCAACAGCAGCCGAAGCAGATTGAGATTGGAGAAAAGCAAGCAAGCATCCTTCTGATTCTGAATCATATTTTGGAAGTCTAGTACGTGGACATAGCAATTCTCTGCTTGCTGCAAGAGTTGGCAGACCATTGCTTTGTTTACAAGAGCAAGATTTGTCAGAGCACAATTGTAAACCGAGAAGCAGTGCCCTGAAACATCTTATTACTCCTTCACGAAACTCTTCTGCAGCCTCAGATGGGGAAAGTAGTGCTCCATAAGTCAATTTCTTTAGCACTACAATCATCTGTAGAAATTTACCATGATACTTCAGGTTGAAAAGCAATTTATAGTATTATAACTTAAATAGACCAATTGAAAGATTCAAGGAATGTGAACTATAAGAGTAATTTGAATTGCAATATCAAGACTCAAATGTCAAAGTACAAAATAGTGACGGTATTCAACTGATGAAACTGCATGCACACCATTGCTGAAAGGCTTCCCGAAAGCTGAAGTCCTAAAAAGTAACTAGATATCATAGCAAGAGCTTTTCTTGGTCTTTGGAGCTTTGTTAAAATAAAAAATAAAAACATAGCATCTCAGTGATCAGTTTCATATCTTAACATTGGCTGTTCTACAATATATATATTATAAAATATTGCCTCTTCAATAACCAAGTGGCTCATGATCATCACGCACATATAATATGCATAGGCTGCAACTACTGATCAAAAATATATATTTATATGCTGCAACTCTCATTTGATGAAATTGTGAATTGGCTAAATCCCCACCCAGTTTTTTTTTTTTTTAAATAGGTATGATTGTCACAACACAGTTAAAAAGAGAAGCATACATGTCAATCACGCTATTGACATGATTCAATGAAGAAGAACACCAAACTAAGAGTGTATAGGAGAAAAAGTGCAAATTGTAAGCAAGCAAGAAGCATAAAGCGCACAAAGCATAAGAATATGAAGCAATTCTAAAAACCAATTAAAATAATAACCAAAGAGATGAAAGAAGATAAAAAATAGTAAAGCATATAAGCCACACTGTTAGAATCAAACATCCAGAGAATAACTAATGTACGTCCAAGGAACTGAAAAATGGGAAAAACAGAATCAAGGTAGTAAAGCCCACACAATATAATTGGAAGCTAGCTCTTGCACTTGACTTCTAAGCTATTTAAATCTCAGAGCCCCTACTTTCTTCCTTTAAAATGACCATAGATGTTAAGCGTACGTCTAGGCCCCATAAAAGCCTAGGTTCATCGAATTTATGTTAATATACATGTTTAAAATCTATATGATTATAAAATTTTATTATTGCACATCCAAGTGGAATTTGATTTAGTTGCATGAATATGCAAACTGAAGGATATCTATACATTGATTAAAATAGACCTAATAAAATATTATGCTGATTTTTCTTTTTCTAGATTTTTGACTGATTTGTGTTGAATAATTTGAATTATTTCAGTTGTAAGAATATTTGGCATGCATTTTTATCACACATTGTCTTGCTTCGCTCAGGCTCATGCCAAACATAAATAGCATTCTAAATTGGCATACCTGATCCACGGATCCTAAATGGCACTTCTTCAGGAGTCCCTCCAAACATTGAAGCACACCTTCTGCCACAGCATCACTAACCTTATGTGGTATTTTCAGGACAGAGTTCTCTTCAGAATCAACCTTTCTCGATGATCTGCATTCAACTGCTGCATCTAATAGAAGCAACAACGGGAACAGCGTATAGCTGCAAAAGAGAATAAATCAAAGAACCTAAATGTCAATTGAAGTAAAGGTAAGGTATGATCCAAGACTAAATCAAACTCCTCTCAGATCCACATGCCCATTTTTCTTCACTAAATGTGCTAAAACTACAATCTTGACTCCATTAGGTAGTTAGCTACATTTTACTGACTAAAGGGTTCAGTGATGCATTCTTTGTTATTTCCTTCTATCTGCCCTTTGTTTCCTCTTTTTTGTCAATCCTCTGTTCTCTATGCTGTTAGCATGGCCAAGGCCATTGTAACAAAATTCAAGGGATTCATATAAAACCCAAATCTCAAACGTTGTAAAACCCCCAAAAAAGAACCAAAGCTATGCCTATACATGAACACATAATTCAGGCTAAAGAACCACAAAATGATGACAAATTACACTAGTTGGGCCATATGCAAATAACATACATATATAGAGAGAGAAGATAGGATGAACGTACTCGAAGAATGGTTGGAGAAGATCGGGTGGGGATCGGCAAAGAAGGTGATGCAGTTGAGGGAGGGTAGAGGGGTTTTTCTTAGGGTTTTGGAGGATTTCCAGAAGTTCTAAACAGTACGCTTTTAGTTCAGAAAAAACGCTGCTTCGAGCTCCGTCGTCGTCGTCTATGGAGTTTTCCATTTCAAAGCGTCAGATTGTAGAGAGAGAATACATACTTTTAGTGAGGGGGAGAGTAATTTTAAAAGGTAGAATTGCGAAGAACCGCGAAATTGAAGACCCTGGAAGTGTCGAGCATTGCAGAAACTATTCTATTCTCTCAATAGGTGGAAAAAGGCCATTTTGAGGAATGGCAGCGGGGTACAAAGAATTATAGTAGTTCAGTGTTTCAGTATTTATATAAAAAATGTTTATTAATTAATATAAAAATAATTTTTATAAATTAGATTCTATAAAATTTTAAAATTATATAATAAAATCAATCACAATAGAAAATATTTATTAATGGATATAAAACTAATTGTTAATTTTTATAGATAATTATCATAATATAACCAGACCGACCTATTTATGATTATATCATTATCAGAAGAAGAGGACACATATAATCGTCCTATTAATCTAAGAATCTTATAAATAAAGGCACGGAGGAAGGGATACATAAATTGAGAATGCTAGAATTTCAGAGTAAAATACAAGAGCTCTGCAAAGAGTTTTAATATTTTATTAATTGATATAAAAAGAGTTTTTATCTATATCTATATTATTCGTTTCAGTATTTATTTATTTATATAAAAAAATATTTATTAATTGATATGAAAATAATTTATATATATATATATATAAATTCAATAAAACTCTAAAATTTACCTAATAAAATGCAAGCGGCCGAAACAGAGACAAACAAGAAAGATAAGAAGTGATGAGGTGCGGGGTCCACTTGTAAAAGTTGTCTTAGAATTTGCAGGTCGTTATAGCTTTTATTATGAATTTCTTAATAAAATGAAATCTAATTAGGCAAGGACATATTTAAAAAATAATAATAATAATTTTTATAACTCTATCACAAATTATCTATTTTATTTTAAATAAAACTATATCACACTAAGCAAATATATATTTAAAGAGTTTTTATAAAACTTTAACACAAATTACCTATTTATCTATTTATTATGAGTTTTTTAATAAAATAAAATCTAATTAGACAAGTATTATTAATATAAAAATTTATTTATTGATTAATATAAAAAGAGGTTTTAAAATAATTTGTATACAACTCTAGTACAAATTCCCTATTTATCTATTTATTATGAATTTTTTTAATAAAATGAAATATAATTAGACAAGAATTGTTAATATAAAAATTATTTATTAATTAATATAAAAAGAGTTTCTATTAAACTCTAACTCAAATTGCCTATTTATTTATTTATTATGAGTTTTTTAATAAAATAAAATCTAATTAGACAAGAACTATTAATATTAAAAATATTTTTTAATTGATATAAAAAATAAAATAATTTTTCTAAAACTCTACCACAAATTACCTTTTATTATGAGTTTTTTTAATAAAATATAATCAAATTAGACAAGAATTATTAATATATAAAAATATTTATTAATTCATAAAAAAATAATTTTAAAAAATTTTCTATAAAATCTCGAACACATATTACCTATTTATATATTTATTAAGACTTTTTTTAATAAAAGAAAATATAATTAAATAAGAATATATTTAAAGAACATAAAAAATTTCTATAAAATTTACCACGAATTAGTTGTTTTATTTTCTATAAAACTCTATCACATTATCTATTTATTATATGTTTTTAATAAAATAAAATTTAATTAGAGAAGAATATATATTTAAACAAAATAAAATAATTTATATAAATTTTACCACAAATTAACTATTTTATTTTTTATAAACTCTATCACATATAACATGTATTTATCTATTTATTATGAATAGCTTTACAGAAAATAAAATAATTTTTATAAAATTCTACCACAAATTATCTATTTTATTAATTTTAAATTTTTTTTATAAAATCTACCACTAATTAACTGTTTTATTTTTTATAAAACTCTATCATATTATTTATTTATTATGAGTTTTTTAATAAAATAAAATCTAATTAGACAAAAATATATTTAAACAAAATAAAATAATTTTTATAAAACTTTAACACATATAACTTGTATTTATCTATTTATTATGAATATTTTTACAAAAAATAAAATAATTTTTATAAACCTGTAATACAAATTATCTATTTTAAAATATTTAAGTATTTATTTATTAATATAAAAAAATATTTATTAATTAATATAAAAAGAGTTACAAAAATTACAATTTTTTGTAAAATTTATTGTTACAAGTTTTAAATCAATAATTAAAAAAAAAAAAAAACAAAAACAAAAACAAAAATTCTATAAGTTACAAAACATTTATCAAGTGCGATGGACGGGCCTTTTCCTAGTATAATAAAAAGTAAAGTAAAATACACTAATATCCCTTGAGGTTTGCCAAAAGGACACCCGGATGAAACTTATTCAATTCCCTTGTTAAATTTGACAGCCAAACATAGCCTAAAACGTGTGAAAGGTCTAATTTGCCCTACATCATTTGATTAATTTTAATAACAAAATATAAAAAACAGTTAAATGACCTAATTGACCTTCTCCTTTCTCTCTCTATACACCGATGTATACACATATACCCATCCGTGCAAATATATATATATTACTCCTTCCTGTAATGACCCCTCCTTTCTCTCTCTCTATACTCCGGCAGTGAAATCGTCCGGTGAAGGATGAGTACGGTGGCGAGACAACATCTGCATTCTCTTGTCGCGCCAACACCAGCCACCCCTTCACCCTTCCAATTCTTTATATACACATATATGTATATACAAACACTATATACAAACACAAGGAGGCGGCGGAAGCTACGGGATGAATCGCACCGGTGAATCAGATCTGACGATGAACAAGAGGCCTTCGATTTGGTTTGGTCGAGTTCGTCTTCCGTTTCGGCGATGGCTGTTCCGACGTCGCCCTCATTAAGTATGATGGCGGCTACTTGGCCGCAGAAGGTCTCAATGTTCTTGTCGGACTCGACGACCGCCACGATCTCGCCGGTATAATAGGCAATGAAGAAGAGAGATGAAGGCACCTAGCGATTCCACCGTCGGCCAATCGGAGCTCAAAGCAGTGGATCTGTTGGTGTTGTGTTTGAGGGCGTCGTCGGCAATGTAAACTATTGGTGTTGGAAAGAGGAACTTTTGGACGTTGTATACTTTGTGCAACAAAAGCGAATATCAGTGAAACAATCATCCATCATCTAAATGGCATGGAACAGATTGCTCTCCCAATCCTATAAAATTATGTGGATCAATGAATCCACTTAAAAATTTACTACTTCACTCTTGCAAATGACATGTCACAGTAACGAGAACAGCTATTCAGTCCTTCGTCATATCTCACCAGCTGATTGTTGGTTAGGTCACTTTTATTTAAGCTTAGAGGTTAAATTTGGTTCATTTGATTGGTGAAAAAAAAACACACACACAGTTAGGCACAAACTCATGAGCGGCACCATTTATTTAACAGCTGACTGGAGAAAAAAAAAACAAAGAAAAAAAAAAAAAAGGAAGTTCGAAACCATATCCAACCTTAGATCCCAATTTTGTCCGATCTCTCTAAAACTTTACTGTTTACCGTGCACAATATAACCGAAAAGGTCTTCTCGAATCTTTTTCCATGCAATTTCAAATGACTACAAACCGTGCTAAATTTAATCATCAATACTTAAAACAACTGTGATCATTGAAATAAAAAAACAAACAGCAAGGTCTAGGTAAAGAGAAAACCCTATATCAAGCTTGAATTTGTGATTCACTGATGCTGCTACTATGAATTACACATCACCTGTAGAAGTTCATTATATAATCTTTATTCCAAAATTCTTGAAAAAAACCAATATCAATTTCCAGAACTGGCAGTATCTCATACGGAGTATTCAGTTTACATTGCGGAAATAATGGGTTTGTAGAGGAGGTTAGATAGGTAATTTCAATATTGAAATTGGTCAATATAAAAGTTAAAGGACAAAAATGTCAATTCATTATCATGGGGTGTCTTTGGTATAAATATCAGACTTGAGGAGGTATCATTGTTAAAAAATGGGATATGTTTAATCTGTCTGTATGTCCTTTTAGCAAATCTCGTGGAAGTGTTAGTGTACTTTACCCTAAAAGTATATATACTAATATATATTGTTTTCTTGGGTTGGGTTTTGGGCCTAAGCTTTGGGCAAAAGTTGGTCTTTGGGCCTTTTGGGCTACATCGTGGGGTTAGATTCATTGCAACTATTTTTTATTCTACTTCTTAACTTTTATTTTTTGTTTCTTCCTGATAGAGTTTTTTATTTTTTTATTTTTATTTTTTATTTTTAAAGTTCAAACAGACACCTCCACTAGGCTGAACACTCGATCTTTCCAAGTGTCATGCTATTGGTCGGTTACTGGTGTTGTTTATATTTGATTTACTGATTTTTGTGCAAATAATTCGTTTTTTTTTTTTTTTTTTTTTTTTTTTTTTTTTTTTTTAAGCATTGTCCACCTTGAAGTTGGAATTTAGACCCAAATCAATTAGGGTAAAGGGAGACCAATAATTTGGAGTTATCTAATAATAATAATTTTTTTTTTTTAATTTTAAAAAGGCCATATTATGTATGGAAGTACGGAATTAATAATTTGAATTTGAGATTGGAGAAAATTTAATTATAATTTTGAATAAAATTTCTTCCAATCCTAAATACAAATCACCGATTTAATGCTACCAAGTGCAGTACTTTTTCTTCTAAGAAATTCAAGTGTCTTTCAGAGGGGAACAAAAAAGGTGTCACATGCAAATCATTTTTCTTTTTCTTTTAAATTCTTATATAAATTTATTCTCAACACTCTTTCTCTGACGTGTCTTTTCTTTTGTCACGGGTCTTTCCTTTTCACCATGGGCGTGGGCTTATTCCAAATGAAATAGGGCGCCTATATCCTTGGAATTTTGAGAATGGTGATATATGAATGAGGATGTAAGGTCCGTATGTAAACATAACTCATTTGATATTTTTCGAATTCAGAAAATATATTATTATTAGTATTTTTTTAATATGAAATAAATTAAATTCATTTTGTTTCTTTGAGAACTCGAATATTTACCATCTGTTTTGAGGATAATGGAGATGTCATTAGATCACAAGATTCTTGAATTCTTTTTAACTACTTCTATCTAATCAAATGATATTTTAGAAAAATAATACAAGAATAGAACAAGTGATATGCTAGTGGGAATATAAGATCCACAAGTAAACATAACCTATTTGACATTATGAAAAAGCAGAAAATATATCTTTACTAAAGAAAGAAATTGATAATACCACTACAAAAAATTATATATAAAAAGAAAGCAAGTAGGTGAAATTGTTGGTCAAGAATCACACATGAACACAAAAGTGTAGGTTCAAGGTTCAATCTCCTACTTTGCAATGTGTCGTCCATCTAAAGGTGGGGACATCCCATAGTCAAAAGAAAAGAAGTAAAAGAGTCCACTCGCAGCCAAAAGAAAGCCCACCACCTTGACATTCAGCAATTCTACCATATATGGAAACTTGCATCACACTAAAATTCTACCCAAATGAAAGAGGAAGTCCAAGCACTAAACAAACACATGATTCGCTTTATACTGTCTGTTTTGCACTTTTTTTTTTTTTTTTTTGATATTTATGAGTTTTTTTCAAAATCGTGTTTGAACAGTTAAAAGGTGTCTGCATCACATTCTTTTGATGTTTACGAATTTTTTCAAAAATCGTGTTTGAACAGTTAAAGGGTGTCTGGTATCACACAAACAAATACTTTCGGAGAATTGCCATTGAGTTAAAGTTGGATATTCTTTGACCTTGACTGCCTGATGATTAAACTTGAAATTAATTTTTTCATTATTTTTATCCCAAGGTTTTCCATGGTTGAAAGTTCAAACTCCCCTTCACAAAAATTTAGGGCATTCAAAGATGCTCTCCTCCAATCTAGAAATTTCTCTCTCCATAGCCAATGTAACAACACTATCTCACCAACTGCTTTAGCTCAACTGGACTTTTAAACAAATGAACAATTAGCACTTTTTATTTATTTATTTATATTCCAAAATCCACCTATCTCAATTGGTTTTTGAATTTTTTTGTGTGTTAATGATGTTGGTTGGTTTGATTTTAGGTTAGCAAATCCATTAACCTCAAAGAGTCAAACAGATGTACTTCTAAGGGTATGTTGTCCCAAGTCTAAAAATGTTGGGTCATAGATATAGACTACTATCTCACACTGTTTTTGGTAGTAAGTGGGAAATGTAACCTACCCACTAAATGGTCTTAATTGTCAACAACTAGATAATCCATAAAAAATAAAATAAAAATAAAAAAAATGTGTTTTTGTTAGTCTAAATTGGATTCAAAAGGACAAAGATAATTATCCTTCATATGTGAGAAAAAAAGACCTATCTGCATTGATTACAAATGTATAACAAAATTGTCAAGAATCACACATTTTGAATTGACTCAGACATCAAATTTGTGAGGTGAAGGGGGCCACATTTGAAAACAAGGCATGCCTTGATCATCAATTTCTGGCTTCAAAACCATCTCATTGCAGGCACTAATCTCACCATTCTGTGGTGGATTGTTGTTATGGTCTCCTCCATCACTTGTTGCCTCTAGTCCAAGTTCATTTTCCAAGTATTTTAACCACTTCCTACACTCTATTTCTGTGTCACATTCTGCTCTCAAGTTTTCTGAGCCCTGAGAAGCCTCAAATGCGCCCGGTTGTGCTTCATTAGGCTGCAAAGTACCCAAGCTGTCTAACATGTTCCAGAAATCAATGTCGCACTCCAATGGAATTTCAACCAGCTCATCCGAACCAACATCATATGTACCGTTATCTTGAACTTCAAAAGGTCCCATTTCTTCTTTTGTCATTGTGACGTCAACTTGAGTGGAGGTGTTTGAGAAATCGGACGCATAGGAGGAAACAGAGGAAGAAGAAGATGATGCTTGCTTCTGCAACATTTTCAAAGGCTCTTGTTTCTGCTCAGACACTGTCATTGCCATATTTTCGCGTACTCCATGAGTGTCAAGGCCTGTGTTTGGATTGTCATTCGACACAAATGAACTAGATGGAGAATTCGGGGAAGATAAAGAATTGGTCATGGATAGTTCCTTGGTTTGATCATCCCCATAAGGATTGACATTTCTTTTCATGACCAGTCTTTTCTTCAGAGATGTGTTCCACACATTCTTGATCTCATTATCTGTTCTTCCTGGCAAATGAGATGCAATTTTTGACCACCTGTGCAGTTCATTTCATTTGTAAATTAATCATGGTCTCAAGATAATAAACTAAATAAGTCAATTAGTATATATATATATATATATATATATATATATATATATATAGATTTTAGTCATACTTATTGCCCAAAGATTCATGTAGTTTTATGATGATTTCCTCTTCCTCTGGACTGAAATTTCCTCTCTTTACGCCAGGCCTTAGGTAATTAATCCATCTCAAACGGCAACTCTTCCCACACCTCAACAATCCTGCACAACAAAAATACAATTAACATTTAATGTCAACTTAACATCTAGAAAAACACACACACACACACACAAAAACAGAGTACCGAGGACTATTTAATTTATACGTTATATTCATTAATTAGTTGATAGGATTGTGGTAAACCAATGAGGTAGTCCAACTAATTTCAATTGCCAAACAACCAACTGTTTGTTTTTGTTTTTGAATGGTGACCTAGGAATTAAATTCTCTCTCTTTTCCAATCACGGGACCTCAAAAGGGTATGTTGTCAGCTACCTTAATTCACATTTTGTTTATATTGCCTTTGATGGGGATATGTAGCACAGAAGTCTCATGTTAGGCATTGACTATAACATATAAATAAAGGGTACTACGAGATTTTCCTCATGACACTTTTCATAAATTATAATATCACGTTATTAATATTAAAGTGATCTCATTAGAAAAAAAAAAAAAAAAAAAAAAAAATCAATTCTAAATACCTTAAAATGAAATTATGCAAAATTATTTGGTTAAAAGACGAAGACTTTGACTGATTCATTTGAGTGTGATCTACTGTAAATGAGTTATAATACAAAATTTTGACTATATAATACACATACAATTCATTTTCAAATGATTAGATTTATAACTTAATATTTATACATCATAACAAAAAAATAGAGAGCTCATGAGAAAAGTGTTATCCAGAAATCTCATGATTGCATTACTAGTAAATAAATAAATATCGAAATTTGACTAAATTTTATGTAGAGATCTCATGATTGTATTACTCATAAATAAATATATCTCAAGATTTGACCTAACTTATTTCTGTTAGCGTAGTTTGATTTCCTTTTGAATTTAATATTTTATTTGCTTTTCACCAAGATTTAGTAGTGCTTTGAAAAGCTTGTTCAGTACTTGAGCACTTCCTGTCACCTCTTTCCTTTTCATTCTTTCTTCGGCCTTTGAATTGGATGAATAAAGACAGAAATATTGTATTTGGTATCAAATAATTTATTAGAAGACTCACAAATTAAATTTGGTCCAATTAATGCCTATATTGAAACACAATGATGGTATGATTTGAATTACTATATATATGGTGTTATGGACTTCAAAACCTATCAAGGAATGAATTTATAGGTTAATTTACTATGAATTTCATGTCAGCTAGCTTGCTGGGATAGGAAAATAATAATAATAATAATAAGTTTTATATGTATAGATATTTTCTCTAGGACGTTGATATTTCTATATGTGAAATGAAATAAATTAAGGATTGTTTTGTCAGTGCATTAAATTGGGAGTTATCTGTACAGAGTTTTTTTTGGAAGGTGACATGTAGATAAGAAAGAAATAATGGTAAAAATGAAATTTCTCATTCATATTTATTGAGATAATGATTCTTGTACCAAATAGTCTAATCTAATCATAAATGTTAATTTTCGAGGAATTTTTTCTCTTGGACTTATTGTAAGCTATAGAAATATCTTGACTAACATTTTTCTAAACGATGACATAAATAATTTAAATTTTCATCGAGTTTGATAGGAACATCTAGGAAAAACAAGAAAAAAGAAGATTGTTCTTGTATAAGGTACTGTTCCATTCATGATTCAACAAGTAAATTTTGGAAATTATATGAAGATCCAAGTGTTTGATCACTTGCATGAACAATGTCCTATGGATGGAACATGCATATACATATCTATGCATATGTATATGTATAGAGAGAGAGAGTGATATAGAGAGAGAGAGGGTACCAGCTTGCTTAGGGAGAGCTCTCCAGTTTCCATGACCATGCTTCTGGATGTAAGTGATGAGCCTCAAGTCCTCTGCAGGGCTCCATGGTCCCTTCTTCACCTTACTCTTGTCACAACAAGGTGCACGCCCACGACCCATGGTGGTATGTTAATCACAAACAGGTTATATCTATCTCTCTATATATATAGAGGAGGTAGAGAGAGAAACTAGAGAGAGAGAGTTGACAGTCCATCAAGGGCCATGCCATGATTTTCTATGCAATAAATAATGGAAAGGAAATTAACAGAGATACCTAAATATTTAATGAACCATAAATAGTTCCCACTATTCACTAATTAGGATTAATTGACACTCTCTCCAAAGTTTTAAAAACCATAATATTTATCTAGCTAGCCTACTAAAACCAGTGTTAATTTCCATTTTAAGCCTTAATGAGATCACAACTTTATAGTATAGCTGTTACAATATTTGTCAACAAATATGGTAGTGGAATTTGAACTGCTGGTTTGAATAAAGATCACATCATTCATCATCTTTTATCTTGTCATAATAACATCAAAAATAATAATAATAGAGAAGAAAAACAGATTTCTTTTTTTTCTTTTTTTTTCAGACTGATAGGTTGATTATAGTATTTCTCAAATTCGAGTCACTACACAATAAAACCTCGTCAGGGCATCACAATCTCATAAAATATAGTCTCAATAACGAATTCACTAAATCGAGATTAATTTACTTTTTTTTTTTTTTTGATCAATGGATTCACTTTATCTCAAATTTTGAATTGAATCTCATAAATTTTGGTATAATTTGATCAACATATAGAGATTGTTTAATAAAAAAAAATTTCTTTGAAGAGAAGAAAGACTCGAATACAAATATACCTGCTCAAGGAGTTAGGCAGTATACTAATTATGCTACCAAATAATGCCTTGCTGATTCTGTTGAGAACTATTTTATAGAACATATAATTTAATGATGATATAATTTGAAATAAATACATGTCAAGTATTTATGAGAAACTACTGTTTATATATTATTTAATGCTCGTACACTATCCCCAAAGTACCCCATAATTTTTCAGTGTCTCCATGTTTGTGCATTTAATGACATTTCTTTTCCATATGAAAAATGAAATGAAGGACGGAAAGTATCAACCAGTCAATGAGGATCATTTGTGAGGTGACCTGTATTTCAGTTGGTACATGGACCGTGAGACGTGACTCTTTTTAAGATCGGTCAATTTATATTAATTTTATTATAAAAATTATAACTTAGTGATAGTATTTCTCTAAGTGTTATGTTCGGCTCACTCCATCCTCATCCTTCTACATCACGGGAAAAATATATATTTATATATACATAAAAATTAAGACCATTTTTGTGACACTGAGAATGAAATCCCTTTAATTTTGCTCAAGAAAGTGCTTGGATTTCAAATTTTAAAGCACCGATTCAATGTTCTAGATAAAATGCCTTTGATTATTTATATATATATTGAAATGAAAAAAATAATAATATTATAGCAATCATCAAGTAGGCCGCACGCAACCATATAAAAATAAATTCCCTTTGTGAATATAATATTAAATAAGGTGAACTACATTAAATTCCTCTTTTCTATCAGTGTTTTTCACTAAATTTTTTTTTTTTTTTTTTGTCAAAAAACTCCGCTCAACTATTAGAAGGGGGTGATTTAACTAACTTTCGTTAACTAATTATTGGAGGGGGTTGATTTAATTCTCATATATATATATATATATATATATATATAGTAAATAAATTTCAAAAAAAAAAATCTAGATTTATATTGGAAAAAAAAATTAGGCATTATTTTTGGTAGTGTCCCTTTAATAAATTTATATAAAATGAAAATCAATAAAAACTAAATAAATGAATGCACAATATAATTCTGAAATATATATATATATATATAGCAAACAAATTTCAAGAAAAAAAACCTAGATTTATATTGGAAAAAAAAACCATTGCAACAACATGTACTCTTCTTCTTGTTCAACTTCTTTTATTCACCCATCATTATAACATTATATATAATTTGTATCATAATATAATGGTATATATAATATGTATCATTAAATATTATTTAAATATATTTTCATTTCCATCTAGTCTTCAGACCAATATAAATTTAGGTTTTTTTATAATTTATTTAGGAAAAAAATCTAGGTTTTTTTTTTTCTTGAAATTTATTTGCTATATATATATATTTGAGATTTATATTGTGCATTCATTTATTTAGTTTTTATTGATTTTCATTTTATATAGATTTATTAAAGGGACACTACCAGAAATATTGCCTAATTTTTTTTTCCTAATAAAAATCTAGGTTTTTTTTCCTTGAAATTTATTTGCTATGTATATATATATATTTGAGAATTAAATCACTCCCTCTAATAGTTAGTTAAATCACCCCCCTCTAATAATTGAGGGAGGTTTTTTGACAAAAAAAAAAATAGAAAATAGAGGTTTAGTGAAAAATACAAATAGAAAGGGGAGGTTTAATATAGTTCAATGTATTAAATATTAAGTTTGTATTCAATTTGTCCTTTTCAACCTCCAATTTTCATGCGTTATACAAAATGGTACCAAGTAGACCTTAGGGAGAACGTATTTTATTATAGGGTACCCCACATTTTAAGGTACATCATCAGTGTTGATAGTGAGTAGGTCTACGGACGTCGTGGCCCATGCAGGCTTCAATGTACGGATTATAAAAGCGTATTTAAAATTTTAATAAATAAAAGAAATAAAATTCCTTATCAATTAAATACTGTATACATGAAAATCAATGTTAGCTCCACAACCCTATTACAAATGTTGTTGATGTATTTAATTTGAATGTTGTGCGATTCATGGCGTGCATGTCCAGGTTATAAGCATGTCCATGTCAATGAAGGCACCACTAGGGTGACAAATTTGCAGCAAAGTCCAGGGATTTAGGTCACCCGCCCAAATTAGTGCCTTTTGAATATTATAAACATTGACAACTTCTATATATATAATATATATATATATACACACACACACACAAGTATATGTATATGTATGTATGACGTATTCATGCAGCATGCAATCTCACAAGTCTTTTAAGTGTAATTACTTTGGTTAATATAATATTGATTAATCCATCCCTAAGTCATCAGTTAGGGAAGCTAACATTAAAGTGCTTTTACCATTTGGTACCTAATTTTGAAATCTCTTTTTGGGCCAGTAGAGTTTCACTAACCATTCATGACTTTCTATGAGTCAACAAGTCTAGGAGAGAGACAGAGCAACACGTGCATGGCTTGTGTCGAGTGTTAAGCTTTAGATATGTGACTGTGTGTGAATGTGTGTGAATGTGTGTGTGAATGCGAGAGAAGAGGACAACATATGCATGACGTGCGTCTTATGTGTGGCTTGCGGTATAGGGTTTGACACAAATATCAACACACGGGTGTATGGAATTTGTTCCCAGATTAGGTTTTGACAAGGGACAGCGATCAAATGTGTCATTTCATTAGGAGGCCACTATTCACACCATAAAAATGCGGAAAATTAAAAAAACGAAGCACTCAATTTGATATCGTGAATGTTCACACCATAAAAATGAGGGGAAAAAAAAAGCAGCCAACTTGATATCGACTAAAATATCTAAAATATCTTTAAAATAATATATATATATATTGATTTTATAAAACACTGATAGTGCCAGCATTTCTATAAAAGTTTCCTTTTAATTATAACTTAAAAAATTAAAAATGGTTCCTAGCTATATAGGTTGGATAATTTGATAAAAAAGATAAATACTCTTGCTTCATATGCCACGCTTTTGATAGGTATCCCATTTTCCAATTGTACTTTTGCATACTTCAAACTACAAAATAAGACTCTATAAAGGGAGATATGAAAATTCAATTCAAAAGTGACATTATATTATTTATATTTAGTAGATAATTTGGTATCACAAACCAATTAAATCTTGAAAAAAAAAAAAAAAAAAAAAAAAAAAAAAAAAAACCATTTAGTCGGTTCATTCACTTGTTATGTATACTTTTTATCACGGTCTTTGATTTTTTACATTGAAAGACGAGAAAGTACTACTAAGTTGTCGATTTTCTATTTTAAAAGGTGAGAAAATATCACTATACTATAACCTTTTGTATTAGTGATTAGAATCATGAAAAGTGACATTTGATATTAAAACTCAAGGTAAAGAAATTCATGATTATAAAAAATAATATCAAACTGTTCTCTATCAATTAGTAAAAAAAATATCCATCTGCTTTAATGACCAAATATATTACTAAATATACATAAAAAAATAAAAAATAAAAAATTTCCATATTCTTCCATGTATGTAATTTCTTTGCCCATTTTCTTATTTGTAAAAGTGGGAATTGGATTATCTACATTAGTTTTATTTATTTATTTAAGGTCACCATACTATTTTGGACAACCTCCAAAGGCCAATTTTTTTTACCAGTAATTAATGGTTCAAAAACCAAAATCAACTATCGATGGATTCGATTCCACATTCCAGAACATGAAAATGGGGACACATCCATACGACTGACCCAAACACCACAAACATAACACAGGAAGCCCAACCCCATTCCCTTCATTTTTAAAAATTATTATTGTAAAGTAGGGGTGGGACTTAACCCGATTGCTGTCCGAAAAATTTTACGTGCTGGGTGAGGTAAGGTATTGGAACCATGGATTGGGGTTAGGTTTGAATTTTAAAATTCATATTTATTTTGGGTGGGATTTAGATAATGATTTTACTAACCCGAGAAACTCGAAATACAAAATAATAATAATAATAATAATATTTTTAATGTTATACCTTGCTTTTGTAAAATAAAGTTAAAACTAGGTGATTTAATATTTAATTATTTATATTAATTGAATTTTAGTTATGGAAACAATATAAAAAAAAAAGTATATGATTTTGAATTCTTTCCAAATTCTAATTAAGAAATTTTTTATGAAGTTCACAAATTTTAATCACCAAATTCTCAAAGAAAACCCTACTTGGTGACTGTTGTTCGAAGTTATATCTACCATTCTCACGATACCCTTCTCTTCGTTTTTACTTGACATTTCCGTTTCTATAATGTTTATTTATTTGTAATATGAGATGACACCCAAAGAACCCAAAAACCAGTGTGGCATGGTATGGGTTGAGTTGTAATGGGTTTAACAGGACTTGGGCTTGATATTGGTTAAGGTGTTAGAACCTTGGGCTTGAGTGGACTAACCCTTCGGCCCGTCCAACCCACCCAAGTCCCACCCCTGCGAGAAGTGAAAAAGTGAAAGTAATTAATAATGAAAAGTGAGAGTAAAAAAAAATGAAGTGAATGAAAGGATTAAAAAAAAAAAATCAATCATGTATTTGTTTAGCATTAATTTTTTTCAAAAAAGTTATAAAAAAAGTTTGAAAGCATACAACCTACCACAAAAGAAAGGGTATTATTGTAAGTTCCAAAAAATAATTTTCCCTGAATTTTTTGTATTTTCTGCTGTCCAAAACTTATCATTTTCTTTCTTTCTTGTGATTTCCATCTACCCAAACAGAGCATAAAAGAATTAAAAACTGAAAAAGTAAAGTACAAAAAAAAAAAATCTAACTGTTCAATCCATTCAAAATCATTCCATCCAGATAACGATCCATGACGAGTATACAACACCATTCTTCATAATAACAGCACTTTTCACTCTAGTTGCTTTCATTATGTGAAATCTGAAACCTGATAATGAGCATTCTCTAATCTTTCCACAGATTCCACAAGTCACAGAAAGTCGTGATTCACAAAATTCATCATACAAACTAACAAAAAAGCAGTTGGAGCATGTAAAAAGACCATAAAAACATAGTAAATGACAATGGAGTAAAACAAACGAGATAGTCAATTAGAAGGTGTTTTTGACAAGAAGGTTTCTTCGTTTTTCCACACACTACTTGCAAACCCAGTAATTCGTCAAATACTAGTATGCAATAAAAGCTGAACAAGTAAAATTCCAAGCACTAGCATAATCTACATGCCACCACCTCTAAGCGCGAGCACAAGATGAAGTACAGAGCCACCTTCGATGTTATAGTCTTTAGCTGTTTTGTCATCTCCGAGCTGCTTGCCAGCATAAATGAGCCTGCAAACAATGGATACGTTAATTTTCTCACAAAACGACCGTATATAAACGATTCTAACAACAAATGTAAAACCTGCAGCACAGCCAAAAATCAGCAGTAACCAAATTACACAGGCTTTGCTTGAAACCTAGACAGTCAACTTTCTCAGAGAGATTTTCCAATAACAAAATGGCATCAATTTGAATCCTATGCAAAATAAAATAAACCTATGTGAATTTCACAGGTCATCCAAATGCCACATAAATTCAGAAACAGGCGATTCTGTTGAAACATGAATAGATTAACAATGAAATGTGTGCACCCTACTAATTACAAAGGTGGAGTAAAATCAAATGAACTGATTCGGTTTTCAACGCCATGGCAAGGATTAGGACTTTAACATAATGCATGTGATATAACTAAAAGCTCTCTCTCTCTCTCTCTCTCTCTCTCTACATATATTTGGCTGAAGGGGTTATTTATGTTAGGGGCGCTCAACCCAAAAATCAGCTAAAACCTCTCTCTCAACCACACACACACATATATATATATAGTTTACGGCAGGGGTGCTCAACCCATTTTAAATAGAGGTTACTCCCTGTGAATCACCCAAAAACGAGATGAATAAGGTAAAGGTGGGAAGAATTCAACCTGAGATGTTTGGTTCCTCTCTAATCATCGCCACAGACAACTTACATGGGCTAACATAATAAACTCAACTCAACAAACATTTTCCCAACTATTTGGGATCGACTACATGAATCAAAGTTTATCATTTCAGTCCATCTAAAGTCGTAAAATCAATCAAACCACAAGCCAACTTCTTGCCTTCCCTTAACATTACCTTCATTTTAAACCACCACTCTTACTCTTAAGTGCAGTTATTCATCTTCGTTGCATTATTGCCTATAACCAAACCAAATTAACCAATTATGACTCATTTTGTCTTCAAATAGGTACTACTTTAACCATCTTAGAAATGTGTCTGATTCTAAATTATTCTTTCTTGTCTTGAAGCACATCCATCACAATTGTCAAATTTTGGCCTCTCCCAAAAGTATAAATATGTTGCTTATGAGCCGCCTAACATTGACCCATAATGTATGACTGGTCAAATTAGTGTTCTATATAATTAATTTAAAAAATAAAAAAACCAGTTTATATAATTGAAAATTTTAGAGGTATACATCAACCACACAATAAGAAGCAATCATTATGAGATATTTACAATATTATGTAAACATAATTTACACATAAGCAACCAAACAAGTATACAAAATTACATAAAGAAGACAGATAAGCAAACAGTAATTAAAATTTTAAGGTGAAGAACACATGAAATATAACAACAGTTAGATAGTCACTCAAGTAGGTATAAGTTGATTAAAACAAACTTATAATTGGTCTAATTAAGTAATATATGAGAAAATGCAAACCTTTGCTGTACTGGAGGAATTCCTTCTTTCTCCTCCACCCGTTCCTTGATCCGATCAATGGTATCAGTTGGTTCGATATCAATTTCAATTTCTTTCCCAGTGAGAGTCTTCACCTTAATCATGGTTCCTCCCCTGAGCCTCAAGACCAGGTGAAGTGTTGACTCTTTCTGGACATTGTAATCTGCAAGAGTACGGCCATCTTCCAATTGTTTACCAGCAAAAATCAATCTCTGCTGATCAGGTGGGATACCTTCCTTGTCCTGGTACACACACTTACACCATTAGCTACAAATGAATGCATCAGCTTATGGGAGAATAATAAGGAAAGTTGCACATTCCAAGATAAAGTTCCCCCCACCCACCCCCAAAACAACAACAACAACAACAAAAAAAAAAAAAAAAAAAAAAAAAAAAAGGGAAGAAGAGAGAGAGAAGGGGGGATGAGAAAAGAGAACGGAAAAGAGAAGTGCAAACAATGCTCTGAATACAATATTTAAGAACCAAACAGAACTTTACATTAAGCAACAGCCATTTGTAAGAGTGTTATAACCAAAGCCAATGGTGTAAGCAGGGACGGAGCCAATGAAGGCCTAGGGGGGGCACATGCCCCCCCTGAGTTGGTCAGCAACCTATAATATATGTGGTAATTTTTTTAAAAAATTCCATATATATGAAAAAATTTATATAGTGCCCCCCCTCAAATTTGTAGTTCCTAAATTTATATTCTTATTTTTTCTTTATTTTTTCTTTTACTCTTCACATTCCTTAAAATTCCTTAGTAGAAAAAGTCAAATTTTTCTTCCTCAATTGAAACTTTTTAATTATTTCCTATTAAAGTTCTTTCATTTTTCTTTCTTTTTATATTTTAATAATTTTCTTGTTCTTTGTCTTTTTGAATTTTATAGTTGTTATATATATATATGTATGTGTACTCCGTATTGTTTTTTTTTTTTTTTTTGACAGTGTGCCCCCCCTCACTTGAAATTCTAGCTCCGTCACTGGGTGTAAGGGGGTTAAAGGTTCTTCCTTACAAACAGATACACTATGACTGAAAGAAACATGCAGATAGGAACCAATTCTGTAACATTCCAGAAAAAACTTTGAAAAACCAACTGTGAGGCTTGTAGTGTGGTAATTAGCTGATCTTACTAAGGATTATTTTGAATCATAAGCCACAATGGTAATAGAACTGCCCAAAGCTCATAATCAACAGAAAAACAGGTCCTTGAAAACTATTAAGTGAACTTAAGAATAGAACATAAGAATAAGCAGAAGACAAGTCAAGAAAATTACATGAACTAAACACAAAAAATGGGAAGTAGACTAAGTCAAAGAATCATGTTAATATGTGCCCCAATTTTGCATCACCACTTGAATTTTTGGCCATTTCATTGATCAAGTTCTTTTTTTCTTTCTTTTTTTTCCCTTGGCTAATTGATCTAGTTCTATACTTCTATTGTTTCATTTTTTTTCCAAAGGGTTGGCTCAAGTGGGTAAGTCGTATGCATACACATGTACGCTTATTCATGCCTTTGCGTATAAAAACGAGCACAAAGAAAGGTGGTAAAAAAATCCGTACAAAAGGAACAATTATAAACACAGAAAAATATCAAAAAATGTAAAAGATAATTCTAATAACAATCCTAAAATCCTGAAGGTACTCTTTTACATCCATAGCTACATGACTAGCAATATTTATGCCCACTTCACAATTTTATTTGTCTGCATAACTTCAGAGATCCTCATTGGTAGAGCAATGAATTCAATCATCAGATATTTTCATTATATCATCCGAGACTTACGCCTGGGAAACGAAAATAAATCCTAAAGGTACTCTTAAAACCAATTTTCCAATTCAATGGTTAGTTTTAACCACAACAACCATCCAACATGATGTTCAAGAAGAAACATGAGAAAACGCAATTCAATTTTTTTTTGCTTGATCATGCATCATATAACATATTGCAAAGTGCACACCATTGCCAATGATATCTCTGTCAATAACTCCATCGATCTAATCTCTTTCAATGTGCCAAACTTTCCCATCCTTGAACACTCATGGTTGGTAGGAATTATAAAGTCAAAACACCTCTAATGTAACTAATCTAGATTCTTTAGAAACCAGAAAGGTCTCAATCTAGCTTCTAAACAAGAGAACAAACAGAACCAAACATGCAGGGCCGGCCCTGGCCCAAGGCGACCAAGGCGGTCGCCTTGGGCCTCAAATTTTAGAGGGCCTCAAAATTTTGAGGCCCATAGAGGATGGAAAAAAAAAAAATTAAGTTAGGACAAGTCTTGGTCGCTGCTTTTTTAACAAAAAAAAAAGTCTTGGTCGCCTTGGGCCTCAAATTTTGAGGCCCACAGGGGATGGAAAAAAAAACACGGAGTATTAAGTTAGGGCAAGTTTCAGACGACACAATCTGCTTCAACACTCCGCAGGACGCAGCCTCCGCTATCGCCTCAGGTGACAAGGTATGTTCATCCTCTTTCTCTCTTCTCTCTCCATTTGCATGAATCAATCTTTTATATATGTTTCTTTCTTTCGTTTATGTCATCATTTGATTTGTTCTAACTTTGGTTCGTTTGATTCGGGCCTTTACCTTTGTTCCAATAGTGAAAAGTAGCTTCCAAACTAGGGTTTTTTGTGTGTGTGTCACTGTGTGTGATGGCTATCAAAAGCTGAATGAATATATTATGGTTCTCTTAGTATTTTAATAAATTTGTGCCTTTCTACATGTGTCTTTCAAGGCAATCGAATCCATAATCTATGGCAGGTACTTTTTTTTTCCTCTCCCTAATTCCACTCCAATCTCACAACAGCAGCAATCATACCCCTTTTCCTCATAAGTTTTTGCATTTTCACATTCAATCCTACGAAAATTAAGGATCCCTTCTAGTGGGTTGAGCCGTTGAGGTAATAATTAACTTTTTCGAACTCTAAATTTTGCTCATAATTAAAAGTGCCAAATTAAGGGTTTTTTTATATTTTACTTTTATATGAAGATACATAGCACCATTATTGATGTTATTTGAAGTTGGTTCGGCTAGAATTTCAGTTAATAATACTGTCAAAGCACTTGCCATCAGAATGTACAAACACATGGAAATCAAGAGCAGGCTTTAACAAAACAAAAGTTAATGGTTTTTTCTATTAATTTGCACAGGTCTTCTGTAGCAATGATCAATCAATCACTGCTACTAAAGTTGATTCCTCATCCTAAAATCAAGAAAGGGGTAATTGGCTCCAAAAAAAAACACACACAAAGTGTAGTTAATATAAAGAGTGAAAGACAAAACTATATATGATAGTGGATGCCACATATAACCTAAAAGTCCCACTACTTCTTCAGCACTACAAGTTCATCCTCCTATATATATAGTCACCTCATCTCCACATATTTTTGTCATCTGTAGTCATCAAATTTTAGCAGCTATATAAACAATGAATGTAAAAAAGAAGCTGCAGTTTTCTGTTCCCCATTTCCACTTTTGGACTGTATTTTGGATACTCTGTTTTGTCTTCTCTCCTCTCCTCCAGATTCCAGTGAAAAACTCCAGTCAGGAGATCATTTGACCAAACTGCTTGATTTTAGATTTTTTTTTTTTAGTTATTATTGTTTCTCTTTGATTCTCCATCCGTTTTATGTTAATTGTGATCTTCTTTCACATGCTAGCAGGACACTCTTCTTAGGATCTCGTGAGGTTATTTGCCTTGAACTTGAATCAAATCATTGCATATTGAGGTAATATATATTTTCTTTAAACAAAGCAAAGTATTATTATTATTTTTTGAAGTCTAGTTTTATGTTGATTATGGTTCCTGTTATTTAGATTTCAAGAGATTTCATTATGTCTACAAGAAAATTTGAATCTGGGCATGAAAAAAAGAAAAGAAAAAATGAATTGATTCAATCTCAAAAAGGAGATAATCTTAATTTTTTTTAGGAGCAATACACAAATAGAGAGTTTAGCTGAAGATTCGGTGAATGAAGAACATATGAATGCGAAAGCAAATGAAGAAAATCTCAATAAACATGAAGATTTAATGAATGAGATCATAGGAAGTTAGTCAATGAACACGAAGATTTAATGAATGAAGATTATAGTTATTAGTTAGTTGTCTTATGCACAATGCACGTGCGCACAATTAAATTACCTATAGAATTTGAAAGTATCGTGTGAAAATTCCGCACTCTTATAATTTTTTTTGGGCGTGTGAAATTTAGGGCCTCACATTTGAAAGTTTGCCTAGGGCCTCTCAAAATATTTGGAATCTCAGGGCCGACCCTGCAAACATGTGCAGCACAAAATAAAAAGCTGCAAAATCACAAAACCCCTTCTCATTCTAAGAATATTTAATATACAAGGAGGAAGGCTGCAGCCCAGCACCTTTCAAGGATACAGAAAATTTATATTACCATATTACGACTGCCTAAATCCATTGAGTGTACTGTGTTGAGACTTGTGCATACAAACTATAGACCAAAATATATAGATTAACAAACAAAGAAAAAGTAATTTCTATTTAAAAAAAAAACAATCAAAAACCTACGATCAACAAAAGCCACAAATCATCTAATATATAGCATACTGAATGTCTTTAATAGAAATTGAGAAGATGCCAATGAAATCAACAATAATCATAATCAAAACCCTAAATCACAATAGAGTATTAAGTATTCATGAATTGGTGGGATAGAAAGACCTGAATCTTAGCCTTGACATTATCGATGGTGTCGCTGCTCTCTACCTCCAAAGTGATCGTCTTTCCCGTTAATGTTTTTACGAAGATCTGCATGTTCTTAGTGCTCAGAGAGAGAGAGAGAGAGAGAGAGAGAGATTTTCTATCAATTGCGTTGTCTATATTATAGAGAGAGAGTAATGGAGTATATATATAGAATTCTTGGATGCCTACAGCTTCATCCAAACAAGTGGCTGGCTCTAATTGGATTTGGAGAAGGTAATAATAAAATTTAAATCCAAGTTGTGTTCGGACAAGACTTTTATTTTTTATTTTTTATTTTTTGGCAACAATGCACTGATAGGTAGGGCGACTAAAATAAAGCATGTTACCAGCCAGTTTGAGATTACTTATTTAATTATTTTTATTTTGAAAATTAGAATTTAAATGTGTTTGGTAATTATTATGAGTAGAGGTTGAATATTCTTGTTCATTATTTTTTAAAATTATTTTGGCAACTTTTTTTCATTAGACAATTTTATTCTTTTTATTTTGTACAAAGACAATTACACTTTTCTAAATAAAGTTACAATTATCAAATATGGCAACATCCTGCTAAAGGTTGAATATTCTTGTTCATTATTGTAAAATTAGCAATAGAAGTGTTTAGAAAATAATATTGTTATCAAATAAATAAAAAATAATTTAATTGTGGAAAATATTTATTATAATGCGTCATCAAACACCTAACATGTTTTTTACTGGCTCCAAATTTTTGATAGCTCTAATGATAAAAGAATTTTTTTATTTCAACAACAATTCTAAATAGGTTACAATTGGTTGATGGTAAGTATAATTGGTTGATTCGAATGCAAGCACACCTACCCCTAGAGTTAAAAGCATTCAACGACACTTTGGAAAAGAAAATCTCAAAAGTTTGTGTTTGGAATACTAGATTCACAAACATTGAAATTTGAATCGAGGATAATAATGTTATATCAAATAAAAATGGGACGTGTTTAAAAAAAAGTGCAAAATTATAGTGTGGAAAATGAAAAGTACTACTTGCGAGTCTTAAAAGTGATATTTTATTTAGTAATTTTTTATTATTTATATTTTAGAGTTGTATTTTATTAGGTAATGTCTTGTTAGCCAAATTTAAGTTCCAATAAATTGTACTCCTTGCTCAATAAAGAATTACCAGGCATGCAACCCTACTTTTATAGTTAAGGGTGTAACTTCTGGGAATAACTTGTTCAAGAGGGAGTTTCCTAAAACACACATTAACTAACACTAGTTAATTTATCTATTTTAAAATTCAAATTTGATGATTCTGAAGGCAATGTAAAGATTCGTTCATCATTGAGAAAAGTTGGGTCAGGTTAGATGAGTGGGCCGAGGGGCAGCCCATCTCAAGTACTAAAGCCTCAATTGACTCCGAGTCCATCGTCCGATAGAAATCTTTGCACCTTATCACGGGTAGTACCTAGAGGTGTATGAGTTTTTTTCACGTTTGTTGAGGTTATTTTAAATTTGAGTAAATTTCATTTCTTTGGTCAGAACCCCTTGTCAAATAAGTTGGAATCTTGGATGTTAAAGGAGGGGACGAAATGACTAATTTACCCTCACTATTTTTTTACTCATATAATGAAATTATTGAATGAGGAGGGTAATCTAGACATCACGTATAATTTAAAATTTTCTTTTATGATGTTAGTAATGCACAGTTTGACTAATGCTTTTGTTTCGTATTTTTTGCTTTTACTAGTGTACCGTAACAAAGTAAAAGCATTTGTTGTCATTTGAATAGTACCGAAGCGCTTTTAAAATTGAGGCCAAAATCAGAAGATTCAAAATGATGTTTTTATTTACTTCCGCATTATGGTAAAGCACGGTTAAAAATATATATATTTCTAACTTAACATTTTTAATTAGTCATTCAAATTTTCAAACTTGTAACACTTTTTACCAAACATACTCTCATGTTTTTACTTTAAAAAATCTTACAACAAATTTATGTTACCAAACAAGCTTTGAAATAATATTGAACACGCTTTAAAGTGAAAATATTGTTTCTGTTTCGGGTTAAAGTAAAAACACAAAGTAACTGTGGTTGCCAAACAAACTTTCTAGGGTCTACATGATGTATAGACAAACTACACAAATCTAAATAAAGTTTATCTTTAAAATTTTAATAAACTGCTAATACATAAAATGTTGTAAAAATGAAAATGTTAAAGTCCATTCATTTAAACCATATGTATTTAACCTAAAAGAAAATCACTTGCATTATATGACGAAAAAGGGGTAACGGTATTGTCCGAATAACAAAAGAGTCACACCTAAAGTGCACCCCTCTCTATTAATTCTAGGTCCGATTCTCTCTTCCCTAACTAAATAATGACTATTGCCAGACTTAAAAAAAACATCACAGGACAAAAAGTGAAAATAAAAATGACTAAACCATTTGCCATAATATAATTTCCTGACAATAATAACATGTTAAAAGCAAAAAAAAAAATAAATAAATAAAAATACACTACTACTACTCAAAGTCCCACATCAAAGACTAATTGGAAAAAAAACAAAACAAAAAACCAATGTTTAAACTTGTTGGATTATATAATGTTTCTTGTATTAGAATTTGGAAAGGGTTTAACAGGTTATAGAACCTTCATAATACAAAAATTATGAATTTTTCTTATATTTCGTGTTTTTAATATTGGTAAAACCTTTGCTCAAATTTCATCCAATAAGTTCGAATTTAAAATTTTAACTTAATCTTAGTTATTTCAAATATCTTAGCCATCCCACTATTTGTCAAAAGAACATATGATATTATATATTAACATGGTATTGTATCTGCAATCTGATAAACTTTGAAATGTATTTCTATTGTATGTAGAAATTTATTTTTTATCTTTTAACTTTGAAAGTTCAAGTTATCACACACAACATTTTTGCTCCCATATAAAAATTAAGAATGCAGCACCTTTTGTGTTAGGATCCCACGTTTGCGTTCCTACGTAACATAATACATCGCTTATGAATCAATGATGCAAAATTATTACGTAAAAAATTTAACATAATTGTTGTATAAGTGATGCAAGTAAAATTATTGTGTCTGGTATCTATAGTATAAAATTGTATTTTATTTTAAAGGCTTGCGAGCATTTAACACTTCTGTAGTGTGCATATAACTCCCTGTAGGTTCTGAAAAACCCCCCTAACGTTTATTGTAGGGGCAAATAGGGTGATAAAAATATTTAAATGCCTTCTAGCAATTTAAAAAATTAAAAAATAAAATTAAGTTAATTTAAAATTGTTATTATATCTTTTATTTTTGAGATTTATACACAAAAGTAAAGGGTGTTTTGGGAATCAACAAAGGGTAATTTTGGTATTTATTAAATTTAATAGTTATATGCCAGATACATGATTTTTTTAACCGTGCATTTTTAGGCCCTGTTTTGGAAATGTTTTCACTCTCTAAAATTTCTTCCACTGAATCAGCTTTAAAGAATACATTTTGATGAAAAAATTTTAAAACAAAAAAATTGTTTGGTAGGTAAATTTTTTTAAAGCTTTTTAACTATTAACATAATTTAACTTAACAATTATATACTTAATAAATCATGAATAATAGCAAAGAGTTAACTTATTTTTAATTAACAAATGCACACGCATGAACTTTCACAACTTTGCCTTGTAAGAATCTAGCATCAATCATCACAGTCAAAGAGGAAGACAACCTTAAGCTTATCTATGAAGTGCCACTTTATTTTTCTTATCCATTTAAACAATACTCCGTAATAATAATAAATGATGAGATGATGATGTAAAGAAGTCGTCATCTCGAGGAAATAGGGTTTCACAAGTCATAAGTGGCATTAAATGTTGCATTCAAAACCTTGTGCCAATTGATTAATTGGGTTTGGGAAGTCATTGAATGTGAGTCTTAAATCTGCACATTCATTTTATCTTTCAAATATGGTGTGTGGGAAATGCGGAAAGGCTGATATTCTTTTAAATTATTATTTCACCAATAAATGCCAAATTAAATTCATTTGATGTGAGTATTAATTCTCCATATTCATTTACCTTTTAAATGCCCAATACTACCTTTGTTTAATAATAAATAAATAAATAGAGAGAGAATATGTACCTCCACATTTTGCATGTTAATTTCATTCATACCCTCAGCTCTTGATTCTCCATATTCAATTATTTCATTTATGTTTTAAATGCTTTCACTGTACATTGTACCATCCACAAGTCAGATAGATAGATTTTAGCGAGAGGGACCTTTTTTTTTTTTTTTTTTTTTTTTACCAAAAACTCTCCATTTTCCTAGTTAATTTCATCCATACCCTTCCCTTCGTCCTAATTCTCCCCATAAGATGTACTATTCAAACTTAACAAAACTACCATCACACTGTATTTAACTATTATATGATATATTTATATTATTTTATCATTAACCCAGGTTTTGTTATCCAGTTAACATTTGAATTATAACAAGTTTAATTTGGTCACAGCAATAAAAATCATTACTATATATATTTTAGGTAGTGTTTGGAGAAAAATCATTCCCCAATAAGTTCTTCATATAAGGAATTTTGTTAGAAGGAATTATTGGTGGTGCATTTCTTAAATTTAATCTAACTCTTAATTTACCTAAATCAAGCGACAACTCAACAATGTCAATCCCAAAAATCAATCAAGAACTCTATGGACAAGTTATTAAAAGAACAATTTTACTTAAAAAATAAAATTGGCTTTCTAAAAGGTAGTTTTAAAAGCACATTTTTTTTTTAATAACTTTTTTAAAATCGACTTTCTAGGTATTAACTATATGCCTTTTTCATATATGTAACCAAGTCTCAAAACACTTTTTCAAAAGCAATATGCTTGGAAAGCCTTTTCAAGCTCTCAACTTTTAGATCTAAATCACACAATTATTTTCAACAAGTGTCAGCAAAAGTTGTAAAGAATAGTTCAGCTAATAAGACGTTCTCTTCGAGCGTGCTCTTACTCTTACGGTCCGCATGCTCTCGCTCAAATTCTCACTATTTATGACTTAATTCTGTTACTCTCATGCTCTTGCTTTCAAATTCGTTCTCGCTCTTATTCCCATTTTATATGACTTAGTTCTCGACTGATATATTATACACGTGACATTAAATTTTCTACGAGTATAGATTACAATATACTTACAAGTTTAGTGTGCTCGTCAAGACCTTAAACTTGATGTCTTTTTTTTTTTTTTTTTTTTTTGACAAAAAGATATATGTATTTATATAAATTAATACATGTATTTTTGTTATTGAAAAAAATGAAATGATGAGGTTAAAAGTGGCACAAGATAGTAAATGATAAAAAAATGTAAGAGGGGGTGAGGTTGAAAAATGTAATAAGAAAAATAGTAGGGATTGAAAAATGAAAAGTCTCCCCTTCATTAATTAGGTTTGTCTAAGTCCATAAATCCAAAAGAGGTGCTGTGATAGCAATAAAGCACAGCTGTCCACTTGTTTCCCCTAAGCATTAAATGCCGCCATTACTGACGGCCCCTTTCTTTTCCTTGATTTCTTCCTCTCTCTTTCAAAGCCCCCTCTCTCATTAATAACCATAAATATATACTACATATTACACACACTTATATATATATATATATAACATATATAGTCAATATAATATACTCCGTATATAGTTGTAGTATAACGTACTCTGTTTGCTCACATCGCTCTATTTATTGTAAACCCATCATCTTATTTGTGTCTCTTTGTTTGATCAAGGTTCTCCAACCCCCTTCTCTCTATATACCTTTCTCTCTGTATATCTATCTATATTGATATATATATATATATATATATATATATATATATATTGTTATCTGGGTTAGAGATGGCGGCTGAAGTGAGCACTCTGGTTCGGATAATGGAGGGGTACAAGGAAGATCAGAAAGTGGAGGAGACGAGTGGTGGTGGCAAATCGACGGTCCTGATCACTCGGGACTTGCTTGGTGGATGTTGTACGCTTGATTCCGAAGAATTGGACTTCGACTTGCAGGTTCCGAGTGGTTGGGAGAAGCGTCTCGACTTGAAGGTATTAATTTTTTATTTTGGCTATTTTTTGTTTGTTTGGTGGGAAAATAGTGACGGGAAAGGAAAAGAAAATATTGTATTTTGATTTATGGACAATAAAATTAAATTTTAAATGAAAAGCAAAAAGACCCATATCCTATATATATATATTTTTCCTTCTCTTGAATTTTCTGATTAACGAAACAGAGGTTTCAAGATTAGAATTATTTTTAGGGTTAAATTTCTTAATTAGATAAACGAAATTTGTTGTTTTATTGTGGTCTTCTTTTGTTTATATGCCCCTTTATTGTATTTGTTATTTGTTGGATTTTTTTAACGGAATACTGAAATTGATAGATCGAATCTTTGGTTTTGAATTTTTTTTTTTTTAAATAGTTTTTAAGTTCTTGTACTCTTTTAAATATAATCTATTTTTTTTTTTCCTCTACACATTTTATTTCTACAAATTAATTGTGTGGGGACATGCATTGTACGTAATTTATTTGATACTCTGCTTCTAGGTAACACTCATGAAGATCCCCTTACTGTTGATTTTATCCTAAATAATCATTGCACATTCCCATTTTAAATTCACTCCCTATCATATATTTTGACACACAGACATACATACGTATGTTTGTATGTACAGTATTTATATATATATACATGTTCATATATTGCTAGGAATGAGAACGATCCATTTTAAAATGAACTATCAAGGAAATTTTGTTTATGATAAATATAATATCAACAGATTAGATGGTACAAAATTTTCATTGTTTATAAAATTATTTGTTTGTTGGAAATGAATTGGTCTTTTTTTCTTGCTATCAAAATCTTGATAAGATTTGTCGGTATATCTATTGAGGTAATAGCGTAGTCATATGCATTTTACAGTACTTCAATCATATATGAGAATATATGAGAGCTGTTTGTTTCTTAATTATACATTTAACCATCTTATTCAATATACATCCTATAATGTCTTATTGTATAACAATATTAAAAACTATTATATTTCATTCTCTCGGAAATTGCTAATCATTAGCCAGTCGGAGTTTCGCAGCCCCCCGCATGTGTGGCACCACCCCCACCTGAGAGGGGGGCTGCTGGAGTAGTCATTTTAGCTTGTAAACACCTTTTCTATTATTTAGACTTAGTACATGAATCTAATCTTGATATTTGTCAATCTTATGATTGCAGTCCGGAAAAGTCTATCTACAGAGGCGCAGCTCTCCTAATACATCGCCCTCATATCCATCATCAGACCGGAAGCAAGTAACCAATCAAACAGTTCCAAAACTCCAAGATCTAAACTTCCCTCCATCAGCAAAGCAATCACTAAACCTCCTTGATGATACCAACTTAGACCTAAAGCTTGTCCCACCATCATCGCCGTCGTCATCTCCAAAGTGTTTGCACTCTAATTACCAAAGTGTTTGCACTCTTGACAAAGTTAAATTTGCGCTCGAAAAGGCAGAGAAGGAAACATTGAGAAAACGTTCAATATCAATTTCAAAATCTTCATCCCCGCCTTTGAGTTCTTCATCTTCGATCAAAGAAACCAAAATGGATTATGAGGAGAAATCATCGTCGTCATCGTTTGCAGCTGGCTGCCCCAGTTGCCTACTTTATGTGCTGATTTCAAAGAGCAACCCTAAGTGCCCTCGATGCAACAGAATTGTTCCACCGCCAATGGCAGTGAAGAGACCTCGAATTGATCTCAACATATCTATATGAGAAGCTGAGGAGAACCATGATGGTTGAATTAATCATATGATTTTTGTAAATGATAGAAGATAGTTTTGTAAGTGAAAGAATGGATTTTATACATTCTAAAGGATTGGTGTCCTTTATATGAATAGCTTACATAAATTTTCATGGCTTCTCTATCCTCTGGTCATGCTGTATATACATTTTTCATTTATGTTCTTGATACGATGCATATTAAGTATTATTATATAATGGAGATTGGAACTTTATTGCATGGTTGTATGTAAACTTTCAACTTCCAAAACTAAAATTGAATTATTTTGTCTCCCATGCATAGTTTTGTATTTTTGTAGTTTGGTACGATGGGATGCACAATTTGGGATTTTTCTCGTGTTTTGCGTGGATGCTTGGTTCTTTTATTTTCTGTTGAGTAATAGATCGTGTAAGTCATGAATGAGCCCCTCGAAATCTTTTGTTCTACATCTTTTTATTCTGGTCATTGAATGGTTGAAACTTTGACGAATAACTATAATTGATATCCTTTATTTCAGTTTTTCTTTTCCCCCTTCCTGGTCTATTAATTACACTATTTTTCTGCTTTGCTGTGACATGCTGTAGCTTATTGGTTTACCAATACTGAACGTGATGTTGGGAGTAAGGGCATGGAGGATCTGGTTTTGGTTTGACTATAATGATGCAATAGCGTTTTCTGTACTTGGATCAGCTTTGGACCTAAATTTCAGTCTTCCAGGTATGAATTAACTCGGGCAAGAATTTATAAATTTATACATGTATTAAGTTTTCCTTGTATAATAAGCACATATGTCACCTATACAAGGATGTTCCTTTCATAATTAATATGGTCACCGACTAAATTGCATGAATCAGAAGTTATTCTGAAGATAAATTTTATACGGAACTTGCAAAACTCTGACCATTGATTGAAAACCCCATTAAATTTCAGACAGTGACTTGTATTTATGGAGGTCATCGTTCAACTGTTTACGTGGTGAGATCATGTACTACTAGTTTTTGTGCATCTCTATGAGCATTTTGTGTGTGTATATAAAGTAGAGGTATGATATTGATGAAATGCAGTTATGGCCTATAAATGACTGAAAACAGCCATCTACCTAAGCTCCATAAAAGGGTGTCTTTTATGGTTGCTTCCTGAAGCTATGGCATTTGCTAGAGCATCTCATTTAACACCTAACAAATAATAAATGAGAATTATATCTCTACAATCTTTAGATGTGCATGCAAACCTACCTTCTCAAGATGAGTTTAATGTACAGTTTCTCAACCAACTTTCAAACAGTAAAATTCATGTTCTGAATATATTATTTGTTTGTATATTGAGGAAGTCTTGCAGAAATTAGTAGTTTTGTTGTTTTCTAATCGCCTCTGGCCGAGCTGTCTGCGGTTATTGATTCATTGAGAAGTGAAATTTGATTGTGTGTTTAATTGATTTAGAAAGTAATTTTGAATAGAAAATTTATGAGGGGGCCTGCAGTTTCAATTTTGTTCTCATTAGAGGTCAGGGCCTACAGGTTTAATAACTGTGTCTAGACCCTTGTGTGTGTATGTGTTTTACTGTGGAATCCCCCCCCCCCCCCCCCCCCCCAACACACACGCACACAATATTTTGCCCCCACAAGGCTTGAACACTCAATCTTTGGGGAGGGAGAGATTATACCATCTAAGCTAGAGTCTATTGGTGACCCTTTTGTGTGATTGATTATGTGTGCATGTTGGTTGAGACTAGGCGGCCAGGTGCTGTTAATAGAGTAAAAAGATTAGATAAAAAATTAACCCTGTAACACTTGTGACTTGTCCCCAAAACCCATTGAGCATCAGCAATGTCTGACTATATTTTAGGGCTTAGAGTTTGGACCAAACCCTCTTTAAGAGGCATACATATGTGGTCGTTGGTTATTCTGCTTTCATAATAAAAAAATTCTCTCAAAGTATTTTAGGGCTTGAGTTCTGAAGGCTACCATGAGAAATTATTACACGGGAACATGTGGTCCTGGCCAATAATTATCTGACACGCACAAAAAACTGAATAAAGCTGACACATTTGTTTATGTGTCAATTAGTGATTGGCCGGAACCACAGTATCATGTAAAAATTTATCGGATACCACCCTCATAAAGACTTTTTCGGAACTCCTGATTATTAATGGAGCTCTCATTTATTTCCGAAGTTGACTTGTATCCGTTCACATTCAGTTTTTGGGTGCTCAACAAGGTTCATCTTTTGCTTTGAAGGTCATCAAGTTTCATAAATAGATCACGTACTAGTTGTGTATCTGTGCTGACCTTTTGTAGTTGATGAAGATATTGTATATGTAAATAAATGATTGAAAAGGGCATGTACCTAAACTTGATCAGAAGACCTTCCTTCTTTGTGCTTGCTTCTTGAAGTTCACTACGGCATTTGCTAGAGCAATTTATATATAATACCTAACACACAATAAATGATATTTATGCATGCTATATGGGGTTTAAAATGGTACACCAACCACCTCACAATACATGTTTTGTCAAAGTTATTTTTATCAGTTACTATTTAAATATCTCTGAATGGTATATATATGTGAACTATAGTTGATAAATCAATTAGGTTGTACCCATATTTGAACTTGATTTCCTAAATTACATAAATGCAACATCATAATACCATTAAACCGCTAATGTATTAAATCATTTTTTTGTATTTTTAATTTAATTGCCGAGTCAAGTGTACCCGTGAGAATCTGTAACAGGGAGTAAGTCTAGGGTGAGTCGGGCATACTGCTTATATCAAACTTAAACGGTGTATTTTTATTGGTTGAGCAAAGCGTGATATCAGGGGTTATGTAGTGGAGTGGACCAACTTGATAGGTGGGGCCTATCTACTGAATCTAGTTAGTGTGTGGTATGGTAAGTCGTCAATGGTTGAAATTAGGATGTTTGACTTTGTCAATGAGGGGTGAGTAGGTGGCATCCGAGATTTTTTATAATAAGATCAAATTTATGATTGTAGCCGAAGCCGAAGCCGAAGCCGAAGCCGAAGGAGAGAATTATATTACAAAAGTTGACCAATTTTATTGTTTAAAGGACATATAAAAAATTATGTTAATATCTTTCTCTCATACTACTTTGTTGTAAATGGCAAAAATAGTTGTTTGCACGAGGAAATAAGGTAGAGAATATATATTTTAATTCTATTGTAGTCTCAATTATAACATACGTGTTTGACCCATCCATGATGCCATGTCTAGCCACATGTTTCATGAGCCTGCAATGCTTGGTTGGTTACCATAATTAAGTTCACCCAATTAAAACCCTATAATTAATGGTATTCACACACACACACGCTCATGACTCGTGTGTGAAACCATAAGAGATGGTCCCAAGAAACTAGAAGAACAAACTAAAGGACCCGTTTAAGATTAATGTGTTTGGGTGGTCCAACCACTTTATGAGAAATTTATGTTTTGGGGATCAACAGATAGAGAGTCGCATTTACTGGTAAATGATTCGATCATCATTCATAATTTGTACAATGTTGCACAGTTGTATTTGTGTGTCAGCTCTAGCTTCTTCTCGTTGATTAGTCCTATTCCATTTAATATTTGGATTATGACTTCCAAACATGCATTTAAAGATGGTAGATCTTTAGTCACGGTCAGAGTTAAGGACCTCAATTGTTCATGCTGTTTATTGACTAGTCCTTTTTGTTGACAATCTTTATCAACTACAATTTCCAAGAATTTAATGGCATGCTCTTGTAGGAAATGTCATTATGTGTGACATTTTGAGTAGAATTGGGGGGATTCCATAACTCGATAATAATTTGAATTTCACAGTCCATTATTAAATCGGATAAAGATTATAGGTAATTTGATCCAATTGAAATTATATATATTATTAAATTATATTGTATTATATATATATATATATATATGTTATATATATTAGTTATTTACTATTAAATTAATATATATATATATTAATTATCTACCATTAGAATCATTTTTGGTTGCATAGTTACACGATGCAACATCTTATATATTAACAACTCTCCAATCCACTTAATGAAAATGTGGACGGATCCAATTTTGATCCCAATCTAAAATGATTAAGATATGAATTAGAAGAACAAGTTAGCAATTTGAATTCGATAATCCGTTAGCTAAACAAATTGTATATGGATTTGGTCGATCTGATCCACTGATAGACATGATAACAATAGCCATATTCCGAATTGGTTCTTTGAATTAAATTTCTTCAATTCTAATTCTAATTGGGGTCGAAAAGTGGAGAGCTGTATTGAGGTACATCTCATTATAACTTTTCTTCATGGTTTCTGATGTAGCAATCAAGAATCCAACAATAGAACCCAAATAGGGAATCCTATGTACTCATCCTATCTCCTTGGTGTTACATGCTAAATCGTAATGCAATAGTTACATCACCAAATGCAACAACTTGAAACAACAATGTAATGTATAGTTGCATCAGTGATGTAAAGTTGGTGAATACTCATTCTGTATGGATAGTGTTACACACAAGGATGAACCTAGAAACTCATGTAAGGGTGAACGATACTAAATTGTTTTAATAATTTTAGGGGTGCAAAGGTAATATTTCACAAGTATATATATCAAAATGACAAAAATAAGGGGCATAATTCCCTGGGGTACAACATGGGTCCATCTTTGGGTTACACACTAATCTGTAATGCAATAGCTATATCACCAAATGCAACAGCCTAAAACAATGTAATATATAGTTGCAGCAAGTGATGTAAAGTTGGTGCTAAGTAATGTAAATGACGTGTGACACACAAAATGAAATCTACACAAAATGAAATCTATAAATGGAGAAGACATGTCTCATTAACGAATGTGTATTGTAGATCTCTTATATAATTTGTAACATAAAAATAGCATAATTAAAAATTCTCACTCACACATTAAATGGTATCATAATATTATTTGCAAAACCAATGAAGAAGAATTCATCTTCAAATTTATTATATAGACTTTAATTTGTAATTAGTATGTTTTTCAAGTTGCTTGTATAAAAAAAGGGCTCAATTATTAGGCGGTGTATTAAAAGCAAAGTCTATGGAAAATATGATTTTGTTCAAAATATATATTAAATGATGGAAAAGTGCATATAAC